GCGGATATCCGCGCCACCAGGCAAGATAACTCGTCCCACGTCTCTTCACATCACGGTATTTTAACAAGCGTTTGATGAATAAGCGCTGTTTATCACGCGCATCAGTCAACGGACTGAGGCGGAGAAGGAGACACTTTCTCAGACGAACTTGCATGCCCAGTCTATAGCTGTAAATAAGCCCGAGCGCATAAAGTGTAAATAGCGCGCGGATCTTGAGCACGAGAGAAAAAGACGTCTGAGTCAGGTTCGACGAGGTGAACTGTCTCTCCTCGGAACGGGAGAGAGATCGATCGGATTTTAATTTTGCCTAGGTCTAGAACGAAAGGATTGAGCAGTCTCTTCGTGACAAGCTAGTGGAAGTTCGTCAAAAAATCTCGTGGTTTCGCAGAAAGATATCCGAACTTTAGGTGCGGGATGATAGTAAACATCGCGAGCACAAGTATATTTTGGAGATGCTTGAGTGTACGATATTTCTTCACCGAAAGAATTTTGTACTGGTAATACGACCCAAAGCGGCCGAAGCTTTAGGTCGTATGATGCGTGCGCATATTACGTGGCAATTTAATCGTGCATGTGTTGCCTAAGCGGCACTGCACACAAATGGACTGACAAACATATGTAATTACTGAATACTACCTACGTTAGTCACTTTGCGTCGAGGTAGGTTTACAATTAGTAAAAGGAATAGCGGAGCGTTGAAGTAAAGAAGACTTGTTGATTGAAGCATCAAAACCAAAAGTGAATTTGGTTATGATCCCGAGTAACGACTCCGCGCCTAAGGTGGTCTTGTTTGACGGTACCAACTTTCATTTATGGGCGTTCAAGATGAAGGTGTACCTCACTTTCAAAGGGTTATGGGAAGCGGTAAACGCCACATCTGGCGTCTTCAAGGGGAAGGAGCAGCAGGCGCATGCGGCAATCGTGCCCAACTTGAGAAATATTCAGTCCATGCATGTCATAACAACGCTTGGAACGTGATTATACTCTTGACATAATTCACTTTTAATAATGCTGCTTCGATCAACAAGTCTTCTTCACTTCAACTCTCCGCTAGGTCATTTTCGTTGAATGACAGAGCCTTTGCCCTTCCATTCTTGTCACCTTTTTTCTTTTTACCGTTCTGCAATGGAATTTTGCACGAAACGGACAACCGTTTAGCGAGCCAGAATGAATTCATCCGCTGACTCGCTGTCTTTGGCTGCAGTGCGCTTGGAGCACACTGCGGCAAGATCAGTATCATGGTGAGTAAGAACATCCTTTCTGTTACTTTCTTCTTCGTCACCGAAGTCGATGTGATCGACATCGTCGTCATACGTAGCGACCTCATGGTCAGTATGTGATAAGTGAGAGCCGATTTGACGTTTGCTCAAATAGATTCCTTCTCTTTTTAAGCTATAGTTACACTCTTATAGGGTGGGTGGGCGTGTATGGCGAAAGCCATTCACTTAGAAAGGTGTATGTGTCGTCGACGCACGCACCAAATTAATGCAAATGAATTACACCGTTACACCGTTGAACGCGGTTGGTACGTTCTGTCAGAACACATGTTTCACAGTGGTCAGAGGTCGACTTCTGGAGGCGTGTTTCGAGTGTTTGAACATGTATCACCGGAATTTAGCAGTGAACCGTGGATCTTGATCGGAAACGAGTTCACGCGGTAACCCATGAAGACGAAAGATCGTGAAAACAAATCACGAGTACATACCCATGCATTGATCGATTCATATATAGCGACGAGGTGTACCATTTTACTATATATATCAACAAACACAAAATACCTGCATTCTTGTGTAGGTCAGCAAGATTTTCAAAGACACAGTTCATTGAGAACGATTCTTAGCATTCTGCCAGAACGGGCAAGTGTTGTAATGGCGCACGAAGTGAAGGACCAGACTTTACTCGTTGACATACTTCGCATGCGCGGACGTATTTACACACAAACTGATACTGGCGTGGCCAGTGTAAGTCACTACTAGCTATAAAAAGTCTTTTCTCGACCACGATGCCCCCCAGTGGAGCATCGTGGTACTCGTATATGATGCGTAGTCGCAGATCACCATTGTCCGGTACGACACAACGATACTTGTAGCCGGCAATGGCTGAATACTTCAGTAATTCATTGCTCTTTGTAGCTACATCTGTGGAGGATCAATGTACTGGTAAACCCTTAAAAAATTAAAAGGATGGTTGCGAGATATAGTACATCAAACGCGCCATCTCCGGATTGAAAGCCTTGCGTATGTCGTTGAATGATGTTGACCTCGTGCCACTAGACTTCAACACCCCGACTATGGTCGGAATAAAGTCGGGTAGCTCAGCCGGTTCGAAATCGGGCCGGCGCGATAGAGCGACAGCGACAACTTCCAGTAGTTTTTGCCTATATTCCACGAAGAAGATATACCCCGCGAAGAACGAAAGCTACCTCGCCATTCGCTGCGAGAGGTGTGGACTGTTAGCGGCCGTGTGTAAGGGAGCATGGTCCGTGATAACGATGAAGAGTCTAAATTCTAGCAGATATACTATATATTTCGCCCACGCATACTTCATGGCAAGGAGTTCCTTGTCATGAAGTAGGTAGATACGTTCATCCTGTTGCAGCTGACGTGACTGATAGCAACGACACGCTCAGCATTGTCTACATCATACTGCATCAGTGCACATCCGATGGCAAGTCACTTGCATCGCAGACCACATGGAACGGTCTGTCTTGGTATGCAATTGCCAACACTAACGATTGTGTCAAGTTTTGCTTACCTATTAATGAGCGCTGGCAAGCAGCACTCCATGCCCAATTCACATTATTTATCAATAGACGAGAGAGATGACTATTCGTCTTGGCGTATTGTGCAAACGGATTTGCAAATACACCGCTAGACTACACAAATTCCGGATTCCTTTTACGTCGGCAAGCAACGGCCAGTCAGTGATCGCTTTGACATTTTCCGGTTGGACCGGACGCCGTGCTTACCCACGACGCATTAAAGAAGTGGTATTTAGCTAGCCGCGAACACACACCTCTTGAGGTTGGCATACAACTTATTCTTACGCATCGGTGTAAGGGTTTTCGCACGTGAAGTCGGTGGACTTCCCCATCCGTCTGTCCGTCCATAGCCTGGCTATTTACGAATAAGTCATTGAAATAGCTAGGTACGAATTCTCGCACTGATTTTAACAGACTCGTAATGCCATTGCTGAAAGTAGCAGGGACATTACTCAAAAAATGTGGCATAACAAGTCACTTATACCGCTGGGGGTACCCACTGCTGTGAACGGAATGTCGTGTTCACGAATGAGGGTCTAATAGAATTAATTCGTCAGATCCATAGACGAGAAGGTGACACTTTTTAACATATTACCTATGATCACTTCCTTCCTCGTTATCAGTTTTTGAGCCATTAAAGTTGTATAGTTCACTTTGTTGAAGGCATATACTATCTGCCATCGTTTTGTGGCCTACCGGACACAGAAGATCGGAGATCTGAGTAAGAAAGGAGAAGATCACCTCACATGGCTTGCTGCAAAGCGATCGGCAAAGAACTTGCCGATCAATAGTACCTGTTCACGAGGTTGCCACTGCTTTATTACACCGTAATTCAAGCCCGGTTTGAGCTCGATCTCGTGTCGAGTACTTTTATCCTTGATTCACTCGCGCGGCACTGTTTCTGGGGCACATTTTAAATTCCGTCAAACTATCGTAGAGAGGATTGATTTTGAGGAATTTCCATGATGGTATGCATACCGCTCAATCCGAGTCTTCTCATCAAAGACACTCTCGTCCATCAATAAGCCTCTAAAAACCCGTCCGTTTCTGGCAAATACTATTGCCAACCAATTACGTACTCGTCTTCCGCAACCAGTACGCAAATTGGCTTTACTTGCAACACCGCAGATCACGCAGGAACCGTATTGGTTCCAGTATTGAAAATTGAGTTATCTTCAATAGCAGCAGTGCACTGCTGCTGTCGCACTAGTTCAAACTGTTGAGCACTGTGTCATCTCAACAGAACTGTCTGTTGAGAAACTTGTTGGTGAAGTTTTTTTTACTTTGGCTCGCTCGACGTCAAGTTAATTCTAAATGAACTTTTTGATGGTGGCGTGCTGTCCGTCTGGCCCTCGGTGCGGATAGCCTTGCACCAACGGCTTCTTGCCCTTTCGTCAAACTTAAAAGTTCAGCGGCATCCCATTCAATTTGAGTCAATTGGGAGTAGCTGTAAAATGTGGGATGAAATTTGTCCCCCTCATCGTCTAACATGTTCATTGTTGTTGAATGGACTACACAGTGCTACCAGGCGTAACAAGGCATGCCTGATTTAATTAACTGGACAAACCTTGCTTTTTTAACAGTACAAGGTTTTGCGGCCGACTACCTCACGTACACGTACGTGCAGAGTAAGATTGCTTTATGTAGTAAGACTACGCAGTAAAGGTAAAATGTAGAATTGTGTTTAGTATCGTTTATCCTTTTTATATTCCCTATTTGACTTCATTTAACAATGTCTTATTACAAACATGTATTGTAACTACCTGCACACCACTCATTGCATGCTTCCGTCATGGCTAGACTTCATTGGTTGATACCTCGATCCTTTATTAACCAATGAGCAGTGTGTTACATCTGCGGGGCAGTATTATCTATTATGAGAATATTGTGAGAATACTGTGTTTGTCCTAGCTTGCTAACCATACTTGATATATACTTTTGTAAATCATCATATAACGGAGGTACCCCGTCACAGTGATGCCTCTGAAGTAGCACAATATCTCGAAAATGATAGATGTAGTTCTACTATTCGGCCCATAAGGATAACCTCAGTATTACCTGGGAATACGCAGGTTTTAAGCCTCATTAGGGTGTGTAAAATATGAACGAGACTCCAGCTATCGTGTGGTCGCCCATCTAACGATTGTACCATCATCTCTACCCTTACAGATCCTCTATCGTGCCTTAATTCGTAACATATCGCACATTTAACTAGGCTGAGAGTTGTCCACGGGACTCAATGTTCGTGGTCGTAGGCTCGAAGGAGCCCCTGTACAAGATGGAGATGCGTGCCCGACGCGAAGAAAGCGCGCACGTGGATGAGTTCGTGCTCCATGCAGCACTGGATCTGGTAGACGAGCTCCTATGGACGACCCCTGCTATGGCGCTCAAGGTCGTGGACCGATTCAATGACCAGCTGGTCTCGGCTTTTGTCACGGCTTCAGGCGTGAAGTTCCTGCTATTACATGAAACTCGCAATGACGAGACTATCAAGGCCTTTTTCCAAGAAGTGCACGAGCTCTACATTAAGGTGAGGAGGGGAGTAGACCATAGAGAAGAAGCAGTTGGATCATGAAGTCATTACCACACTTCTCACGGCTGTTGTGGCACGTTTGTGGCTCTGAGCAGTTATTGATGAACCCCTTTTACGAGTACGACACGCCGATCTCCTCCGAGGTATTTGATGCCCGAGTCAAAACGTTGGCACGGAGATACCTGTAGTAGTCGAAGTGGAAGCTACCAGCCATGGTCAAGTCAATCTGACATGATGGTACTCTACCAAAAACAATAGTGAGGCATAGTAGGGCTTTAAAAGCCGTCTTCATTGCAAAATAGCTCTCCTCTTACTCTCTGGTTCAACTTTTAAGTGACACCTGCTGCCGTTTACAGCTTATGCACGCACAACCTGGCCGGCAATACGGTCAAGATCCTGCTGACCGTGACTAGTGATCTTGCGACCACCCTTGTTCACGCCCTCGGGACACTTCTCCACGACCTTCATCTCCTCCAGCTGCTGCAAAATGTGGCGAATCAGACCACCGGACGCCTTCTGGAAGTGCTGACGGTGCACACCCTTGCGAGCAGCGCCACCATAAACCTTCTTGAGTGAGCCAACACCAGTGTACTGGCGCAAATACACTTTACGCGCGATGGATGCAGCGCGGATGTAGTACCAATCCGGGTCGGCTGGAGATAACTCCTTGAATGAGGCTGTCTTAACAACATCCCACCATGCAGGTAGCTCAATCTTGCCTGATCGCTTCAAGTGCTCAGCGTACGCCTTGATAAAGTCAGCAGGTTTCACATCACGCACGGTCACGCCGTACGCGACTTCTTCCTCGTCATAGTCAGCCATATTCGAGTCTGCTAAAGCACATAAGGAACCGAAAAGGTTAAGAACACGTCTGTACCACCGCACTCCTGGATGAAACTCTTAGCAATGAAGCATTAAGTGTCCATATCAGTTGCACAGGACAGTCTCGGTCTTAAAACACATCGTCATTACAACGCGTCACCCAAAACTCAACGACAAAGTCTAGTCGAGAGGTGCTGCCGATGGGAAAGAATGGCGATTTTCATGAAGATCTCTCCCACCACCACCACGCACCGAGCAGCCCTATACACACACAGCTATTGTCTTATCAAACATAATCACTTACTTGGTACGAGAGGAACTTTGCAACAAATGGAAGACCTTCTTCATTAAGCTTCCAGTACAATGCTTCACCACCAGTGAAAGCTTTTACCTGTATATTGCCCAATCATATCGTAGATCTTTGGCACGAACGTCTTTGTATTGGTTCATATTATTTGTTTCACACTGCAGCCAATCGATAGGCATCGAATTCGAGAGGGATCATGCCAGATAACAATTTGTATGCTATACGCTAGGCTAAAGCCATTGGCCACCACGCCATGGATCAGTCGTGAATATTGCCCCACAAGGTAAAGGTGACTCTTGTTCTCTATTTTTACAATGTTGGTGCTCTTTGAGACAGCTGCAGGCCATGCGCTGTTTAAAGTACAGGATGAAGCAAAACTGGCTAGTGCTGACGATGTGTATAAACACTTTTCGACTCCTGAGAAGGCCGCGAAAGTGCTGAAGCTTAAGGGTTTCAATGCATTCAAGGACACGACGGAAGCTGTAGCCGCTGCTACTGATATGGTAGATAGCAAGATGAGCAAGACACTGAAGAAGTTTTTGAAGAAGAACGTAGTGGATGCTGGTCTTAAGGATAAGCTGGCTGTGTCAGACAAAGCGCTTGGTTCACTTATCAAGGAAAAGCTCAGCATTGCGTGCGTCAACGACAGCGCCGTGAACGAGATCATGCGCGGCATTCGCGCCAATATGAACACGCTGATCACTGGACTGAAGGATGACGACCTGAAGGCCATGACGCTCGGTCTGTCGCACTCGCTCTCGCGCTATAAACTCAAGTTTAGCGCTGACAAGGTGGACACGATGATTGTCCAAGCCATTGGGCTCTTGGACGAGCTGGACAAGGAGATCAACACGTACTCGATGCGTGTACGGGAGTGGTTTGGCTGGCACTTTCCCGAGATGGGCAAGATTGTGACGGACAACCTGCAGTACGCCAAGTGCGTGCTCAAGATGGGCGTGCGCTCGCAGGTCAAGAGTCTGGACTTTTCGGATGTGCTGTCTGAGGACGTGGAAGCTTCGATGCGTGAGGTTTGTGAGGTGTCCATGGGCACGGATATCTCCCAAGAAGACGTGATGAACATTTCGGCTCTGTGTGAGCAAGTGATCTCGCTCACGGAGTACCGTGTGCAGCTGTTTGACTACTTGAAGAACCGCATGAACGCCATTGCCCCGAACCTTACCGTCATGGTTGGCGAGTTGGTGGGTGCTCGTCTCATCGCCCACGCTGGCAGTCTGATGAACCTGGCCAAGCACCCGGCTTCTACTGTGCAGATTCTAGGTGCTGAGAAGGCTCTGTTCCGTGCTCTCAAGACGAAGCACGACACTCCCAAGTACGGGCTGATCTACCACGCTTCACTTATTGGACAAACTGCCCCTAAGCACAAGGGTAAGATCTCCCGTGTGTTGGCTGCTAAGACGGCTCTTGCTGTGCGCGTGGACGCCTTGGGTGATGCTACTGAAGCCACGATTGGCTATGACAACCGGTCCAAGGTGGAGGCTCGCATGCGACAGCTAGAGAATGGCTTCTCGGGCGTCCCTAATAGCAACGGTAAGGTCAAGAACGAGGCAAAGAAGTACACGAAGACAGAGACGAGCACTACGTATAACACTGATGCTGACATGACGGTGTCGAGCAAGAAGCGAAAGGCGGAGGAGGCGGAGGAGGAGGAGCCCAAGGTGAAGAAGGAGAAGAAGCACAAGAAGAAGAAGGCTGCTGCTGCTGCTGCAGAAGAGGAAGTTGACAAGAAGGAGAAGAAGAAGAAGCACAAGAAGAAAAAGAGTGCCGAGGAATAGATGCATCCGACATGTAGATGATCGATCGTTCAACGTCCCTTCCAATCTCTAGCTTTTGTTCATATGCGGTCGTGCCTGGACACGCTCTCCAACCATAACTTTATCACTTGCTTTCAATCCTATTACTTGTTATGAGCTGAAACGTCAAAAGATGATCGTCAGGTGTAGGATCTATCTACATGCACCGTGCAGCACCAGCCAAATGAACCAACAGTAAAAAAAACAAGCTATCTTGACAGGATACAGCAGCTGAATCACATCTTGTCTACGCAGCATGAACACGACAAGAGCCAGACCACCCCACCACCGCTGTAAAGTAGCCACCTGTCAGGGACCACAGCCCAGCTAGTCATCATCACTGTCTTCAGCATTCGCCTGCCCGCCGCCGAGCATTCCTGCCAACAACGACGACGGGTCCGTCGATCCCATCTCCTCTTGGGCCTTCTTCACATCTTCTGGGTCTGCATCATGACAATAACAATAGCAACAAAAACAGCAGCAGCAGCAACACAATAGCTGTAAGAAAAGCACCACCACGAATGCCTCAGCTGTCTCTACTGCATCCGTCCGTCCGTCCGTCCGTACCCATTCCCTCGGTCAGCTTTGGCAGCACGTACAAGAGCCCAATGGGCACGATAATCGTCAAGAACGAGGGGTTCATGATCAGCCCAAGGATGTTGAACTTCTCGCGCGGTTCAAAGTACTCGAGCTCCTTCACGGGCTCCACCACGAGCGGATACTCACATCCAGTCAACGGCGCGCCCAGGTACTTGGCCTCGAGCGCTTGGACGTGTCCGTCAGCCGCCACGTCCACGTGGTACTGGCTGAAGAGCAGCTCCGTGGACGGAATCGTCACCAAGTAGTGACCCGGAGCGACGTCGCGGAACCGGAAGAGACCGTCGGACCGCACGAACGTCGTCTGCTCGCCGCCGTTGAGTTGCACGAGGAAAGGCGCGACCTTCTCAGTGGGTGACGCGTGAGGGTGCACGATGCCGCTGATCTCGTGCGCGTGGGTGAGCGTTGGCAGCGACAGCAGCAGCAGCAGCACGGGCGATATGGTCGTCCATGGCTTCATGGTGACTGAATAGGGGCGGACGGTGGGGGATAGAGGAGGCGTTAGAGGGCTGAAGTAGTAGTAGTAGTAGGTGTCGTAGAGCTGTTGCAAAGTAGTAGGTGTCGTAGAGCTGTTGCAAAAGTAGCAGCAGGGGATGTGAGGTTGTTTTGACTGGGTTGCAATTTGATCACGCACTAGTTCGATTCGTGACCTTCAAGCTGGAGTCTCAAGAAGGAGACCAAGTGGTGTTTACGAGAGCACGCTATGCAATGCATGACGGTCGATTCAACACGGTAGGACAAGACCGGTGAACAAAGCAGCACATGCAGACTAAACTAACAAGCACAACGTGACTGTAGGTCTACGCATTGATCGCTAGAGTGTTTGAATCCTTGACTTCAATCTCACCTGAATGCTTCTTCTAGCGTGCGTGAAGTCGCCTTCCGACGCTACACGAGACGCAAACCACTGGAATCAACCATGTGTCAACTGGATGAGTCGGTCCAGGACTGCTTCTGCTTGACTCAGGTATTGCTCGAGTAGCGTACCATTTCCTTTCGCATTCGCAGTTCCGGCCGTCCTTGGGTTCATAATTGAGTGCTGCTTCTGCTGCTGCTGCAGCTGGGCGTGATAGCCTCGTTGATCGGACAACTGAAGTCGCAGGTACTTGAGTCGCTGCACGGTTTGGTTCCACAATGGACCGACTCGCGTGTCCGGTTTGATTGCAGACTGCAGCAATCGTAGGATATACCACAGCGCAGAGGCAGCTGCTAGGAAGACGTGCCAACTCTGAGACTGGTTGGGTCGCAATTCGTCACTGAAGACCAGCAGCACCTCGCCAAGCATTGAGGCGAGTTGCATGTCCAGCTCGCGTCTAGCTTCGGATTGAACACATCCGACGTGCGGGGCATCGTCGTGCTGTATTGAGAGACGAAACTTGGCCAAGTTGCTTAGCGACATTAGAAGATTCTGCATCACAACTAAATCGGCGGCTCGGGTGCTCATTCGTACAATGACGTTGTAGATAAGAGCGCATGCAGGAACTTCGAGACATCTCGCGCAACTCGCTGCCGACTTGAGGGTCTTCATCGCGAGAGTCGAACTTGCCGTTGGCATTGCGTCAAAATCCATGCGACGGAGTGCGTCCAGCACATGGTCCAACACCACGTCAGTGTGTGGCTGCAGCTTTCGCCTACACAGCGGGTTCGGTCGTCGTGATGGTTGTAAGAAACCAGCAGCAGAGCTTTCGTCCTCATTGTGGCTCTTAGTCGCTGACAGTTTATTCCGGGTTACGTTGTCTCGGGTCACCTCGGGTGATGCCAAATACTTGTCCGGTTGAAGGCGATTCCGGAAGACAACGCTCGAGGTGACTGCGTTCTCTGTGGAAATCGGCACCTCCTTTGCAGCAGAAGTATCAGCGATGGTAGAAGCTTGAGTCACGTGCGTATCGATTCTCACGGACGTTGGCGCATGAACTTTGGTGATCTCGTCAGACTCGGTCTGCTGTTGTGCTTCTGGACTGGGTTCACATTCCGGTTCTTCCTTCGCTCGATTGTCGTGCAGCATTCGAGGATACTCTGGAGATTTCTTCCTCCATCGCCCTCTCTTCCTCTCCACCGCGTCCATGGTCCTAACGAGTGCTGCCTCGTGCACTCGCTTGTCTTCGGCTTTACGCGAGGACGACGAGCCCCGAAAAGACTGGGAAAACGTACGCCGTACATTCGGGACGGCCACTACGTTATCGGCCGTCACCTGTTCGTAGCGACTAATTAACTTTGCCACTCTTCCAGCATCAACATCGTTGTTGTTCGACAGTCCCGCACCTTTCTCCTCTCCAGCACTAGTACTGCAACCACGAGTGCTACAGTTCGATATGACACGAAGAGGTCCCAGTGGATCTGCACGTCCTGCAGCGTCTTGTTGTTGGCCGTACTTTACAGGCGAACGGAACTCTTGCGCTGCTCTCATTGACGTGCTGTCCTGCAACAACACAATAGTCGGTTCGATCATGACAGCGAGTGTCGCTGGGCGTTCGCCTGCCTTGTCTTTGACATCTGTCGCATTTGAGGCACTTGTGAAGGTGCTGCCTACCAGCTCAACGTCACTTGCATGCAACTCCATTAATTCCAGAGCCTCACAGCTTTCGTCTGGACGGTACTCTGCGAACGGCTCTCCTCGCGTCCTTAGGAGAGACGGTGCAATGTTTTTCAGCTCTGGTTTCCAGCGTTCGAAAGTGCGTCTCATGAAGGCAGAAAGACGGCCCACTTCAACGATCTGTCGGATACCTTCATCCTACAGCTATCAACGTCGAATAGCTCAAGCATGTAAGAAGGCAACACCCAGCTCGATGGAAGTAATTTGAGTTAGTTGTTGTTACCTAGCACAAGACGTTTGTAATATGACAATAGAGACTAGCAGCAAATTAACGTCATGTATGACAAGTACACAACCGTCAATTCAACTTGTCCACGTTAACACATGCACCAATCCCACGATAACAACAACAACAACGAATAAGAGACACAATCCGATCTCGAGCTATTTCTACAGTCTCATAATCAGTTCCGTCCATTGCGATTCAAGTGGCCGCTAGAACACGTCGCTGTGATTCGTTCCCTCCAGCTCCATGACGCTGCTCTTTGCTGAAGGTTCCAAGACCGCTGAGCTATCGGATGCGAGACTGCGTCAGATCGTGCACGAGACGCTACAGAAGCTCGAGACCCAACGAGGAGGCAAGTTCGAGCGCGTCGTGATCGTGCCACCGGATTTCACCCGCTTCCACTCGTACGTGAGAGAAGGAAAGAGAGCGAGCGAGGGAGGGAGAGAGACGACGTGCTGTTGCTGTAACCTTTACTGTGGCTGCTGCTTGTTTGATGCTGTAGGAAGTCGGGGGTCTTGTCGCAGTTTGCATACGAGTATCTGCAGGATCAAGTGACGGATGTGCTGCCTGCTCTGGGCACCCACGACGCCATGACGGACACGGAGATCACTAGAGTGGGTGCTGTTTGTTTTCTAGCATGAGCTGTGGGATGAGTTGGTCCACGAAGTGCAGAGTCTTCATTGTCGTGCTCGTGGCAGATGTTTGGCGAAATGCCAAAGGATATCTTCCGTGTGCACGACTGGAGGTGCGATTCTGGACTGCAATAAACAGCAATGGACGTCCTGGTTCAGCTGATGATGGGATGGCGATGATCGTTGTTGTTGTTGTTGTTTTCTCGTGCTTTGGGCTGGGGCAGAAATGACGTAGTGACGATTGGTCACGTGCCGGCGGATCTTGTTTTTCAGGCGAGTGATGGCAAAGTGAACGAGCCGTGGCCAGCACAAATAAATAGACTGGTACGTCTTTGGTCCGGTGCTGTGTCGAGGGATGACAACGAGGCTCTGATTCGTGTTGGGAACTGCTCAGCTGTGGGAAGGCAGTCATGACTTGGTGCTCTCGATCGGGCAAGTGGTTCCTCACGAAGTCATGGGCATGGCCAACTTCAACAAGAACATCTTTGTTGGCACGGGAGGCAGCGAGGGGATCAACTTTTCGCACTTCATCGGCGCGGTCTACGGCATGGAACGGATGATGGGGCGTGCTGATAACCCACTTCGCCGTATCCTGAATTATGCCTCCACCAACTTCCTGCAGAAGCTGCCTCTCATCTACATCCAGACAGTGATCGGACGAGGGTATGTTGCAGCTGCTGGCACGCTGTCTACCTGACTGAAGCGTGACTGACTCAGGCTTGCGTTCATTCTGCAGAACGAACGGAGATCTTGTGACGCGCGGCGTTTTCATCGGAGACGATGAAGAGTGCTTTCTTAAAGCTGCCGAGCTGTCACTGGAGGTGAACTTTGAGCTCCTGGATACACCACTGGACAAGGTGGTGGTGTACCTGGACCCAGAAGAGTTCAAGTCCACCTGGCTCGGCAACAAGTCCATCTATCGCACGCGCATGGCCATTGCGGATGACGGCGAACTGATAGTGCTTGCTCCCGGCGTAGCTCGCTTCGGTGAAGACAAGCGCATTGATGAGCTCATTCGCAAATACGGCTACCGTACCACGCCGGTACTGCACGATTTGTATCCATGCTTTGTTGTGTAGCCGCTCATGTGCAATGCGTTGCTTACCACCTCGTGTCTGCAGGAAGTACTGGCCCATCTCAATGCCAACCGCGACCTCATGAAAAACCTGAGCGCTGCAGCACATCTGATCCACGGCTCGTCCGAAGGCCGATTTCGCATCACGTATTGCCCAGGACATCTCACGAAGCAAGAAGTCGAAGCTGTTGGCTTTGACTACGGTGACCTGGAGGAGCTTGGTGCCAAGTACCCAGTTGACAAGCTCCAAGACGGCTGGAATGTAGATGCCGACGGCGAGCGGTTTTTCTACATCTCTAACCCCGCACTGGGCTTGTGGGCGTACCGTGGACGGTTCGAAAGCTCCTCTATGTCCGGTGCTTCTTCTGCTGCTGAGACAGCCGTGGCGACGGGTCTTTCTGCTGTCGTGGACACGACCGAGGCCTGCCTCGATGCTGGTGTGGGTGGTGGTCCTTTCAAACACACGTAAAGCAAAACAGCTACCTGCTTGCAGCAAAAGTCATGATGTAGTGAGTTTCAACAAGCTTCGAATGAACGCACCCCACAGTCAACCCTGCTACAAACAACGCGTAAGTCTCAATATGTATCTTGACACCAACCACAAACGATGCAATAAACAATTGACTCAAGTGTATGATTGTCTCCTTCCTTTCTTCCTCGGCGAATCGTCTCATTCTCATTACAGTTGTAGCCCGGCCTACTTGAGTGGCATCGCACACGACATCAACCCCTCTCCCCCACAAACATTTTTGCCATCGAAAAGCAGCAGTTGCAAGAGCAATTCGTCTGCTTTTTTTACTCTCCTTCTTCACCCGCAACGACCTTCGACGCCACTTGCAGCACGTTACTGCTCCTTCTGTGCACTCTGGTAGCCCTTATGCTGTCTCCAGCAGTCCTCCAGTGCAGCCTGTTCCGCCCTCGTCTCGTCGATCCGGTGCCAACTCTGCTTCAGCGCCTTCTTGTACGCCGCAAACGTCTCGCCACAATGAGTCTCCACCTCACGGAGCCTACACACAACCACAACCACAAGAACGTCGGCTCATACAAACACCAAGTCAACTCGAAATACCTCGTGTAACGCACGTCTTGAGCACAGCTGCCGTGACTTTTTCCCCCTGCACGAGACACGCGAGAGGATTCGCGTCGCGCTGTTTGCAGCGCATAAACGCGAGATTCGCGTCCGCACATTCGTGCGCGAGGATCCGCGCCGCGCACGTGAGGCTTGCGTTGTCCGTGTCCGGCACCTGGGCGGTCTTGCGCGGGTCCACGGTCATGGCTGATGCTCGAGGAATGATCCCTGGCGTCTTGCGTCCAGGAGCTCTGAATGAGCGGCTCTGCTGGGATTGATGTGCGGTACATCGATTAGGAGATGTGGTCGACATCAAGTTACAGGCTCTCGTGTGCAAAAAAGGACACGCATGTCGTCGTAACTGGCAGCTTCGACTCGTCGAGCTCGTGCTACTTTAGACACCACGACCAGCTACTTTAGACACCACGATAGGCTACTTTAGAGGCCCATACAGGCACACAATGATGGTATCGCGTCTAGTGCTGCTGCTCAAAGTCCCACTGCTGACGAACACTTGCGTCGCCTTGTTCATTTAGTCGCTCTTCTGCCTGTAGCACCTTCTCGAGCTCCACGCGCTTCAAGTGTGGCTGGTCACGCTCCTTGTCGCTGTCCTGTGGGGTAAGGAGGCAGATGCGGGTCAATTACAGAGTCCACTACTGATCTGCGTAGCTACAAGAGACGAGAGCGCAAACGTACCAGCTCACCGACAAGTACGATGTTGTCACCACTTGGGGTTTAGCACCATAAACACAAAAGAAGTACAAGGAAGAAGCACGTCACATGAAATCACAAGGGTGCATGGGTCGTCAGCCTCAGATCGTCGCTCGTTTTCCAGTCAGAGATAGCTCACTAAAGCTGCTAGTACGCACCGGATGATATTGAGACCCAATTCAATGTCGCAAAAGAGTCCGTCAGCCACGTGCCGCTCAAATGTATCTTCGAGAATAATATTTGCTGATGAAAGAGCAGGCAAGAGAGCAACAGTAGCGGCAAGAAAAGCACTTTGTTAGCAGATCAAAGGTCGTCAACAGTATCGACTGTTGTTGTTGTTCATCGAACGTCAAGTGGAGCAGCAGAACTTACAGTACTGGTCGAAACTCCGCAGGTATCCAACGAGGTGGCGGCCATCACGCAAGACCATCAATACTTGCTCTACAGTCAAAAGAAAAAAAGCGATGGAATGATAAGAAAAGATATAAAAACACGTTTCAACAGCACACAATCCGTCAGTCAGTCGATCATGGAAAACTCGCTTAAGTTGATACGTTCTTATATACGATCAGTATACAGCAGCAAGAGACGGACAGATGTAGACGTACTATCTAGCTGCTGAAAGAGACTGCTGTTGCCTGGAAAGACGCCGTTCATGACGCTTCTCGGGGCGTTTTTAGTCTGCTTTTTTCAGTTGGGTTTGATCCAAAAGTAACAATAAGCGCAACGACTGCGTGTTGTGTGTATTGGAGCGGACGCACCGTCCACCACGCGCATTGGTTAAAACGAGCTCGAAAATACATGACTTTCAACCAGTCACACACGCACGTCTCATTTGCGGTCGTCCGACGTGTCCTAATTGCTCGATCATGTTCGTCTCGCGCGTGCTCCGAATGGCTGCGACTAAAACGTCCACGGGCCTCGTGGGTCTAAACGTGAACCCAAACGCTCGTCGAGATCTGATCCAGATCTACCGCCGGACGCTGGAGGAGGTCAAGGTGCGTTTTGTACCGACCGCTCTGCTTCTTGCTGTCTTTTGTACCAGCTCTTATCCCCCCTGCCTCCGTTACTACTGCTGCTACTGCTACAGATTCTCCCGCCGGAAGCTAAGAACTACCGCAATGCTGTGGAGCAGATCACGAACTTTCGACTGAATGTCGTGGAGAAGAACGAGGACGTGAGTGAGCACGCGGCAGTTTGTAGAGCTGACGACTGTGTCGATGGAGAGAGAAGGGGAGGACACAAGTTGATGGACTGGTGTTGTTCGTGCTGTAGGAAAACGTCATTGAACGGACGATCAATTGCGGACAACTTGAGGAGCTGATTGAGCAGGCAGAGGACGAGCTGAGTGTCATTCCTGTGTACATTGGTGCGTGTTGCGGATTATTGCCGCTCTTGGAGTGTGAGATGAGGTGCACTAACGTGACTCGGTGTTGTGTGTGTGTCGCAGAGCACAAGCTGTGGGAGAGTCCAGTGGAGGCTGCTAAGTGAGTGTTGTCACTCGGAGGTGGAGACCATCGCCGTGCAGGGAGATGACCCTAAATTTACTGCACCGCTAGCTCTCACAACAGCCCAGGACAAAAGTAAACAATCTCAGAAGCACATGATGCTGAATAATGCGATTACGTATTTGTCTACCAGTGCACGGAGCTTAGTTGCGGATCTTGCGACTGCGCGTAAGATTCGACTTGATGCCCGTGGTTTCGCCTCCGTACTTGCCAGCCTCGCCCACACGCACGTCGCGCACTTGACCCTTTCTTCTAATAACAGCCTTGCGGTACTGCATGCGCTTCTTGACGCGCGGGTTGCGGTTCAGCTTGCTCTTGTGAGCCTTCAGACCCTTATTCTTCATAATCTGGTACGACGCGCCACGTTTACCGGCCTCTCCGCTTTCTTCATCGCTGGACGCCAGAGCAGGTGTTTCGTGCGTGTAAAGCTCCTTCTTAGCCTTCTTGAGTGCTGTCTGATCACGGACGGCCTCCTCGTAGAAACGCTCCGCTTCGGCCAGCTCTTCCGCGGAAACCTTCGCCGCCACCTTCGGTTTCTTCGTCGTCTTCTTCGCTGATACTTTCTCGGCATTGGAACTGCGTTTGCGGTCCGACTTGGTAAAAAACTGGCCGAGACCGTCGTCAACCACTGACGGCGGCTCAGTCGGTAGCTCTTTCGTGAGCAAATCCTGCAATTGGCCGTTCAGTACCTCATCGATCGTGCGAAGTTTGTTCAACTGCTTCTTGAGCAGCAACAAATGCATCAGCACCGGATGGTCCGACACGCTCTTTCCTTCCGCACGCAATAGCAAGTAGAACGAGATATTCGCCGAGTAGTTCAGCAACAAGTTCTGGCGAGTCATCAGGTAGCGCAGCCCCATCTGCAGCTGACGCGGTTTCCGTCGCACAGGTCGCAGCTTGAGCACAGCCGGCGTCACCACTTCTGCCAGCTCTTTCGTTGTCGAATCTAACTCTGAGATAAGACCCAGTAGTTCAGGAGCCGATTGATTGACAATCTGCAGCTTGTCCTGCTTCGACATCTTGGAGAAATCCTTGTGCACCTGTTCTACAGTCTCAGCACCGCCAGCCCCATTGTCAGCTAGCGCCGCAATACCAGCCAGCTGCTCGCTCACCAGCTCCTCATCGTCCACGACCACCTCCTGAATCGTCATCGCTCCTTCCTCCTCTTCTTCTTCTTCTTCGCCGTCTGTTTCCGGCGCATCAATCCCAAAGTCCTCATCGTCCATCAGTTCCACCTGCTTGCGCTGCAGCTCCAGCGCCGCTTCTTCCTCATCTTTCGCCACTTCTTCATCAGATTCGAGCTCATACTCGGCCGTGTCTGCCGAGTAAAACGTCTTGCGCGACTGGCCCCACTTGCCCTCCATCTGCATCACCGTCCTGCGTTCAGCATCAGCATCATACACACCGTCTTCATCCATCATCTCCTCCTCCTCCTCCTCGTCCTCTTCGGCCTCATCTTCCTCGTCTTCCTCTCCGAGCTCCAGCACCTCGTCCCCTGCCAGCTCGTCCTCCTCCGACTCCACCTGCTCGCTGTCGCTCTCATTCGCTGACGGATCGTCATAGAACCTCAGCTCCGCGTCTTTCTGCACCTTCTGCGCCTCTTTCATCTGCTGGGCGCGCAGTCGCACCTCTGCGCCGCCGTCGCCCGTGCGCGCCGAGTGTCTCGCCTTGCGTCCCATTCCTCGCTTGGCTCGAATTTGACTGGCTACCACACGATGGCTGCCTTTTCGCCAACGGTCGATCCATAAGTACGGTCCAGCAACAGCACGTACTTAACGAGAGCTCCTCACCCAATGACGTGCCTCAAAAGACTCACAGTCAAATCTGATGCGAGCAGTGGGAACGCGAGCCGCAGCGAGAGCAATGGGCTGCAGCCAGCGCCATGGCGTCGTCTCGAACGTACCGCTACGAAGCGTTTCTTTCTCCTCTTCTATGTCTCTGCACCGTGGCTCGATGCAGGCGCTTGTACCGACCGCTAGGAGCTTTGCATCGACACCATCCCGTTCGCCCGTGGGAGACGAACCTAAGCATAAGTTCGCATGGGCCGTAACAGCTATGGCGCCGCCGTCTCCTGGTCGTGGGTTCATTGGGCGGTCCACTAATGTGGACGTGACGACATCGGAGAACCCTATCAAGCGCTGGCACTGGCTCTGGAAGATGCTGGGGTTCCTGAACGAGGACGACCGTCTGTTTCGACACTCGACGGCTGTGTTCCAGAGCTGCATGAACCGCACAGCGAGACCAGAGTACTATCAAGCACTGGGACTGTCGCGCTCGTTTCGATCGCAGCAGGCGCTGCTCATGGTGCACGTGTGGCTCGTCCACCGTCGCTTGGCGGTGGAAGGAGAGCAGGGCAAAGTCATGCAGGAGCTCATGTTTGACCGCTTGTGGGAGGAAACTGTCGTGCGGATTCGGTACTATGGCATCTCGGAACTTGCGGTGAACAAGCACTTGGCGGAGGTGCAGCAAGTGTGCTTTAACGCCTGCATTGCGTACGACAAGGGCTTGAAGAACGGGCCGAGTGTGCTGCAGTCTGCTGTTGCCCAGCATCTACTGGAGAATGAGACAGTAGAGGGGTTGCGGACTGCCAGCATTATGGCAACGTACATGAAGCAGGAGCTCAAGAACCTGGAGAAGGTGGATGCCAAGTACATTATGGAAGGCACCATCCCATGGAGCTCGCTACCAGCGACTCCTGCGACTGCGGTTGACAAGCCCGATCCTGACGACGACAACGACAACGACATGGTGCTCATTGGACAGCGTTTTGGCAATTGGCGGTCAGCATTGGACAACCGCGGGAAACTCTACTACTGGAATCTCACGACGCGGTACTCGGTCTGGGATCGCCCCACGGGCGACAAACTACACGAGGGAAGTGACGAGCACAAGTCGTCGTAACACTTTACCGACGAAGGTTCCGCAGCAGCTCCGTGTCGGTATGCGATGGATAAAGAGAGTTTATACATGACAGAGCACTTGGCCACGAAAAGTGTTTCGAGCGACAGCTTGAGGAACAACCAGCTGTTGCATTGTCATCGCTCTTTTTCCTGCCACCTCAGTGGATCTGCTCATTACCCACGTGCTTAGTTGGCTTGGTCTTCGCCCATGCGATCACGTCGCTCCTGCATTTTCTGCTTCACGTAGGCATCCGAAGCCTTGGCGCGCTTGAAATTGCTATCACGGATGCGTTCCTTTTCACGCTTGAAGCACCAGTCAAGGGCCGTCTTCAAATCTCCACAAGCACCGAAGAATTTCGCGTACGGGTTCTTTTCGTGGCACACGAGCAGCGCTTTGATCTCCTGTGTTGATCAAAAGTGTACGAGGAAAAAAAGGTGGAGAACGAGTTGTCGTCAAGTTACGGGTTCTTGCTTGCAATTTGTATCGGAAGTGAACGATGAACGCACGGTCTGACAGTCTGGATGTGGGCGGTCAAGTGGCGCGTGCATTCTGATGTGTGCGTGTGTGTGTGTGACTCGGAGGACCAGATGTGTGTGTGACTTACCGCAAAGTAGTATTTGTGGGACTGATCTACCCGCTTTTGATATCTGTACGACCGTGGCATGTTTATCTTGTGGACCACGCTCTTTTCTCGCGGGCCGGACCTGACGCGCACCATCCCTCAATTGTTGTTCGGACACACGATTGTACGCACAGCAGCAGCAGCAGCAGCAGCAGCGACAGGAAGTACGATGGAAGGCGCCAACTTTACCCCGCAGCAGAAGACCGAGCTTGTCAACCGAGTACGTGGGTACTGAGTTACGATAACTAGCTACCCTCGCTGCTGCGTGTGCAAAACCCATGGTGTTTGTAACGGGTATGGTCGACTCTGATGGTGTTCATGTGTTTTCTTCTGTCATTTGTACGACCGTCAGGTCCGCTCGGAAGTGCAGCAGCAGGCGCTCCAGGAACTGACACAGAACCTGCAGGAAAAGTGCTTTGACAAGTGCATTGCACGCCCAAGCGGCAAGCTGGACGGCAAGCAGCAGAACTGTCTCGCGCTGTGCATCAACCGCTACATTGACACGATGAAAGTGGTCTCGGAGGCGATGGTCCAGCGTGGGCCTCAGGTACGACTTGTTGTCGGTGTTCTTCTGTTGGGGCTGGTAGGAGAGAAAGAACCAGAGGCTCTCGGTGGAGTCAGGTCAGCTCTAACGTGCGGAGTCTGTTCTGTGTCGTTGATTTGTGAAGGGCTAAGTGGATGGATCCCTGGGCGTGCAGCATGAGCAGTTGAAGGACGAGCACTAGCCAAGCTGCTGCTGAAGTAAGAGCAATGAGTGGATTATAACGACGATGGCGCCGTGAGAATCAGTAACGGAGACGTCGACAATGTTGTTGCTGGAGATTGGGCGAGGCACTGCTGAGGATTGGGAGGTAGATCGGATAACATCAAGACAAAGGAGAGGCGTTCGTCATGGGCAAACTACTTCGTGCTTGCTCGTTCCTAGCTCCGACCTACTGTTCGTACGACTACGAGCGACCAAAGACATGACGAGGTCGACCCCGAAATACAACCGACTCCGTACGCGACACTTCCACGGCTCAAGCGAGCTCCCATTAGCACACCATCTTTACAGACGGTGCGTCTTGCAAGCACCTCGCTTTCAACCTTGCAGCCTTTCAAGTGACCAGCTACACGCTCCGCTTCGTGCTGCTCTCCACGACTGAGCATGCACTTAGTTCTTGGCGTCCGCCTGACGCGCCAACTCCGTCAGAGCCATGTCGCCTTCGCCGTGGTGACGGATGTAGCCAGCAAGAGCGAACGTGTCCGACTCGCCCGTAAAGACGCCATCAGCGTTCACGCGGCCCACGTTGATCTGCACCGAGGCGTTGTCCTTGGCCGCAAGGATGCGGTTGGTCCACGAGCTACAGGCGTGACAATAAACAACGAGATCAGTACAAACTTCATCAACTGCTGCAGTCAAGTGGATTGCAAATAAACGCACCATTTGCGCGGGATGTAGATGTCGATCGACTGGCCGTTCTCGTTCTGCATGGTCACTTGTCTGGAGTCAGTGGAATTCCTCAATACAGAGCCCTCGATCCAAGTCGCGATCAATTTTGAAGAGCTCCCGAAACCACTGGCCCGTACGTCAGTGGTCGCGCATACAAACCCCAAGTGAGACTTTCTTCCCTCTTGAATCCGATATTCACATCCACCCACCTCCGTCAATAGAAATACGCAGCAACCACTACTTCACAATAGAAATCCACCTATTTTTGATCTCGCGCGACCGAATCGAACAAACACACACACACAAACAACCAAAACTCATGTCAAAGCCGATCACGGAGCAGCAAGTGGTGGCCACGTACAAAAGTCTGCGGGCGGACGTGCGGCAGCTGGGCGAGAAAATCGCGGAGCTCGAGGCCGAGACAATCGAGCACGAGCGAGTGATCCAGACGCTCAAGGAGCTGCCGAAGGACCGCAAAGCTTATCGCATGGTGGGCGGCGTGCTGGTGGAGCGGACGGTCGAGGAGGTCCTGCCAGCTGTCACGTCCAATCGCGACGGCATTGCGCAAGTGCTGGCGCAGCTGAACGACAGCATCAAACAGAAGGAGACGGCGGCCGACGAGTGGCAGCGGAAGTACAACATCCAGGTGCAGCAGTGAGCAGAGACGGAGGAGCGAGAGCGGGCAACTGGCTGGCTGGGGACGCGGCGGGAGGATGGGAGGTCTCTGTTCTCGTTTTTTGGCAGCTGATTCCTTCGCTCTCGTGTTGATAGTAGTCATACAGGTGAAGATGAAGTAGTGGGACTCTAGGACTTGCCACTTGCTTCGGTGAGTGTCTGCATGAGTCGTTTCTGATCAATGGACAAGTTAATTGAACAGACACACGATTGAGTTAGTCGGGATGGAATAATGGACACATGCATTCGCAGTGGTGCAGCGCTATTGACGTCAGTGAGATGGGTGGGTACCTGCAAGGCCATGTTGATCGCCTTGATCTGGTCGTACTTGGCTGTCACGATCTTCAACTTCTCGTCAAACGCGACTTCTTGCTGCTCCACGATCGACTTGAGCGAGAACACGGATTGGTCCTGCATATGACAGAATGATGAGTGCGCGTCACTAAATGCTCGTCGACAGCGAGGTGCCCACCTTTTGCTCACACAACGCTTCGAGTTCCTTCACTCTCGTCACGAGCGACTCATCTTCTGCATCCGTTTTCCGCTGTCTTCCATCCGTATCGTGCTGAACTTGCTCGTCGTGACTCGTCGCACCTTCCTTTATCTCACCACGACCACCTGCATGTTCTCGACGTCCCGACTTGTCTGGAGGCAGCACCAAAAGCCGCTCGAGCTCTGTCAGCAGCTCTTCCTGCTGCGCTTGCTGCTCCCTAGCTGCCCCGATCTTTTCGTCGCGATAAAACCTCTCCCACTGTCGCAGTCTCTACAAGCAAACCCCAACAACAACAACAACAACAACGGAACAAACCATCAGCACCAGCACCTCCACTTCGTCCCCATAGAGCCAATCAGCACCACTCACCTGCTGCAGCTCCTTGTTCTCTTGCCGCAACGTCCACAGCTGCTGCGCGTCCATCTGCTTCTCCTGCAACATGCCTTCCAGCTCAATCGCGTACTGCACCTGCAGGTCCATCTCCCGCTCGTACTGCCCCAGCTTCTCTTCCACGGCCGCCAGTTCTCCCTGCAGCTCCACGTTGTGCTCACTCAAGAGCTTCCGGTCGTGCGTGTACTTGGAGATCCGCAGCTGCAGCTCGTGCTCCCACTTGCTCTGCTCCGTCTTGAACGCGTACAGCTGCGCCCGCTGCGTCTCCATCCGCCGCTGCATGCCTGCCGCCAGCTCCCGCTCGACTGCCAGCTCCCGCTCGCCCCACCACTGGCGCGCGTGGCCAGGCGCATCGTCCTGCAGCGTGTCGACGTCGTCGGCCGTCGACGTTGATCCAGGCTGCATGTTCGTGCGCGCAGGTTCGGTTGATGGGCACAAGCGAGAGGGTGTCACTCATTCGAAGAATCACAAACACGAGGTCCTTTTGGGGACATATCAAGCAGGACACAGCTGCGGTCGTCGCGGTGTCGAACGTGGTGGTCCACTTCATTTGTCCTCTGTTTTTGTGTGTGGCCCACTTCGTTTCTCCCCACGCGCTTCAATAGGAGCCATTGAATAGAAGAAGACCACGAAGAAAAAGGAGGAGAATGAACCGCTTTGTTGCTGCCGTCCGTCCGCTGTCGCGTGCTGTGCGTCGCCCGGCGTTTCTGCCTCAGTGCGTGTCGCACGCGCGTTTCCTCAGCGCACAGACGTTTCTGGACCGCAACGAGGTGAGCGAGCGTGTCCTGAGCGTCGTCAAGAACTTTGACAAGGTGAACGCGGACGTGGTCCAGGAGAGCGCCAAGTTCCAGGACGACTTGGGGCTGGACTCGCTGGACGTCGTGGAGGTCGTGATGGCCATGGAGGAGGAGTTCACGATCGAGATCCCAGACAACGAGTCGGAGAAGCTGCTCACGCCGGCGCTGGTCATTGACTACATTGCCGCGCACCCCATGGCCAAGTAACTGCTGCTGAGGGACGAGAGGAGCGGGAAGGGAGACACAAGAGACGTGCAGATTCTGGGCAGGAAGTGGACGCAAGGAGTGACGATGGACGATCGGGGGGGGAGTGCTCTCACTGCTGTCTGTAGCCAGCATCAGTAAGGAATCACCCAGAAAGTAAGTACGTTGAGATACAGTCGCGTGTGTGTTGGGTCGATTATGTGCAGTGCTGGAACTTGAGCTGACGGAGTAGGACGAGTGCTGGACGGTCTATCTGGATGACGCACGTGCTGCTTGAAGTTCAGCTGTTTCTGCATGTGGCTCGCCAATGTGCGACCGACCAAGTACCTGTCAGTCTGACCAGTTGTTGTTGCACTGGCTTGGTGGTGGCATAAACATCATCACTGGCGTAGCAACGATCTCGATGGCCCATGGCAGGTAGCACCTGCTCCGCTCTTATAGCTCACTGCTTACTCTCTCGCTGTTTCTCTGCTTGCAGACGTGACAAAATGTCGTTGATGTGGTTCTTCACAATGGGTTGCCCCGTCGCCGTGCGCTGACTCAACTTGACATGGCGCTTTTTGCGCTGCGTGACCTTCTTCTCGGCAGCTACTGTCCGCTTCTGCTTGTCGTCGCGAGCTCTTTGCTTCTCAATCTTTGCGATTGCCACCTTCTTCTTGGCTTTGAAGAAAGGGTCGGGTCGTGCCGTGTGCTGCTTTTTCTCGTCGCGGGTCTCTTGCCGCCGATCAACGCGAGCTTCCACCTGACCCAGCAACCACCAGTGAGCCATTGCTGAAGACTCTTACACCTTCGCAGCAGCGACGTACCTCCTCGTCTTCTCCTACACCCTCGTCTGCATCACCGCTCTTGAGCTCGCGAAAAAACCGATCGTAAAACGACGACCCAGTGGCGCTGTCTCCGACATCACTTGTCGACGCGCTGCCTTCGCGTTTCTTCACCTTTGCATACCGCCGCTGCCGCTGCGCCTTGTGGATGATGACCTTCTTCTTGCTGTTGGCATCGCTCTTGGTCCGCTGCGCCTTGCCCTTGATGAACCGCTCGATGCTCAACCCACTGCCGCGCATGCTGCTACTGTTCGCTGCAGCTGAGTTCGTCCCCACCAACCAATAGCCGCTCGATATGATTGGACGAAATCCACACTGAGCGAATCGATCACACCACTTCAACAACCACTTCAACTAGAACGAGTGCGACCTCGACAGCACGACTGCGTGATCCGACGTCTGTTGTTCTGCTTGGTACGCTGGCATAGTCGCAGTCGCTTGCTTGCACCAGCAGCCACAGCCAGTTGGACAAGCCGTTTCGACCGCAAACCACTCGCGGAGGTGCGCGGCGTGGCCTCCGTGGCCGCACGTCATGCAAAACATCGCTTGACCTCGAACGACGAGCTGGCACAGGGAACACCGGACTGCAAACTCTCGACAGCTCGTGCACACGAGATCGCTCGTTTTCTAGACAGCAAAAGCACGGACATGGGCACAAGACAACACCCACCCACCCACAGACAAAGAGGAAGAAGAAGCCAATCGGGTCAAGTCAGCCACACCAGGTAGAAGACAATGAAGCACTTTCAGGGACGACAGCCAATTACGTACCGCATTGCAAGAGCCACAGATCAACCCCATGGCAATGCCTCGTGAGTCTTGCACACTGTGGGCCTTTTTCTTGAGCACTTCGATGCGCAAGTTCATGGCACCATATCGGTAGAGTACATCAGCGTACGCCTCCTTGTAAATGTCGTAGCGCTTCTCGTCATCGGGATGCAACGACAGCAGACACTTCTCCTCCTCCATCGAGCGACAGCTCAACTGTAGCAACACGCGGTCATTTGCGTCCAATTCTTCTTCTCTTTTGCTTGGATCGAGCACTGGACGACGAGGAGAAGACGTCACGGGCCCCACCCTCGGAGAAGCAGTCACCGTCAGCGAAGGGGCTGGCGATTTCCCACTAACGGCTCGAATCGGCGACTGAAACGTTTCAGCCGTAAGTCGAGGCGGGGGTGCGTCTTTGTTGGAGTTTCCGCCCCATGTCTTGAACGGGTTTTCCATGCGGTCAAAGTCCACCTTCCAACCTGTGTGAAGTGTTGGTGCTGACGCCTTGTTTAAGGCTTCACGGTTCATCGCATTCAGTCCGAAAGAACTGCTCATTGTACGTTCTCGAATGGGGCTTGACTGTCGACTGGATGCGGCACTGCTGTTACCACTGCTTACTAGCGGCCAATCCTTTGACCCACGAAACACTGCATCTTGGTCGGCGGAAAGTCCGTGTGCGCGACCTTCACTATGGCTACTGGAGCGGCGAGTACCTCTCATAACAGGGGGTCCATCGCTCGCATCGGCCATGTTCATTACCGTCTGCGACAGGCTATTCGACGACGAACGTCTTGGACGCAACCTGCTGGTTGAGGTTGCAGGATGTCCAGACATGCAAGCCCCCACTCCATTGTCCTCTCCTTCAATGCTTGAGCGTCTACCCTCACGTACTACCGGAAGCTGATCTTCCATCGTAATTACCGAAGGAGTGACCACTTTGCGAATCTCGTCCCGCGTCTTGCGCTCGTTTGGCTTCAGCGCGCACACGATCGATGCCAGGGCTTGGACATCTCCTGCCTGTTCGTACATGTCAAGAATTTTATGCACGAGACGTTTGCCAAATGGATGGGCACTCCAAGGATGTGATGTTCGAAGAGAGAGCGATGCCGACGAGCTGTTGTTCTTGTAAATAGGCAGCTCCACTTCGGGTGCGGCGGAAATCCCGAGCAAAGACCAAATTTGCTGCAAATCGCGTCGACCTGCCAGTGTCGCAGCGTGTGCATTCTGTGCGCATCTCGCAGCTAATGCGATGCGGGAGTCGTCAAGCACGGCGTCGTTGTCTTCCTTTGGCCCCTTGGTGGCAGCAGTACTCTCGGTCGATAGAATCCGCAGTACACGGCTCAAGTTATTATTTGATGCGATTCCACGATTCCCGGGCATATTTTCCGCTGCTCGCAGCATCCAGGATATCATCGAGCGGTTTACAGATCCAAGGTGACTCTTCTTGCGACTCGAAGAGTTACTTGCCTTTGACGATACTGCCGATGGGATCACGCCGCATGGCATAAGATTGGTCTGGTGCGTTAGAATAGAAGACACGCCGCACAGCTTGGACAGGTCAAGAATCGTCACGCTGATACTCAGGTCAAGGTTTAGAGCTGGTGCAGCTTGCTCTACACGCTTCAACCGTTCTCCAGCGTTCGAGCGAACTGATACACGAGGAGACAGCTGGAGCCCAACTGCGGCGCCAGGAGGCATCGAGAAAATCTGTTCCGGGCTGTTGTCAGGTACATGGTACTCTGCATTCGAAAAAAACGTGTTCAGGTACTCGGATCCTTGTTGAATGGGGGATCCAGTTCATTCAGCCCACACAGCATGTCGTCGTTTCCGCATGTGCCTTTACTGGCTGAGGAGTAATACATTGACGAATGACGATATCCATGAGTCGAGCGAGCGCGGTTATCCGTATCCTCACCAAATACGCCCATAACAACACCGCTGTCAGCCAATTCTTGCTGCTGCTGCTGCTGTCCAGCCCAATCATTCGAGCCGACGTCCATTGAGCCCATGATATTGGCGGATGAAAGAAGCTGCACTGGTGGTTTCTTGTTTTTCTTGGTTGCAAAACGGGAATCTCGTAGATCGAGTAACTCTTCGTAGGTGCGCGGTAGCTTATTTACAGCTACCAGTGGCTTGCCCTCTTTGCCCGCCGCAACGGCAGTTGGAACTGCTGAGCTTCGAGATTGACCGATAGCAACGCGCGAGTCAAACACCAGTAGCATATTAGGCCCACTGAAAACTGCGCCTGAGATACGAGGGCACGGTAGCGCTCTCGCACCACTAGATCTTGTGGAACGCTCTCTCGTACTTGAAGGATCGTCTGAACGAGCATCATCGTTTTCCCGTGCCGTCATCAAAGCGTCCTCGTCTTCGCGCTCTGGACGACATTGGATCGCGCATTCTTTGTTAAGCTCCTCCTCGAGCGCAAGGAGGGCCTGCAACGATCGATCGTTGCCGCCCAACGTGTATTCCTCGATACTTAGTGGTACTGCTGTCTTTGGCACCACAAGCGGTAAGAAATCGGTCTTCAGAGCGGACAAGCTGTACTTGGAGTGCTGTGTACGCATCTCGGCGAACTCAGCATGCAGCAAACGACGGGCATCCGAGTGCAGGCGAGCATTTGTGTTGTTGTTCTCGGAAGGAGCAGCATCTGTACGATATGACGCGGTGTCGTAGCCACAAGCCTCAAGCTGTGGTACATCCACTTGCCACATGCGCAGCTCTTGGTCTTTTGACCATGAAACTAGCTGGTACACGCTTGTTGATGGACGGGAACGCCACGCCATCCCCCTCACCAGATCACTATGGCCAACAAACGAATGGACCAAGTCTGCTGTGACAGATGATGGTGCGTTAGCACCAGATATGTTCACGTTTCCGCCATCTCCATTGCCTCGGTTATCTCCATCACCATGCGAAAGTGCCCACAGCCGTATCGTGTTATCCATCCGTTGCGAAATCGTCACGAGACCGTCACCAAACGGAGTGTACTGCGCTCGCCATACTGGTGCACCTGTGTTCAGCGTTCCCTGACAGACACGAGGTTGTGTCACATCCCAGAACTTGACTGTCTTATCTTCCGAGCACGTCACCAGTTCGTATGTTCGCTCTGGGTGCCAGTCAATGCCGTAGATCTTTTGCATATGCGCTGTAATGAGAGCCGCAGGAGCTACCGTCCTCTCGGCACCAGCTCGTAGGTCCCAAACCCTCACTTCTCCGTCATGAGCGGTAGCTATAGACGTGGCGTCTACCCGATTCCACTCTACTTGAATCACACTCTTGTTGTAAGCATTCAACGTCTGAACGGGTCTCTGCGGTGACCGCATATCCCACAACAGCGTCCTTGCATCTGCCGAGCACGTCGCCAGCAGTGAAGGCTCCCTTGGTGACCATGCGAGATCACTCACCGATCTCGTATGAGCTCTCAGCGTTGCCACAAGAGGCTGCGAGATTGTCTGCGAGCCAATCTGGTCACTTGAGTCTCCTCGTCGCCCTCCTCTTCTGCTATAACGACCCTGTTCGTAGGCGCTCAACGAGCCCTGAGCTTCCCCAATGGACGCCAGACTCTCAACTCCCACTCCAGCATTTGCAATGTCCCAAATCAAAGTATTCCGGTTGCTAGAAGAGGCCACGTGGCTCTTGAAAAGAGTATGCGGATTGCACTTGACCACGGTCACCTCAAGCTTCGTCTGGTGGTGCAGCGTGGCGCACGGCATGAACGGCGTCTCCAGATCCATCAGATGAAGACCTTTTCGTCCTGCTAGAACCGCTATCGACCCTGTGGCGTCCACACTGAGAGCACTAGCGGTCACGTCCAAGCGCACGTGGATATTCCCGTAGATTGTGGAGCCTCCTGCGGCTGCAACGGAGTCGTCGGGGGGCAAAGCGGTACTGGACGATGCGCCTGGTTCACCGGATGCTGTCACGAGTGCGTTGTGCGGATCAGGGTTCGTATTCGGCGCGCTAACGGGGCCGCAAGTGGCGAGGAACTTGCGCTGTCGTCGCCGCATGACGGTGGGACCAACTGCGATTTAGTCACTCATAAGTTTGGATTTGATAAGCACCAATTGAAGCAATTTTGTGACCGCTCTTTTTACACCGCGTGCTAAGTACGCAGTCCATGATGTGATTTCCCCGTCAGTTGTGAGCGGCTTCGCTTTCGTTGCTGCTGACACTGTGAAATGTCATACTTCATCTTGGGAGTAGATCTATTTGATAGTATGTATAAGTAGGGTCCTGCAACGTATACCTACCTGCAACGAAGTGTACAAAATCGACGAGTATACACTGGTACGCATGAGTTGCAAGAAGCGCAGAAAAAAGGCTGCTCAATTCTCCATCGGCGCTTCAAAAGTTGTCTACTTGTTGCTACTTCTGCAACAGGGCGTGAATACAAGAGCAGCGCTCCCTCAGCAGCTCGACCAACCTCGTCTGAAGTAACTGGTACGACCGCACCACGTTTGTATGCGCTTTCGTCAGAGCCGCGTCTTTTGGCAAAGTTGACGTCTTTGACAACTCCTGCCATGTAAACTGAAGCTTGTCAATAGACGTCTCTAATTCCGCCAGAGCCTCGTGCATGCGCTTGAACAGACTCCGCAGTGAAGACGTAGCTGCGGCTACTCGCGAGCTTTTCTTGGCCTTCTTCTTCACTAGACCACGCTGTGCGAGAGTTAGCGCACTTAGCGAGGAGAGACCAGAGTGCAGCAGCAGTGACGACAGCACCGATACAGCATAAGGTGACAGTGCCACCTCCTTGTCCGACGAGTCTCCGCTCGTAAACACGAGCGTTGCACCAAGCAGCTCCACAATCGTTGCAAAGTCCTCTCCAAGCTGCGCCATTCTTGCTGGGAGATCCTCTGCTTCTCCGCCTTTGCTTCGGTCGTCCACCACTGAATCCATTAGCTGGACTGATGTCGCAATGCTGTCCGAGCTCCATCGCCATAGTCGCTCGTGAAGCTGAAGCTCACCGGTAGAACTGCTAAGGTGCAGCTGGGCCATGACTTTATCATACTCGCTCATCACAGCGGACAGAGTGGAAGAACGGTCATCGTCGGCAAGACACTTGAGCAGTTTCGGAACCAGCACGCTGAGCTTGAGCCACAACAGTGACGTGCCTGCGTTCGCTGACCGATCACATTCGACAAGAGGCGCGTCGTCTCGGCCAAACAAGTCGCCGGTCGGGACTTGCTGCTGCGAAGTCCAATCTACAACAACCTCTCGGTGCTGATTGTGTGACAGCATGGCTCCATCTGACGCTAGCATGGTCTCCAACTCAGTGACCTGTGCACAAAAATCGAGCGATGTTACAAGCTCGTGCAGTTTTGCGGGGCCAGCAGTCAACGAGTCGAGCAACTTGAAGCGCAGCGTCTCTCCTTTGCTTATGGCTAACGTGTGGGACTTCTTCATTCGCTTGTGCAGAAACGAAGACATGTCAACCACCTTGGAGTAGACACCGAGCCGATAAGCGCGGACAATGTACTCAGGTGTATCGTGCACGGTACTACGGTGCAGGGCTGCAATTGTATTCGTCAGCTTCTGTGCTTCTGGATACTGGCAAAGGTCAAGCATTTTGTCCAGCACCAAAAACGACAGCGAGTCCAGTTGCACGTACTTTACATCCAGCTCTGCGTGGCGCTTCAGCATAGCATCCGCAGCACCCAAGTATCCGTACACACGGGACAGCAGGAGCTTCATTTGGAAGTTGTACGCGCTCCTCTCGAGCCCATATTCCAGCAGTCCTGCGGCACGCTTCAAGTACTCGCGATGGCCGCTGGATCGCTGATAAATGTCAAGCAAAAAGTGCGTGGCAAGCAGTAGCAAGTCATCCGTAAGCTGCACCTCGCGCTGGCCACCTGCGCTACCAATATTAAGCCAGTTCGTAGCTTCATACTCATCCGCAAGCTCCTGTACCAAACGATTCAAGTCGTCAACCGAGAAGTTCTCAGGAGTGGCATAGTAGCCCAAGAAGCGAAGTGCCTTAAGAGCAAGCAGGCGTCTACTCAGGTTACTTTGCCCGTCTTTGCGAGTCTTCTCATCGATGTCACCGTCTATCGGTTTATTCTTGAGCAAACCTGCGGAAACCTTCGACAACTCACTAAAGTGCTGGACTAGATTAGACTTCGCGGATAGCGACGTGCACTCCATGAGGTAGAGTACAAAGTACTGCTTCAAGTCAGTGAAGCAACACGCTTTGGAGTAAAACCGATCCACGTAGGTTACGATATGCGCATGCAGCTTCGTTTCTACCTCCAACACCGTCACGTCTTTCGGTTTCAGTCGACGCAAGGTTTCAGCACAAACATGAATCAGAGCGAGAGCAGGGCCTCGAATGCGCTCGTTGTCGGGACGAGACTGCAGCTCGTTCAAAAACTTCCTGAGTTCTGCTTCTGATGCCAGCATTTCGTCAGCCGTACAACCCCCCTTCTCTTCGAATCGTGCTTCAATGTACCCCTTTAAAAACGTCCAATCATCTGCATTGTACTTTTCCAGCAACTCTCGATTTGCTGCTGCACATCGGGTCCAGTTTGCCACATTCTTCGCTAGCGTCGCTTCGAGAGACAGCCTATCAATAGCCTGCATGGGTCCCAGTTCAATTTCCTCTTCATACGCTCCTTCTCCCTCGGCCGCTCGTTTCAACGTGATTGATTGTTTCATCTGCTGCTGCTGCTTCTTTGTCGTCATCACATCCTTACTGTCTTCCATCGTCACAAACTCGTCAAAAGCATCCAGTGCACCCTGATGCTTTTCCTGCAGCTGCATAACCAGCACCGTCAGCTGCAGCGCTTCGCCATCGTCCGACCTGGACTCTTTCAACGTCTTGAGCAGCATCTTTTCGGCCAGCGCCAACATCTGCGTCGACGCGCCTTCGTGTTCCACCTGCAACATCATGCCCAATGCCGCCCAGCACACGTACTTGCTATTGCCAAAGCACTTGAACATCTTAAGCGCCGTCTGCTGCTGCTTGAGGAACGTGCCGCGTCGCACGTAGCTCACAAACAGCGACTGGAAGAGCTCTTCCTGGGGCGGACGGCTGACAGCGCACGCGTGCTCGAACGTCGGCAGCATCTCGTGCTCGCGGCCAGCCAGTTTGAACACCAGGTTCATCGTGTTCAGCAGCGTCTCGTCTGTCGGCTGCGTGCGCTGGAGCCGGCGGCAGATAAGCAGCGCCTCGTCCACGCGCCCCGTGCGCTCGAGACAGTGCGCTTTCAGCACCTGCACAATGTCCAGATCCGCCACGCGCTTCTGCGTGCACAGCTTGATCGCGGTCTTGTACTGTCGACTGTCGATGGCGTCGTAGATGGGCCGCACGTACCGCGTCAGGAGCCGCGCGCGATCGCTGGCCATGGCTGCTCACTCGATCTCTCGACGCGTCGAGAGAGAAGCCGTTGATTCGTTGATATGCTGCGAGGGTTTTGACCAATGGCGCGTGTTTGAGTGTTTGAAGTGGTTTGTCGCACAATGTTACAACTGCCCACTACAATATTCCAATACATACATATTGCAATGTCGCGACACGTGATGCGCGCGATCAAGTCGCTGCGCTGTCGACAGACGGGAGTGCAGACTGCACGACGCATGTTCTCGTCGGAGCCGGTGCCAGGAACGCGTGTGGACAAGTTAGGGGTCCGAATAATCGTCGTTTTCGTCGTCTTCGTGTTGATATCAGGTCGAGACTTGGAGGGAGATATTGCTAACTGTTGAGTGGCTTGTTATCGTTGTATTGCAATAATCAGCCAGTCACGTGGAGCGGATTGGCGCTCGCGGGCGTTGTGAGCAGCGGAGTCGTGTACTATTACTACTCGGAGAAGGACCGTCTGCAGACTCAATGTGCGGGATCAAATAGAACAGTTTGGCTGGGCATTACGCGCATATCTTGGAGACTTCTTACCATTGTTGTTACTTTTTCTCGTTACTTTTGGGCTACTGCAGCTACGTCTAAAGTGACGTCTGTGGGCAAGCCACTACTCGGTGGACCGTGGACGCTTGTGGACTGTGACACGCGCCGGGCGGTTACGGACGCGTCGTTCCGTGGCAAGTACGCGCTGCTGTACTTTGGCTTCACGCACTGCCCTGACATTTGCCCCAATGAGTTGGTGCGGATTGGTGACGTGCTGGACAAGCTCGAGGCTGATAAGTGCCCGGAGGTCGTGCCGCTGTTTGTGACGGTGGACCCGAGACGGGACACGATCAAGCAAATGCAGATCTACAAGGCCGACTTCCACCCCAAGTTCAAGATGCTCACCGGCACGCAAGATCAAGTGGCGGACATTGCGAAAGCTTACCGCGTCTACTTTTCCAAGGCGGATGAGAACGACGCAGACGATGACGACTACTTGGTGGACCACTCCATCGTCATGTACCTTGTCGGTCCCGACGGTGAGTTCCTCGACTTTTTCACGCAGGCTGCTCGTGTCGACGACATTGTGGCGAAAATCAAGACGTACGTGAAGGCGTAGGATGTGAGTGCGTGCAGCGACTCTTGCTGCAGTGAAGGACAAGGTGCAGACAGATGCTCCAGTGACGTTCAGGGTTCTTGCCGCTGTCGGAGTCGTGCCAGCTTCGACGAGAAAGGTCCGCCTGTACAGTTGACGTCGTGTCCGGACTAGTTGAGCAAAGAGTGATTGGAATGTACAAGAGAAAGAGGCCACGTGAAAAAGGACTTTGTCGTCGCAGTCTCACGACGTGTGCACAAAATTCAACAAAAGTTATAAAAGTGCGTCGTTGGCCATTGACACCTCCTACGTTTTGCCTTGAGCTTGTGCAAATCCCGACGAGGTAGAGCACTTTCGGCGCACATCACGTCATTGTCCAGTTGGTTGTTGTTTCTCGCGCAGTCCATTAACAATCGCTCCCGTCGAACTTGTCCGTCGATTTGATCTGCCACCTATCCTTGCACCACCAAAGTGCTAGACAAACACGAGGCCAATCATTAGATTGAAAGAGTACGCGTAAGTTAAGCATCGCTGCTGATGGCCACAAATTACAAGCTCACAACGCCTGCTCAGAAGACACGTTCGTAACGAGCTTGCTTACAAGTGGCAACACGAGCAGAAAACCACTTGGGTGGTCGTGTTTGACGAAAGTAAGCACCTTCCATCTCACATCAGCGCGTCTGCGATCAAACACTTGACGATGTACTTCGCCCTTGTTTGCTACATTAGCGGTTCTTGAATTTCGGCCAAGTTTGGAGTGCAACTTACTCCACTGGAAGCAGTGATTTTGAAACGAATGCGACACCGCTGTGCGCAATTGACGAGCAGTAGAAGTGCAGCGGAACAGCGTAGTACTACGAAGCCGTCAATACGGTCGCAAGCTTATGTAAAGACCGGCGACGCGGTACGGAGAAGGCGATGAGAACAACTTCGGGGCAGTTTAGCTGGGCCAGCTAGGGCAAGTGAGGTAACAAAAGCAGCTACTTCGTCGTCATTGAGCTGGCTTGTTGTATGTATGTTGTTACCAATGAATGCAGCTGGAAAGTGCATGTGTGCAAGACTGGGTCGCATGGTTGCATAACTACACCGTAGACTGAATCAACAGTTCAACTCGTGATGTCTAGCTGTGCTTTTCATCCGTTTGTCATATCGACACGCTCACGTAGGCTTTTCAATAGAGGTGAGTAGGTAACTGTAACGGGGCACCGGGGCAACACACTGGACAACCAGTGTGGAGCTACTCTCACCGACAGCAGTGTGAGTGGTGCCTCGGTACCTCTGTAAACTACGCAGAGGAAGGGAAAGCAACTGGGAAAACTGACTAGTTGCTGGTAAAAGTAAAAATATTCTACGTGTTATTAAGTCCTGATCATTATTCTATGTTTTAGTCCTAACTTCATTGAATGTCTCGACAAAACGTATGCTAAAGTCTTACTCACCACTCATTGCACGCGTCCGTCGTTGTTTGGACCGCTAGAGCTGGCTGAAATGGTGACCCAAATCAGCCAATTGGCGAGTGTTTCTAAAAGATTACCCCTCATGGTGATATTCACAAACATTATCAATCTATATGATAATATTTGAATTAACAAGTATCAAGAGATTATTACATGAAGCGTACTCATCCCATTACCAATACAATGTGTTAATTTAGCAAAATATTTACACTTAATAATTACCTTAGGCAAATACCACGAAGCGGACACATTCCGTTACAGCGCGGCCAAAGTCGGATCCGTGCGACATATTCACTACTTTTTGCTGTTTTTTACTATTTTTCAGCTCATCGTCACAAAATCAGAGTAGACATATCTGCACTTTTACACACAATTGCTACTTTGCCACCATCATCCCCCACTAAAGCTCACCATGGTATCGACACGCACGCCGACGGTTTCCTTCCTGCTAGTCAGTATTCCACACGACAGGATGAAAGTAAACTTAAACCGGTACATACCAGTATCCTTCTAAACCTGATCCAAGCTGCATCAACTTTGATCAGCAGGAGCTGCTCACCTGCATCTTGTTCATCCGCTGCCACCCGCTGCCATGTCGACTGCGAACCAAGTGACGCGTACTACGATTCAGGTACGCGCGCTACTCCTGCTAGTCTTACTTCTGATATCTGTGTACAACGCACGCGTCTGACAACTGTCGTTGTTCATGCTCGCGCTCTCTTGCACAGTTGTATCGCGACTGCATGCGTCTGGCCAAGCACATTGGCGGCACGGTAATCACTTTCCTCTACCTCCCTCCATTTCCGGCTGTGTTTACTGGTCTTTACATCAAGACAGTCAGTGACAGCTGCATCTCTGCTGTGTCGTAATGTGACAGAGTAAGAAGGGTCAGGCCATCAAGGAGCTCGTGCGTCGAGAGTTCGACAAGGGCCGCCGCGAGGTTGACCCGGAGAAGATCGAGGCACTGAAAGCCAAGTACGTTACAGAACATCGAGGGCTCTTGCCACTCGCTCGCCTTATGATGTTGCTAACAAGCTCGATGTGGTTTGTGCCGCTCTTCACTGTTAATTCTTTTTTTGCTGCGTAGTGCTGTGCGTGGACTGAGCAATTACCTCATGCTGGCCAACTCGAGCAAAGACCAGCGTCTGCACGACGCTATGCACAAGAAGTCGCCGCTGACAGCTGAGTACCGAGACGTGTGAGTTAGCAAGCCATTTGTCTAAAGAAAACGGTCGACCACATATCAATACAAAAGCATTTCTCAATATCGAATCGTCTGTCGCACGTATAAAATGGTTGATCTATTTTCGTGTCGCAAGAGCAAAGATACTCGCAGAAATATCCCCACCCACACACATACCAAAACACGTCACAATCTGGCTCAAATCACAAATTCCCAACGGATCAATCGCAATGAATCGTCGAGCGCTCGCTCGGAAGGCTGCGGGCGCCAAGGCCGTGGCCCCCCACAGCCTCCTACACGACCAAGCAGGCGTTGACAATGTGAAGAAGAAGCTGCAGCTGCAGCTGGAGACAGGCGACTTCTACGGCGCTCTGCAGATGTACAAGACGCTGTTTATGAGGTACTTGAAAGGGGACGAGCCAAGTGTCGAGCAGCAGGAGAAGGCAGCGGCGCTGGCGCTTGACGCAGCGCTCGTGCTTATTGATCATGACGAGAACACGGCAGCAGTTGAGATGGCCAACCTCATGGTCTCGGTCTTTGCCGACTTTGGTCGTCCAGTGGACGAGAGACACAAGCAGAGCGTGCGTCAGATCGCGTCTGCTTTCGAGCAGAAGCCGCAGTTTAGTGCCGACGTGGCGGTGTTTCTTAAGAACGCAGTCAAGTGGTCAGCAGCGAAAGGGGCGAGGAAACGAGGAGATCCAGAGCTGCAGCTGCTGCTGGCACGAGCGTATTGCACCGCGGGGGACTTTCCACACGCGATGAAACACTTTCTGCATGCTGAGAATCCTGACGAGATGGCTAATGCGCTATTTCAATGGTCCACAAGAGGGTATCCGAGTGAATCTGACTTGTACCTTGCTCGAGCTGTGCTGCAGTAAGGAGATGTTGGATGAATTTGGGCTGGTGTGGAGATTCGGAAGTGATGCTAGCTACGATCATGCTGATTTTTGCAATGTTTGATGGTGGTGGGACGACACAGGCTGCTAAGTCTGGAAAACCTGCGTGATGCCAACAAGGTGTATGAAGCATATGTGGCCAAGTGCCAGGATGCAGGACGACCCGTTGACTTGCCACTGATCAACTTTACGCGATTCTTGTTGTTGACGCTGGAGGTGAGGACGTGATTGCAACATTTGCAGAAGCTGGTGGACGTTGTTGATACTTAAGCTGTGGCATACGCTTTCTTTTGATCTGGTTGCTAGCGCGATGCACTCCCCCTCTTCCAAATGCTTCAGGAGCGTTATGCGCCGGCGCTCGCTCGTGACAGTAGTCTCAAGAGCGTACGAACTTACTGTTGCCGCAGTCGCCATTGTGGCTGAGTGGGATCTGATCTGTGTATGATTGTTTTGCTTGGCCGTTGCAGTATGTAGACATTATCGGTCAGAAGTTTTACGGACTCCAGCCACCACGATCGGGACTCAGCTCTCTGCTCGAGATGTTTTCGGGTGGAGTGCAGTAATGTGCACTGGAATCGTATAAAATGGAGCAGGGACTAAAAGTAGGATACAGAGTCGCTATTTCTGTACCGTTTGTTTCCTAGACCGGACGATCCCGTAAATGAAGAGCGCGAAACTCGACGTAGACTATGAGGTTGTTTATCGATTGCTCAATATCTACCAGACACTAGCTGCGAGGGACTATCACTTCTCGGACGGAATTCACGTAAGTCAATTGTACCAGGATCGGGAACATCATGTGCTTGCGTTCTCATTTTCTCATTCATCGCAAAAGACGTCGCCGACTTCACGAGACACGGTCCAGAGTCGATCGCATACAAGATGTGACCCTTCTTCCGGTTTGTCCATCACCGCTGGAACGACAGGGCAAAGCTGGGTATAGCGAGACACCGCTTTTCGACCTCTTGCACGCTCTAGCTCCTGTCTCCCGCTGTCGCCAACTTCTTCTTCTGCTTCTTGGCCTCCTTCCTGAGCTGCTGCTGTGACTTGCGCTTGAGATTTTCAACCATGGCATTCAAGGCGTGTTTCCCGCTATCAGTACTTGCAGTATTTACATCAAAATCGGTAGGCTTGGCCTCGACGGCGTCCGTGTCATAACGTTGCCGCCGTTCCTTGAAGATAGCTTGGGTGGCCTCCGTCTTCTTGTACTTCGGGTCCGTTGGATCAAGTTGGAACTGCGACCCCTTAGCGTAGAGAGCGCCGAAACGCGGATCGGCTGCGTCAAACTCGAAACTTTCCTGCATCTCGCCACTTGCTTTTTTCTTCACCAACTTCTTCATCTCCTTGACACGGCGCTTGCCCTTCAGAGATTTGACCTTCTCTTGCTTGGCAATCAACTTCATGTTGAAGTTGCGCTCGTCCTCATCGCTATGACTGTTGCCAGCGTCGCTGTTTCCGCCGCCACCGTTAATGGCCTCACGCAATAAGTTGACCTCCTTGGCACCACGACCTTTTTTCTTGAGCACTTCGCGCTGTTCACGCTCCAACATTTTCTGCCGTGCTCGCTTCTCATGTAGCTTACGATTTTTCTCCAGTTTCTTCTCCCGCGTGTAGCGTTCGAACGGCGTCTCGTTCGCCTCAAGCTCCTTCTGCCGCTTTGACTTCAGTACTTCACTCGCACCAGGCGTAAACGACAGCTCCATGTCACCCTCGTCACGAGCTCCATCGTCGTCATCAGTGCTTCCTCCTACACTCCCTCGAACTACATCACTGTTGTCATCATCCTCCGCGTCGCTGCCGAGCAGCATCGATCGGTAGCGGTTCCGAAGCTTTTTGATTTTAACCTCCTTCTTGGACTTCTTCTTGCTGTCCAGATCACCAACATCCGTCTTGCCCTCTGTCTCTTTCTCCTCATCACTGTCTTCGCTATCAGCTTCAACTTCCGAAGCGTCCGACACATCCGATGCAAGGTATGCCTTAAAGTCATCGTCATCCGCATCCTTCCAGTCAGCAGGACGTGTCAGCAACTCCAAACGCTGATCATCATCTTCCTCCCATGTGAGTTTCACATCCGTTTGCTGGAGCGCTAGAGTTGCAAAGATAGCTGGCTTGTACCGGTCCGGCACGCCGTCACATAACTCCTTGGGTGTGTTGCTGAACGTCATGTCGTCTGGCACGTAGCGGAGATCCAGAACGTTGGACGAAGTCTCGTACTCTAGCTGATCGCACTGGTCAAAGATCGTGCTGGCCGTCTTAACTGAATCACATGTCACGATGGCATAGTAATACCGCAGCTTCTGCAGTTCGTACTTGCGCAGCTTTTCGCGGTCAAAACCGTCCGATTCGTCTTCCAGCGTCACACTCTTTTTTACGCCAAGCGGATCATCGGAGTCATAGTCCTTCTCGCCATCCTCGCTGCAGATGTCGTCTTCATCCCTACTGTCAAACGTCTTCTCGCCATCACCAGCACTCGTATTCTCATCGTCTTGTTCGCCACCCTCATCGGACTTCTCATCGTCTTCCTGTTCGCCGTCATTCGTCTCGTTCTTGACCCCATCATTCCAAAGACCTTGCGGCCCATGCTGCTCTTCTTCTTTCTGCAAACGCATCGACAATTTCAGCAAACATCTCTAGGTGAATTCAAGTCATCACATGTGCACGTACGGTTTTCTGAAGACCATAGTCCGAAGGATAAATGGTCACGTTCTCAACGGCACCTGTAGCAGGTGCGAACGATTGGCAGAGGGCAAACAAATCGACAGCACGGATACGCGTCCAGTCGCAGTTGAGCACAGCAAAGCGCCTCGTTTCTTCGCCCATGGGGATATCTTCCGCCTCTTCTTCCACCACATCTTCCACCTCGTCATCGCTGCTGTCGTCTGAGTCGGAGCTGTCCGAGCCCGAGCCGAGTTCGCCACGAGCCATGCGATTCAAATAAGTAAGACGCGAGAGCTTACCTCCACTCTCTACAGCTGCCACTTCTGCCTCTCCAGAATCATCATCAGAGCTCATTGTAGACAAGACCTTCTCCTCATCGTCCTCCGTATCGCTGTCATTCTTCTGCATTTCCCCCTCCTTCTCCTCCTCCTCTCCTTCAACCTCCTCCTCTTCCAGACAATAAAACTCCTTCATCTCATTGTCCCTCTTCTCAATGCGACGTCCGTACTTATCGTACTTGCCCTGCACGCTCTGGAACCGCTCGTTCGTGAGTGCCCCAGCAAACCGGCGGTCGACCTGCAGTTTGTTCTTGCGCTTCGAATTGCGGGCAAATCTCTGGAACACACACACACACACGCATCTCGTCAGTGTATCCACCTGCATGCACTCGTTCACGACGCAATCACTCACCGGATCATTGTGCACTTTCTGGAAGCGCTGGTCCCGCACGGGATCGCTCATGTCAATGCACTTGTCCAATGTGACTCGACTGACTGACTGATTGGCTGGTGGGAGCGTGCGATCTTTTCAGCCAATCGTTGTGTCACAGGCTAAAGTTGTGCTCTTTTATGTGACCGCCAGCGCGTGACGACGCCGAGTCAGCGAGTTTTGTACCACGCTGTCACATAAATCGCTTTTGAGACAGAAAGTCTCGTCACAGCAGTGCATAAAACGTGCGGTCGCAGACAGAAGTAAACTTCGTCAGTATAAAGTCAGAGCCATTAGAAACGCTGCACTGGATGGATCATGTGGATGCATTCGAACTTTGAGCACTTGCCAGTCAGCTGCTATCATTGTTTCACATGCCCAGCATCGATGTCTGTGTCCTGCATCATTCGATGTTGAAAAGGCAACGCGACAGACTTTACGCTGGACTGGCGTCGTGTACTTTGCGCCACGATTTCGTGTCAGTAGTCTTCAAGCTCGTGGGTAAAGGCAGTGGTGGTGGTATAGACGGTCTGTTCCATGATCGTGGTAATATTGTGAACCACCACCACTGCCTTTACCCACAGGCTCGTAAGCACTCCATTTGCTACTGACGGTACTGGAGGCTTTGCTGTGGTGCTACAGCTCTTCTGGTGCATCATGAATCAGTGCTTTGTCCTTCTACTGGTTGGGAATGCACTCAGCGTGAAGCTGTCGGTACAGCATGCTACAACTACGAGTCGGCGACCCTAGCTTTCGGGAGGAATGCGTTGTCTCCTTGATGAGTACAACGCAGACGAATCATTGATCGGGACGAAGTACTCGAAAGCCACTGGAGCCAGAAGTCCCACACATTACCAAACCATTGCAGCAATCGTGCGTGCTCGAGATACATTTTGAAGTTACCAAAACCAGCCTTGTTGTCCCTGTTGTTGACGCTTTTCCTGCAGAACTCACAAGACGCATGGCGATCAGAGATACAAATTGCACACGGATACAAAGTACCCAGTTCATCCTGTAACGTACCTGTATGGAAGCAATTTCTGCTGGTGTAAAGTTCAGAATTGTCGCGATAGCCTTCTCCATGTGTCCTTTAGCCTGAATCGTAAGCATCCAAAGGCAGCGTTAGTGCCACCTCCAAACACGAATTGCATCCTAGCTCGTACCTCGTTTTGACTCGAGGACATGTACTTGTACACTATATTCTTCAAATACTCATTCGTCTTCATTGCGTTGGGCGTATCGAAACCCGACAGGCTGCTGTTAGACTCCATACTCGTGCGACGGGCACGAGTTTCTTTGAAACTGTTGATGCGGTTCACACTTCTGCTCTCATCCCCAGCTTCGCGGTACTGCGCTTGCATGTTGTTCAGCTCCTTATCTTTCTGATCCACAGCGTTAAGAGCACTCTTTCTGTACTCTGCAAACTCCTGTCGCAGCGACTGTAGACCGCCATTGCCATTTCCGCTAGCTTTGCCAAGCGCACCATTCGCTACTTGCCTCAGCTCCTTTACTTTCTTTTCTAGTTCCTGCTTTTCGAGAAGTGACTGCTCGTATCTATAACCAACACGTAACTCAATCAGCGACGCAGGATCTCAATGCGCCAAGCTATAGCGTACACATCGCAATCTACCTCTCTCTCCATTCCATCGCGAGAGCTGTCTCACCCATAGTCCCACTCAGCTTCTCATAATCCTTCACCAGTCTATCAAACTTTCGTCGCCATCCAGACTCCTGAAGAGCAGAATTGCAAGTATCCGGTGCATACACAAATCAGCACATGCATAATCTTTGATTGCAAAGCGTACATTACCCGCTCCTCAGCTTCTGCTTGAGCCTTTGTTAGCCGGCGAACTTGCGCCTTCGACGATTGCAGTTCTCCTAATAGATCAGTCTCTGATATTTTTTCCGTCTGCTTCGTCACCGCATTCGCGCTTATCTAGATAATCAGCAGCAAGCACCGATGTTAAGTACACCCGTCAAAACTTTCGTCGCGTGGTATTGCTCAAACACACTTTTCGAATTTCAGCGTCTTTTTGCTTTCGCGTGATCTCCGACCGAACGCGATAACGGCGAAACTCCTCTTGGACGCGGTCAATTTCAACCTTCAAACCTCTCTTCTACAATCAGGAAAAGAGAAGCACTACATGTCAGAGACGCAACCTGTCGCATTCAAGATCAATCCCAAACGGCCGTACAACACAATCCACTTCAGACGGCGTCATGGAGAAATCTGGCAGCGTCAGAGGTTCCCCCGATGCGCGGTTCGCATACTCCTGGATCTCTTCCTCAGAATGGAAGCAATGCCACGCAAACTCTCTCGAGTCATCCAGCTCGTTTTCGTTAGCATATTCCACAAAGCACCAAAGCACATTTCCATGCGCCACTTTAAGCAGCAGCTTTTTCGGATCTCGAGTGGACGTGTCCACAAACCACGATTGTGTCGCCTGTTGGCTCTGCGACAGCTCTTTATGCAGCTTCTGGATGACTCGATCTTTCTCTACCAGCTCCTGCTTGCTATTGTCAATACTACGCTTGGCCATCGCCAACAGCCGCTTCAGCTTGTTCTCCTGTACCGTCACGTATGAAATCCCATTGAGACATTAGCTACAGCACACTCAATAACAATAGAGCTGCAGAGAACTCGCCGTCTCCTCCATCTCTTGTATCTTCGTGTTCTTCTTCGCCAGCAGCTGTTCCATGCGCGTGCTTCGCTCTTTCCAAGCATGCAGCTGCGTACAAATGTCTGCATTGCCACCAGACTGCACTGGAGAAGGCTCTTGCTGCTTCGTAGGCGTCTCCTGCATAACTTCTTCGTGTTCGTCTGCTCGAGCGTCTCGATTGAGGTTAGAAGCGTCTTCGTCGCACAGAGAAACAGCTGCGCGTGAGCAAACGAAAGCACCAAAAACAGCTCCACCGTCATCCTCTTACCCTCTTCTGGATCTTCAATAGCCGTCGCCGGTGGCGGTGAAGACGGCAGTGACATGGACGACGACGGGGCGTCAGCGACGTCCATGGACACGAGCGGGTCACGACGGGCGAAACGTGGCTTCAAGGCGTTGTGCTACACAAACCGTACACCAGGTTGTTGCACCAGTGCTTCACACAAGCGACACACCACACAAGTGACACACCACACAAGTGACACACCACACCAGTGGCGGACCACACAAGTGACACACCACACCAGTGACACACCACATAAGTGACACACCATGTTTGCCACAGCGTGTCAAGCATCTGCCAGACGACAGCAGGCGCATGGACGTCAAGACGATCGCTGCCAAGTACGGCGGCCTCCCGGCGCGTGTCGTTGCGCGTGCAGAAGAGAACTGGCGCCTCACAACCGCCAAGAAGTCTGCAGGAATGGACCAATGGGCTGGACCCGTGGCGTGTCTCGTCGTAGCGGCTCGGGCGCTGGACGAGCAGGTGGACAAGACTCGACTGGCCCAGTGTGCGGGAGCTAACAAACGGCTCATTGAGCCCACTGTGCGCAAGGTGGTGGATGCTGTGGGGGTTCAGACAGTCGTGAAGACGTCGCCGGCTGCGCTGTGCATCAAGTTTGGGTGTGAAGCTCTTACGGAGATCGTGAACCGCGTGCTGGAGGAGTATCGCGCGTATCTGGCGCAAGTGGCGGCAGCGAACAGGAGGAAGCGACTGAAGCAACCGATGGGTCCAAAGGTATCGATTATGAATAGTGAAGACCCGGTGTTTGTCGCTGCGTGTCTTTTTGCTGTGAGCAAGCAGGCAAAGGTGAGGAGAGGGACGGTTGAAGGGAGACCCGTTGTCGGAGACTTACTGCTGACAGCCGCTTTGTAGATGCACGTGAACCAGGACAAGCTGCTGGAAGCTGTGTGTGGAAATGCAAAGGAATTCGATGCGATCGTGTCGTCGATTGAGGTACGCGCCGGGACTGGTGGAATGCAAAACACTGTTGGTATGCTTTTGCTCATACTTGTCTCTGTTTCATTGTCGTACAGGTTCAGTGTCAGTTGTCGTTAAGTGGCGCCGTGATAGATCGAAAGAAACGTCGTCGTAACGAAGGAGAGAGGGCATCAAAGAAGCTATTCGAGCAACAGCGTCGGGAGCAGATAGAAGAGGAGGAACGTGTGAAACGACAGGGGACGCGTCTAAATGACATGACGACCCAGACGCTGGCGCAAGAGATTGTGCTAGAGAAATTACGGGTGTCTCGCGGTGGTTGCAGTACGGATCAGAGTCCTGGATTATCGAGCAAAAAGGTGACTGTTGCCACCGCTGAGGAGTACGCTTTGTGGAGGGCAAGTGCACTGGAGTTCATGCGCAACAAGAAGAAACAGGGGGTCCCAGAACGTCACAGTAGTCAATATTGACATCTGCCCAACGGAGCCACGTGTACTGGTCTCAAGCGCACCAAAGTATGTCTTACAGGAAGGTGAAGGAACTCGCGTTTCTAATATTTATGCGCAGTGCGGCATGTTTGGTCGCCAATATAAAGCAGTTGTATCTCTATCGTTTTGATTCATCCCCGGGAGTCCGCGCTATGCAGACTCGAGCTTTGTGGCCTTCGCGACGGCAGGGAACCGCTTTGTAAAGGTGTCGTCATGGCCTAAGCGGAAGGTCCACTTACGTGTGTCGATCTCCAAAGTAGCAAACTCTGCAACAAAGACCAAGTGAACGAAAGAGCAGTAAGCACGAAGTGTAGAGGACGATATCCGCGCATCCACCTACCGGTCAGGATCGTTTTAGCTACGTCAGCGTCCACGCAACAATTTTCCACCAGGTCCGTGCGCGATACACCAGCAGGTACTTTCGCTAACTGCAACAGATCAAACATAAATCGCAAGCTTCAAAGCAAGAGAGTACATGACCTGAACGTACTGCCTTTATAATTTCGTTGCGGGCACGCACTGTCGTCTCTCCTCGGCAAACCAAGCTGCTGCTCAGTCGAATCGATACCAAAAAGTCAGTCCTAACAAGCAACTATGCTTTAGAAATCCCGATCACAGTCGAGCACATTACCAACCTAGTTGGCATCAAGCGCCCTCGCACATGCACAGCAACGTGCTTAAGTGCATCCAAAAGCTCATCCTCGCTTCGCGCTGGCAAGAGCTTTGCGAGTGTATCAAAGTGCATGATCTGATCGGTCGTAAGCAATCGCAAAACGTCCGAGTACCTCGCATCGACACCATCAAGCAATTGGCCGATGACAGGTTCCTTTATTTCGTCGTTTTGCTCCTCGACTTCATCAGCGCTTCTGTTCAGCAAACATTGGTTAACCGAGTCTCCATGCACATCCGGATAGATCGACACAACGATGCGTACTGTGTCGTATTCGGAGCTGCAGGCTTATGAATAGAGCTCGTCGCGCGGTACTGCATCGCCTGTATATATTCGTCCGATGTCATCGTCGACACCACTTCCTCCTCTCTTTCGCTGAACAAGTTCTCAAACTCATTGCCTGCGCCAGCGCTCTGTCAACCCCAACCATCCATCCAAATTGTTGTGAGCATGCCACAATATACTCATTACTAAGTTCCCACTCCTTCAATGACAACCCGCATTCTTATACACAGCAACGTACGCTTTTGTCTTGCACCTGGAGCTCAATCCAGTTCTCAGCTTCAATCTGCTGCTTCTTGTACGCGTACGAGTTCTGGATCGCTGAAATCGCGCGCTCCGACTGTTTCTTCTTAAACTGAAACTGCACCTCTTTCAGCTCCTCTGGAGGTGGCTGGACCTTCTCTTCTGTTTCCATATCTTCCTCTTCCGAGTCCACTGCATCGTCAATGTGCGCGAGACTCGGCCGCATCTGCATGACCGCAGTCAGAGGCGTGAGATGCAACTGTCCTTGGCGAAGGACGCCTACAACGTAGTTTGTGAGCGTCGGCACGCTAGACGACTGCATCCGCAGATGCTTTTGCTTCAGATAATCCTCAGCGTCCTGGTCAAAGTGCTCAGAGCGCAGGTCCACGGGAAAGTCGAGCTGCATCATTCGATTCTGAGGCTTCATACGCGCAGCCTTTGGCGGCTCGGGCATCGGGCGGTACGTCGGACGCAGTGGGAATTGGACCATGTACCTGCTCGTTGACAGTCAACATTGTTAGTCGAAAGGTACCACCCACGACGTCCCCACTCCAGCAGACGGGATGCAATGAGATGTACCGATTCGATACGGTTACACGTACAGATGGTGACGTAGCTCGTCTGCAAGATGCACGGGAATCTCGCGCACGACGGGGTCGTCGCTCTCCGCTCGGTGCGTGCTGCTCATCGTCGCCGGCTCGCGTCGTCCAGTAGCTGCTCGCAAAAGTGTAGGTTCGAGGTGTCAGTCGTCGCGAGGGAATATTACAGTAAGTCCCTCGTGCTAGTGACTTCTCCCGCTTTTCACTTCTTCTAGTTCGCCTGTCACACTTGGGGTCGAATCCGCACTTATGAGTGCACCTGCGTCGATTCCGCGCGTGGTCGATAAGTACGTGCGTGCGTGCGTGCGTCATTGTCGTGTACCCATTTATGTTCCACTAAAGCAGCGTCTCACGCTGCTGCTTTCCTTTCTCAGTGACAGCGACAGTGACGACGACGTGCCGCTGTCGTCGTTACGGGCCAACAAAGTGGCTACAGACGAGGTGAAAGTGGCTACAGACGAGGTGAAAGTGGCTACACACGAGGTGAAAGTCGAAGCACTTCTGAATGGAGCAGAAACGATGAAGCGACAGACGGCGTTTGAGAGCGACAGTGAGGATGATGTTCCGATTAGTGGATTGATGAAGCGTCAGAAGCTGAAAGTGGAGTCAAAAGTGAAGCAGGAGCAGGTGGGAGGGGCGACTCCTCGCTCGGTGACGTCGAAAAGCACGTCACGCAAAGGAAAGAAGAGAGTGATGAAGGTGACGGGAGGACTGAGTCTTTGGTGTGATCAATTGGAGACTTGTAATAATGGGGTTTGATGCTGGTGTCTCGTTGTAGATCAAGATTCGACAACAAGAGTGTACGGAGGAGCTGTATGAGTCGCTGAAGGGCAGACTCGCACAGGAACTGCTGTGTCGCTGGTGGTACGCGATGGAGTGGCCACCAGTAAAGAAATCGGGATCCGTACGTGACCGTAGAAAAAGGGAGTACTGACACGTGGGGTAACACTGCCGTCTGACATGTGATTACTCTGGCTGTGGTATAGAAACTACACGGTGTGCAACAGCTCGATGGGTTTCCTGGCGCCTATATTCGCGTGAAGGCAAGTGTTCTGGTGTCAATGAGTGGAGGTGGTTTAATTTATTTATCAGGTGTGATGATTGTCACGATTCATTAAATAGGGTGACGATTTGGGCTCGATTATCGATACTCGGTCCTCGGTGGGAAAGCCGTCGCTCTTGCACTTCCTCGCCATGTCCTCGGAAGATTTGTTGAAGCTGCTGCTTCAGGCTTATGACAAGCAAATTGAAGTCTTAATTGAGCACGAGGTTTGTAGAAGAACGAAACCGTTTTCCATGATTGCTATGCTGACAGCTGCTGCATTGACGATGATTCGAATCAGGGCCCCAACACACCACTGCAAAAAGAGCTGCAAAAGGCGCGCGCGTCGGCAGCCCGAATAAATGCAGCGAAGGCGGACCGAAGCATACGGGGGTTGCTGAGGAAATTTACTGAGCTCGAGCGGGAGATCAAAGAGGTGGAAGCTCTCGCTCTCAAAGAGGAGACAAACCCATCGGATGAAGAGGACGAGGATAATGATGATGATGACGACACCGCGGACGATTAGACAGAGTTGCGGCAGGATGAGCTGTGGCTGTTGTTCGCGGTCGCATACTTGAGGCGATAGTCTGCTGATGCGCTGCAAGCAAGGCAGTAGGAGGACGGACATTGAGGCTGGAAGCAAAGTCGTAGCATGTACGAAAACGTCTTCGGTTTATACACCTGCTTCTTGAATGTCAAGCAGAGCAAACGCTTTCAACTGCGAACCTGCAGCCAGCAGTCAGTGGCACATTCCACAACTGGATGAACAAACCTTTAGCAGTGAACAGTCACGTCCAGCTGCCAAGGATCGATCGACCTTACAATACACATTCACGTCAGCACCGTCTTCGTCCCCTCTTCCTTCGCTTGACCACTTCACGTCTCTCAACGGCTCTTGCTGCCGCTGGCCACTCTCTTCTGTCGAGATCTAGTCCAGCTTTGCACGAAGCGAGGTGCGAAAGTAGCTGTTGCCCACACCGCCAATACCAAAGGCAGGTCCAATGCGGCCCACTCGAGCGAGAACAGACTTTACGTATTCGCGCTGGATGAAGCCCACGCGCTGCGTCGTGGCGTGGCCCTTGTTGTTGTACAAGTCGAGACCCAGCAGATGCAGCGGCGTGGACAAGAGCTGCACGGCGGCCGGGCAAATGAGCTGCGCAACCGTGGCCGCTCCAGCTGTCTCCATCACGCCCTTGTCCTCGATCTTCTTGGCCAGCACTTTGGGCGCGTTGAACGACGCTGCACACGTCATGGAGTCGCGCACGGCAAAGAGACCGATGGACGACAGCGGGAACGCTGCGGGCGCAATGACGCCAAACATGCGCGCAAAGGCGCGGTCCTTGGCGATGCAGAGCGACATGTTGACGGCGGTGGTCCCGATGAACTTGGGCATCTGGTTGTCCGTCTCGACGTACTCGCAGACAGAGTCCACGGCGTTGGCGGCCATGTACGTGGCTGTGTAGAGGCCGAAGATGAGGTGGAACTCCCGCTTGCCCACGAAGCGCAGCGGGTGCGTGAGGAACTCGACGCTGAGGTCCTTGAGGCCGCGGCCCAGTGGGCGAGCGCCGCTGGCGTTCTCGATAATGGCGCGGTCCACGATGGTGATGAAGGGCGCCACGCCGAGGGACGCGGCCATGGCAGCGGCAGTGTCGACTACGAGCTGCTTGGCGAGCTTCACGGGGCTCGTTGCCGGAGGTTGGTCGTCGTACAAGGCGTCGGCCATGGGGTGGGCGAGAGGTCGGGGAAAACGAGCAAGCGAAGAGCTACTGAGTGGCGGAGGCGAGTCGAGTCGAGCGTTGCAAAGGGATTGACGGATTGATGGACGGACGGACGGACGGACGGACTGCTGTGTGCAACGTGTGACGTGGCGGGAGACGGGCAGCAAGTTCAGAGTGCGAGGCTCGAAAGACTTTGCTGTCCGTTCGTTTCGATTCGACAAGTGGTCGTCACGAGCAACGTCGTCGGACACTTACGGGCTAAATGTGCTGAATGAATAACGTCACCAGGCAGCGGGTATGTATGTATGCATGCATGCATGTGTGTGCGTGGCCATTTCTGCGCGTGCAGACCCCAGCACGTCTGACGAGGAGCTTTCCTGTCAGCGTTTGCTCATGTCGGTGGTAGCGCTACTGTACAACACTACGCACGGAGTCTTGATCGACGCTTTATAACTTGATGGATGCATTTCTGCATGAACTATGTATGCCTCCAGGCATCCGTCGATGTTCTAGGGAACAGACTCGTGCTATTGATGAGTCCGGTGGTCACTTGCAGCTCCGTGCAACACAGTCATGGCGTAATGATTTCGGTCGGATTGGTCTCTACCTGAATGAGTCCGAGCACTAAAGGTGATGGTGACAGGTTGTTGTTTACTGTCGTCGTTCATTCCAGATTCCTGTATCAAAAGACACATACAAAGCCTACGGTTCTATCAGGTTTACCGCTGATATGTTGGTGGGGGGAGGCTCATAACTCAGTGTTCTCTTCAAGATGAGCTTCACTCCAGGCCAAAAGTAAAGAACACCCCATGTTTTCTAAATATCTCAGCGACTATTGCAAATTAAGAACTGCTATTTGAACAGGATAGATCTGTAAGTGTATTAGATACGGTGCACGTGTAATCGACCCGTTTTTAGCAGTTTGGAGGGGGTCTCCCATACAAATGTCAGAAAATAGACGTGGCCAAAAGAAAAGTCACCTTTACTTGTTCAAAAATCAAGATTATATACGAGAAACAGGCCACTATAATTCGATAATGGGTCTCGTTGCCACGCAGCTCGATGACTTCAACGCATCGTTTTGACATTTGATCAACGAGGTTGCGCAGGATATTCGACTTGATACCTGTCCACTGAGTCATATGGCCGTTGTTAGATCGTGTAATACTGCTTACCGTTAGCGTGCACTTTCGCTGCTAAAAATTGACCACAAATGAATTTCGATAAAATGAGATTAGGAGAACGTGCTGGTCATTTCATCACCTTCACTTGATGCTCTTCAATGAATGCCGCTGCCAACTTCATGGTATAAATTGATGCGTTGTCCTGCTGGAAGATGTGACCGATACATAGTGTAAATGTGCGAATGGAAGCAGGAACTCCTATAGCGTGAACAAAAATAGCTCAGATGCTTGCTTCCCAGTGAGCACTGCTCGCACATACTTTCCTTTCGCACTGAGTGCGGACCAAACCATGAACGGTCCACTACTGTTTGTTTGGACGGTCTTACGAGGAGCGCAGATCACGCCAGTAGTTCTTAAATTCATGATGATCGTCGAGATTACACCGTTTTTCATCCGTGAAAATAACGGCATCCCATTTATATGAGAATTGTTGCTTTTGTCCCAAAACTTTTTCGCTTTCTCGCGCTCGCGTGTAAGAGGTATGGTGTGTTAGAATGTGTGTCGCTGAGCACACTTTCGTACTGGAAGGTAAAATGAAGACTACATAGACTTGAGGTATTACCGACTAGCATTCTTTCCTATACTAACCGTTCTCTCCATTCCCACATAACGACCTTGCCAGTGTCAACTGAAGTTCTCAATTTGCCTCCTACTGCACACTCGTTCAGAAAAAGCCCCCCCCTTGCGACACCGTTCAAGCCCGTTTTTGTTCGTTGTTCTCTCGCTCCAAGTCTTTCGCTCTCGGTTTTTTTTTCAAAGTCGTCTCCGTTGCGCTCGCCTTGAAGCCACTCCGTCGCTGCCTACGTTCTCTGTAGCTCGCTGACCTACTTGTCTACTTCAGTGGTAACACCTTTGTTTGCATTTGATCCCTCTATTTGTCAGTCTATCGCGTCTCTTCATTCTTCTTCCTTGTTGTTGTCTGATACCTAGTGCTTATTACGGCTGGTGGAGATACCGTAAGAACTTCCATTCGAGGGATTTACAACTTGCGTCGTTCTAAGTTAGAGGACTGCAGTTACGTTGCGCCGTGTATTGAGGTACACTTAGCGCTTCGTAGCTTCCGTTATAGATTCTCTTTGCTTTGCGTGGGAGAAGCCCCCAGAGTTAGAGTTTGCCCCTCTTACCGCAGACAGTCATCCGCGTAAACGACTTTAGATTTGAGTTGTAAGTACTCATGGTGAACCCGCGCTCAACACCACGACGCACTGAGTTCCCCCGTCAGCTACTGGTGGGCTCTGTGCTTGAGGCTAGTGGGTCTGAACTAGCTCTCAGTAACTTAAACGCTTTGCGTCTTAATGCTTTTAAACTCGCTCCTACGCCAGATAGGGCGGCGGAGCTGCATCGCATGTGTGTTCCTTTCCTCCATGCGATCAAGCGCAAGCACCCAACCGAGGTGCTCAATGAGCTTGCGAAATACGACCAGCCACAGTTGTGAGAGGACGCCCGTCAGGCTCGTCTTTTTAAATATAAAAAGCTGATCCCTGATGCGTGAATCCGTTTTACGTGCACGGCCCACGACACTACTTCTAAATCAGTTTGGTCAAGCTCGATGCGTTTGGTTCACAAATCCAAGTCGCACGGTTTTCGAAGTACGGCTCCCGTAACTACGTTGATCTGATCCGCCTGCCCGACGAAGTCACGCACCACGTGTTTTTTGATTGGTTTGCGGAACATGGTGCAACTCCGACGTGAGTCTTATCCACGTTTGTGCAAATCGGTCTTCCTTCCCGGGAACTTACCCTTAATTTTGGGCATGATCAGGCTCTATATGTCTTGATCCCTTCTCAAGACAATCCTCTTCGTGAGATTGAATTTCATCGCCGGACGACGGCATGATAAAACTTCGTGCGTGTTTCGTCAACCACAAGTGGCACGTTACAACCGTGTAACGCCTCCGTCAATTCGCCTACGTCAAGAAGAAGATGCCACGCGCAAGGCGGCTGAATCTGCGGTGCCTTCACCTTCTGGTCCGGTCTCACCATCCAGTGCGCCTATCCCTTCTAGTACCAAGGGATGTATATCGTCTCTTTCAAAAAAAATTGACGCACGCCACCTGATTTACCAGCGGATTCTCCACTTGATTCTTCACTGACTTTAAACCTGATCTTTCGGGCTATCTGGTTGCGCCTTCGGGTCATGACACCTCTCCTACTGATGACTTCGCCATGTCGGATGACGACGTTGCATCAACTATTGGTGATGCTGTCGACGAATCTGCTACCGACCCCTCCGACTTCAACCTGGAGGCATTTTTGGGTGAAGTTATCAACGCCCCCAGGATTAATCCTGGTGCGCCGCTATAGGCGAAAGCGGGTACCAATCGTCATGCACTTTACGGTCGTTCTGTCGCTGATCTGGTTAAAGCCAAGTCGATCAAGTACGACTTCAACGCTGCGGCTGGTACAGCTTATGCGTCTGGCCTAGTCAAGCCAAATCACTACACTTCGCTACGGTTTGAGGATGCTGACCCGGACTCCGCTCGATAGTAGTACGATCTCGAAGTCAGTCATGACGAAGGCGACGAGACTTGTATTGAGTGTGGTCCGGTTGTCTGCCGACACGAAGGACTATGCCTCCATCGTATCCCCATACACTATTGGTTACCAAGGTGAGAGTATGACACGGCTTAAAATCACCAAGTGCGTGGACTATTTTCGTTTAGACCTCATTTCCCGTACCCCGCTCGAACAATTGGCTACGCTGTAGGCTAACTCGGGACTTATGCTCCCGGCTATGGCGTCTTAAAATGCCTAGACTCTCTCGCTCATTACCGAAGTTTCTGTCGTCTTTTGACTCACACTCGTCCTGGTACGAGTGTGGCTCAGTCGCAATGTTCAAGGGTTCTTTATGCGACGGGCAATGCAAAGACCATGCTAAAAAACCTTTGGGTCATGGGCCTCCAATCTCGTCTCAAGACAAGAAGGCTCTTTTTGTTCTTTCCAGCTGGGATTTGGTGCTTCATGTTGTGGCACCGGCGGTCTATCACGACCCAATCATGCTTTTTGTCTTCAAGGATGCTATCCCGGAATTTCTCGTCAATTTGACAATTCTGCTGCTTTCGTATAACACTCTTTGGCTGCTCGGTTTCAGCTCTTTTTCAAAAGACCTGCTGCAGTACGAGACTGTGCCCGACATTTTTGAGTCTTTAGTTCAGACTGTCCAATCATTGAAACATGATGCGGAAGAACCCCTAACTCCTCGCTTTCATTTCTAGGCAGGAGGCATGGGCCTTCAAGGCGGTGACACTTAGTGTGAACGGGCTGAATAGGCCTCTTCTTCAAGTTTGCCAAGATTTACTTTCAAGATATCAAGTCGTCGCTTTTCATGAAACCAAGCTTTCAAGTCAACAGTTGCTTCACGATAACGACTATATTCTGCACGCCGCGGATGCCAATGCATGTTCGTTTTGGTCGCATTTCACTTCGACCGGTTTTGGGCTTCGCAATGGCGCTGCTTTGCTTTTAAATGAAGCACACCCTTGTCAAGACCTTCAGGACGATTCTGCGCTTTTTGCCAATACTGCGGTATTAGGCGATCGGTATTTGGTAATTTCTGCCAAATTTGGGTCCGATTCGAATTTATTTTCATGTGGTCCATGGACCAGTTTGATCTAAAGATCGAGCCATTTTCTGTTCAACTTTATCAAGATTTTTCGACGACTCTGCGGTCCATTTAGTCATGGGTGATTTCAATATGACTATGGACCTATTACTGGACCAAGCTACGCCTGGATCCACTTTTCGTGAGGCTGGTCGTGCTGAGCTTTTCGAATGGATGATTAGCCTCGGCCTCGTCAACTTTCGGCGACTCGAAAGCCCCGATCTGCGCAAGTTTATGGGTCCCAAGTCCACGAATAGCATCGACTACTGCTTGGCTAGTTTCTATTTTGACGACAAGTTTGTTCGTTCGTCTACTCATCTTTTAGGTACCAAGTTTGGGAGCGTGGATCGTGTACCAGAAGAATTTTCTCTGTCGTCACATTCACCACCCCCAAATTCCTCACTTCCGTTCAAGTGCCCGACTTGGCTTCTCAAGATCGACCAGGTTCAAGAGCAGCTCTCCCGTAACCTTTAACGTTGGCTTTTGTATTGTATCCACGCAAAAATCCTGGGTGTCTTTTTGATGAGAACAAATGGCGAGATCAAATGTTTTCTTGTCAAGAATACATTGGGCGGAATGATGCAACTGCAAGACAGCTCCGTCACCTTCTTCCGGCTTCACGAGATTGCGAGAAACTTTCTCTCCGGATCCAATTGGTCATAATCGGCTCTAACGCGATCAGTCCCGTCAAGCCTATTTGGACATTTCGATGGCTCTTCGCGGCCGGAATGCCGCTTCCATGTTTGATCCGGATGTTAGTTCGGGTGAACAATCTACAAAACATTTTTTCGGGCTCCCGCTGCGGCGGAACTCAAGCTGTTAATATCTTCTTTCGACACGTCTTCAGGGTTGTCAAGGGACTCGTCAATGATTCTTTCGATTCGTCGTCGATATTGGGACACCGTTTTTTAATCGGACTCCCGTGATTTGGAGTTCGTTTCCCAGCAATTCGACCATTTCAAATTTCAAGATACTTTTTACCACAGCCATCGGAGGCTTAAGTCAACTCACTCCGCCCTTCTCGACGCGCCGACTATGGCTTATAATTTTTTCCACGCTATTAAGCATACCGCTCGTGGGAAGTCGCCGGGTCCAGATGGATTACCTGCGGAATACTACCAGCTTTTTCCTGCCAAGTGGGCTCAAATTTTGGAACTTGTTTATGCGATTCAATTCCGGCGAGGTAGCATGTCCAAGTTTAAACACTGCGCCTGCATCTATCTACTCTTTATAAAGGGATCAAGGTCGGACTCAAAATACCATCCCCTTGACTTTGCTGAACTAAGATGCCAAGTTCGGCCCAAACGCACTGGCTTGTCGCCTTAACCAAGTTTTGCCATCTTTGCTGGAGGTGGATCAATTCGGCTTCGTGCCTGCACGCAACATCCGGCACGTTTATGACCTTCAAGATCACTGCCGACTGAAGTTTTCACAAGATCCCGCCGGTGCTATTTGCCTCGACTTTGCCAAAGCTTTTAGTAGTGTCAACTGGCAAGCCTTGGGTCAAATTCTTCAACATTGAGGATTTCGGTTTAATTTCTGACATTAGGTAAAGACTTTTTTCGGAGTACACTTGTCTAAGTATAAATTAATTTGGCGCGCTCGGACTTCTTCAGCTTGGGAGCCGCCATTCGTCAAAGGGATCTACTATCGCCTGATCTGTTAGTGCACTTTATTGAGTCTTTGCTGTGTTACCTGCGGGCAACAACATAATTTTCTTCCTTCAAGATTTGCACTACCTCTCATCAGCTCTTTAGTTATGCTGATGATGTTACGAGTTTGGTGAATAACCTTTCTTATGCCCCCAAGTTTCTGGATCGTGTTCAAGATTTCTGTGCCGCCACTAGCATGCGGCTCATTGTGGACAAGGCGTTCATCTATCTCTTCAGCCATGGACTTCTTTGGAAATCAACATTTAAGATCGGCTTCGGATTTGGGCGTTCGATTTTTTGCGAATGAAGAACACACTACACTATTGGGAGTTACGGTTGGCTGTTGCTCCACAACTGCAACTCTTACAGCTTCTTGTGTAGTTGCGGAAGCTCTTGTGTGTCTAGGCGATGATGTGATCGTACCCTTAGGGGTCGAATACTTATTCTCAAGACTGACTATTTCGACGTTATGGAATTTTATATACTGATTCCGTGTCGAAGGACGATCTGCTCAAGTTCAATCCGCTTATGCGGAACTACATCAATTGTACTTATCAAGTACGGTGACCGACTAAGCTTCAAAGGGTCAATCTTCAAGCGCATGGCATCCCGTGGATTTTTTTAGGGTGGCATTTAGTTACCTTCGATTGCGACTTTGGTAAAACTCCTTCAAGTTAATCTCATCCGGCAGTTAATTCGTCAATGCCGTCAAGACTACTCCACTCCGCTCAAGTGGTTTGTTCCTACTCAAGCTGCGATTGACTCGGCTTTCGGCCGTCGAGTTTTGGGTTGGATGTTATATATATATCCCTCTTTCGCCTTCGGCTTCTCGCTGGCAAGCCATTCCCGAAAACCGGAAGGCTGCTATTGCTACTTAGATCACCAAGATTTTTCTAAGATTCAATGCATGAACCCAGTTTTGACCAAGCATACATAGCCGATTTGGAATACATTTTAACTTCGGTTCACGGAGGTTCGGTGGACCCTTGCATTGCTCCATTGGAAGGCCTGCAATTTTCTCAGTTATCAAGGTGTTATGAGGATATCGACTTTTCTCTCTGTTTTTTGGCTCGCTTCCGGATGAAGATACTCTTCGAATTTCTTTGAATTCCTCTTCGATCAAGCCGGGCCGCTTAATGACTTTTTTTGAGCTAAAGCTTGCTCCTAGACTTGCTTTAAACGCACACTATCAAGATTTTTGCGATTTCTCCGCTGTCGCCTGAAAGGATGGTCGGTGCACTTCATGTATGGACTTTCGACAGGGTTAACATTGCCACAGCGTCAAATCAGGTCATCAAGCGTCTTTTACTTGACCAAGATCCACCGCCTTTTCCACTTCATCAGCTTTCAGTTTCTAAAGTGGTTATTGGGTCTTCACATTGGGCGCTCGAACGCTTCTCCTACGCGATGTTCTGCCAGTCTATTCTGACTTCGTCTTTCGGCTCCAGCATGATGGACTTGGTTTCCGATACAAGTACTAATGTCACACGGCGGACGTTTATTGTAGTCACGGTTGTGCTACTCCAACAACACCCCATCAGTTACTATGGAATTGCTATATGGCCTAGCGCCTGTAGTTGTTATTTCTTCCCCCGTTTTCAAGGATTTTCCAGTCTACGATCGAATAGCCCCAAGTTTTTTTTGCTCAACTTGGACGTTTTTGGTGCATCACCAAGATCTGTTGGCTCGCTAACTCCGGTTCGACTCTTCAACATGGTCCGTAGTGTTATTTTACGGACGCTTTGGCTCAATCGCAACAAGGCAAATTTCGACTTCCCCGCTCTACAATTTATATGTGTCTTCCGTCAATGTCTGACCATGGTTCGTCTTCACTTTCAGCATTTTTTCAAGACGATGGCCCACCCGCGAAAGAAGGACAACATTCATATCAAGGCTCATCTTCTTGCTTTTAGTGATGAATGGTATCGCGACTTTGCCGAAGATCCCTGATATTTTCTTGTGGAATAACGTTGAGATTTTCAAGGAACTTCTCAGTCTTTTCAGCTATTCATGTTGCAGTTTTTCTTTGCGGAATAACTTCAAGATTCTTGAGGATTTTCCCAGTCTTTTCAAGCCATTCAAGATGCTGTTTACCTTGCGGAATTGCTTCAAGACATCCAATTTTCTACTTGTCTGTTTAAGCCACTTAAGTTGCAATTGTACTTCTACATGAATTACCCAAGCGATCCGCTAAAGTACGACACTTCCGCCTGCTATGAACCGCTGATTCCGACTTTCGCCCCGACTTTTTCGTTCGGATTTCGATTTGCGCCGCGCCCATTACTTCAAATTTGCCTCCGTCCTTTTATGGATTTACACTTTCTTTTTAGGCAGAACTCTCCCTTTTTAAACTATAACGATACGTAGACTACCAGCTCCAACTGTAACAATTTTCTGTTCACATACAACGACCTGTCCTTTTCCCATACACCCGTTTCTCACTCTGATGTAACTTCCATTTCAAACACGCCCTCCTTGAAGAGAACTCTTCGATCACACTTGGTTTCCCACACCAGTCAAGCGCATCAATTTGCGAAGGAGATTCCTGTCAAAAGTCTTGGTAAACATGTCAGCTAGGATGTTTCACCTTAGAAATTGTGTAGATTAGTAATGCCTTGTTTAACTCGTTCCCATACGTTGTGCCACCGTAGCTCAATATGACGTGTCCGGCGACTGTACGTCGGAGATGTTGCCATTGTGGCAAAGCGGTCACAAGGAAATTTCTATTGGGACTTGGATCGGCAATCGCACGGGTCGCACGCTTCATTTCGGTCAAGAATGCTATGATTGGTGGATACAGGCCGGGACGGGTAGCTGGCAATAGTGTACCAAACCCCGAGTGGACAGGATCGTACATCCTGGGACGAGGCTATAGGGTGGTCACACCCGTTTTGATTACGCAATCCGTCATAAGACATGACACGACAAGACCCTCGATCTCACTGGAAGACCGCGATCCTAACCCAGGATCGCAAGTCCGATCTCAGCTGCGATCCGCTAGTAGTATAACGATCCGCTAGTAAAATTAAGATCAGCTGGTAGGATCACGATCCGCTAGTAGGATCACGATCCGCTAGTAGGATCACGATCTGCTAGAAGGGTCACGATCCGCTAGCAGGATCATGGGGATATCTTGGGTGGGCCACAAGAAGATACAACTGCTGATATACTGGGTGTGGACCACACAAATGCGAGGGGGCGATCTTTCTGGAAAGGCGACGCGTGACATCTGGTTCGAATATACGGATAGGTATAGGGGTGGGGTTTAGGTTGGTTGGTTAACATTAAACAGAGTTCAAATTAATTCACAAGGCACACGTTATCTCTTCCGGGTAGGATCTTTGGCCCCCGTCGAATAAAGAGTCGCGCTACACGTCTACGCAAGTATCACACCTGGATTGTTTTGGCCAGGTGTGTTCAAGAACTCTCAAGCAACATCAACTGCGACCGGACGCAGCAAGACACGTAAAGCAAGGCGCATGATCGCGAGACGGCTCAAGTGGTCAGAAGTCTCGCGAATTGAGCAACCACAAAGTGGACAAGGCGATCTCGTTGATATCAGGGTAACTTATATCAGTACCCACAAGTACCCCGTGATCGCGTGAAGATTTCGCACGATCACAACCCCATCCCCAGCACGGTCAAGTTTTCCTTCGACACGAGTCCACCTGGAAGAGTGCAACCCGCCCAACCGACGAGTACACAAGGTGAGGAAGGCAACACACACGGAATCGGAGTACCCCCTCCGTTAGTCGGTCGTCCGGGCGCCAGTGGAGAGTTAGGATCGACTCAGGAAATGAGCAATCGCCACTCCACCACACCATTATGTAAGCCACTTGGCTGTCGATAACAATACGTAACTTGGTCCGGCACTGTGGTGAAATTTATTTTGTAGGATGTTGTGCTTGGCCATTGCTTCCGTACTGGCTTCACAGGCAGCGACTTACTCATCCTCTGCTGTCGACAGCGCAGTAATCGGCTGACGTCGTGGCATCCATGCGACAGCTCCTTCAGCCAATGTAAAAATGTAACCTGTAGTGCTTTTGCGCTGCTCAATTAATTAGCTCAGTCACTATCACAATATCTTTCAATTTCAATGTCCATTCCTGTTGCTTGTATCGTAACGTAATTCTGTCGACCGTACGTGATGCCATCGCGCAATTTACCTTCACCATACCCCAAATCTCTCTTCAATGTTCTGACATGCTTGGTAAGTGGATGAGCGACAAATCGACTTAGCTGTCCCACCAAAACTGCTATATCAGGCCTGATACTGGTCTCAGCTACATGAGCATCCCGATGGCTTCACAATAAGAAAATTCAGTATTTCACATGTGTTTGTTGCTCGCGTCATCACTTACCAGTCGCATATTGATTTCCATAGGGTAGCCCACAGCATGTGCCTGGTCGTATCCAAACTTTTGTATAATATACTTTGCATACTATTCCTGACATATTGTGATCTGTGTATCTGTCTGTTTCACTTCGATCCCAATATACTAGGTCAGTAATTCTTGATCTTTGATTCCATAAGCGTAATTTAAGTCCTTTGGCAGGTTCACCTTGTATTCCGCATTTTTGTCGCGACCAATATTTCATCAAAATAGATCAGTAAATACGCAATCGCATTACCATGAAAACAATAATACGGACGTGGTTTAGTGTGCGACGCTTGTAGCCTTTGTCTAGGAACCACTAGTTAAGCTCCAAATTACACTCGTGACGTGATTGACAAAGCCCATAGTGCCTTTTGAACTATGTACACATTTCCATTAACCTTGCAAGGATATCTAGTAATCGATCGTAGGTACTTCTTGATACTGAGTGGGGCATTGAGGTACGATGTGCTTATATCCCTGCCATATATGTCAAAACCTAGTTTGGGTGCTAGGGCAAACAGTAGCCGAAACGAGAACATTCTTGCCACGGGATAAAATGTTATTAATAATCACTTTCTGGTCGCTAATGATTTCGTAGGGCCACAATTTGTGCTTTATATTTTAATCAAGCAGTCTTGTCATTCAGTCTTAACAGCATGTACACACATGGTATTTATTAAATTCGCCTCCTCCGGAACCTTTGTGCCCTCAATCTTTGCAATCACACCCTTGAATTTAAGCGCATCAATTTCCTCAAACTCGGCTGCTAAAATCATTATTTCCATTGATGTCAACATTTCATGATGGCTAGTAGTTAGAGTAGTATTGCTCGCACGAATATGTATGCCGCTTCGATCCAAATCTTGCAACGGCGTCAGAGCTATGTTCATAATGTGATTATCGGAACGTCCTGGCTTCTTGCGCTCACGCAGTGTGCGAAGTTTATTATGCGTGCTCTATGCGTCTTCTTTGTGTGAGTCTTGCTCAACTCGGCCTGCTTCAGATGGTGTCTCAGATGGACAGATTCGTTTTCCTGTTATTTGATCAAATTGTCGGTTTGCGGCGCTTCATTGTACACTACCTCGCAAATCGTAGGGTCTTCTTTATCATCAGGCTTAAAGTTAAGACCTGATACGCTAGACACTGTATAGTCAATGCTTCCTGGATTTTTCTCATCTTCTTCGCAAGCTGTAGAAAATTCCTCAAAACATGGGTCCAATTTTTCATCCGGTCTGTTACATCTGCGTCATGCTCCGCTACGGTCGACCCGAATGTACTAACTGGAGACTTCTCGTCGTCGTCGAATACATAATTTATTCTGAGTCTATCATTTTCATCGGGATCAGATCCTCCTTCCTCCGTTGCCTGGTTAGATTTATAGTCCATCGCCGTAGATGCCCGTGTGGCATACTCAAAGTCACCAGTTGTTTAAAATTGCTGAGTGTGCTTACTATATCAGCATTAGTGAGCGTATTGCATTCTCCATCGTTGTGATTAAATCCTGATCCATTCTCTACAACATCTATTGGATGTCGATCGTGATACATGATAATCTCGATGCGTAGATCCGCGACATATGTAGCGGTGTGAATGTCATGAAAATATACCTTGCACCCTACCACGTCTCTTTGCATAAACAAAAACAAATCTAATATTGACATGCACATCATTTTTCTTGCGTCCTGGAGATACTAAGATATGCACGTATGCAAGAGCTCCGAACTTTCTGATGTGGTATATGTCAGGTTTTGCATCGAACATCATCTCGATTGGAATTTACTGCGTGCTTTTGCTGCAAACAAGATTCTTTACGTACACTGCATTTCGCAAAGCTTAGTCCATAGGCTTCGGGGAAAGCCTGCATGAGCCATAGTCAGTTTTGTCATGCCTTCGATCGAATGATAAGTACTTTCACACATTTTCAGCCATGATATTTTTGCTCCAACTTTAACGTGCACAATTCCTTTCGATTAATAACAAGCTTCAATCGCATCGTTGCAAAACTCGCCTTCTTTTTCACTGAGTACTTGCTTCACTTTGCATGAACAATTGCTCATGTATCGACCGGCTTGCCGTTCTGCCCATAGAATGTACTCCTACATATGCTGATTTATTGTCTTGCTTTCCTTGCGTGTGAGTAACATTTTGGTAATGAACCTTTAGTAACCATCCATAATAACCAGCACTACCGCAATTTTAGTCGCATTCGACTGTCCCGGTACGAGCAAATCCGCATATTCCACATGATTCGGTTCATTTGTCGCGTGATCAAGCTTCTTCCAATGCGTGTGTCGCTTTTCCATTCCTAAATGGCATGCTTCGCACGTGCGGTGCTGTATTTGTGTTAGCATCATGCCTCGCACCAGTCCTTTGTCCACCATAATTTTCAGATACTGTGGACGGGTATGGCAAAGTATCTTATGCCAAAGTTGCAATGACCCTACTTGATCGGCCAGTGTGTAGTTGCACAGCGCTTCACGCTGTGGTAACTGTTCTTTTTTCTGTAAAAAGAACGCCGCTTATAATCTCCAAGTGTCATCTTGCGTTTTAGCTGAAGCCACCACCCGCTCGTTCAATATGACAGAAAATACTTGAGTAATTTGTTCAAGTTTAAATGTAAAACCCTGGCGAAATGCGAGGCCTGTTAGAATGTGTGTCCCTGAGCACACTTGCGTACCGGAAGGTAAAATGAAGTCTAAATATATTTGAGGTGTTACCGACTGGTATTATTTCCTAAACTAATGGTTCTCTCCGTTCCCACATTAGGACCTTACCAGTGTCAACTGTTACAACTTCCTGTTTCCATACAACGACCTGTTTTTTTCATACACCCGTGTCTCACTCTGGTATAACTTCCATTTCTAACATGGTGCAGTCCATTTTAGTGTAGACAAGCCAATCTACACCAAGGAGGATGCGACGGACGGTCCACGCGGAGCACTTAAGCTCCACCTTGTCAGTCAACTGGACGGACGTATAACTTCCCGTCGCTGCCTCTCGCACGACACACCGCAATTTGAAAATTGTAAGGAGAGTCGGACGGCCTGTCGGGATTTTACTTGATGAAGCTGCATTACAGCTTGCACACATGTACGCGAATGCTTAAGGCGTCTCGCAATGTCTTTAATTGAGTGCCCGACCTCACCCGGACCGCGCATTATCCCGCGCTCTTCATCCGACAGCTCTTTTATCTCCTCTTACTTAAAATTAACAGTTGGCAAGCGGCTTTTCAGCCGTATGTAATCTTATTTTTTGAATGAATAAAGGTAGCTTATCTTTCAGCCACGTCCATTTTTCGACATTTGTGTGGGAGACCCCCTCCAAACTGCTAAAACGGGTCGATTACGCAAGCACAGTAGTTAACACACCTACAGATCTATCCTGTTCAAATAGCAGTTCTTAATTTGCAATAGTCGCTGAGATATTTAGAAAACATGGGGTGTACTTTACTTTTGGCCTGAAGTGTACATAGCGCTTGGGTACTCACCCCCACTTCTTCATACCGTATGATGAAAAGTCTAACTTTTGAGAAGAGGTATCTATATTGTGGTGTCACTGATCCTAAGATAGGAAGCAAAATCTGGATCTCACCCTTTAATATGAGTTATCCACTTCTGAAAACTAATCAAGTTGTATTTGGGAGCTCTCGAGTGAATATGTTCAAGGAGACTGTTCTTGTGCTCATGGTGTTGAGTCTCGCCAGAGTCGCCGCTGGACCTCTTGCGTACGGGATTTGCCAGACTGGGTGCAACGCCGTTGCGGTTGCATGTTACGGTGCCGCCGGTGTAGTATTCGGTACCGTGACAGCGGGTATTAGTACATTACCTGCTGTCATTGGATGCAATGTTGCGCTTGGGACGTGTATGGCGGGCTGTGTTGCGGCTGGCTGTTTGCCAACGCCATAATTGGTGAGCACTGCAAGGTGAGTGTTTGAAGGGACGACCGATGATATCAATCATTTGACTAACGACCACCTTCCTGTGCGTAGCTTCCACGTTACCTTTTTAATGCGCTGCGGCGCTTGGTTTAGTCTGTGCTACTGGACAAAGGAGTGTGCGGTGCATCGTTTTTATGATCAGAAACCTCCAGTAAACACGTGAATGAAGTTTTCTCAAAGTGATAGCATTCCATGTCTCTGTAAATGCACACACGCACTGCCATACAAACCACTCACTGACGTACGACATGGAGGTACAGTCCAGATGGCAGTAGATTGGTCTTTGGCGCGGTTCCTTGTACGGTGAACATTTGTTGTGAATGCAAAAGTTGAGCATCGATCACTTTGATTGAAAAGTTAATTACCTCACAAATGATGTCCGTTTTTGTCCGACCTATGTACTAATTTGTCAATGATGACAGTTTTGTAAGTCTTGCAATCCCGAAAGAGGGTCTTGTCGGGCCTGTAATGGTGTGCAAAACGTGACCTTGGCAGCGTGTTTTACCATTCATGAGATCGATATGCCACAGCCTCGATAAGAAATGGGAAGAGGGGGGAAGATAACGTGTTAGTATGCGTCCTAACTGATCGCTAGTGGACCGCGTTTAAATGGATATCGTTCCATTCAATATCATACCGATTGAAGTGCTAATTCACTGACAACGACTACTTCATATTTGTGGACCGATCGGTCGTGCAGTCATTCCGAGATTGATGGCTGGCAATCATCGCGTCATATAGGGAGAGCTGACAGTCCACCATCCGATGGGATCATTAAATGCGATACTCACTACCAATTGACCGTGCGAGCCCGTAACGCTCATGCTTTCTATCTCGACTTAAAAGCTCATGCTAGAGTGCCCGCCTACGACCAGCATTAATGTGTGTCGGTAATCCGACGACTAGATCGAAGATGAGAGTGGGTAAAATATTCCAGCTCGCACCAACATCCTAAGTCGGCCGGAACTCGATCTGGTATGCACTGCGCGTCAGTTAATGCACTGTGGTATCACACCAAAGCACTGTGATATGATGCCAAAGCTGAACTCCAATCTCTTCGCACGATTTTACTCGTTGCTTGTCACTTGCTGTCTTTACCGGTACAGTACCGAGCTGTAGTGTTCATCTGTGCACTCCACGCATCATTGTAGCCAGTATTTCACGTAGTAACATTCGTATGGGCGGCTGATCCGCACACTTACTACCGTGTTGCATTGTCGCTACCGTTTGTTCACGTCCATACATTTTTGGCAGAACACCAGACCTGCATCTCCTTTTTCAAGAGAATTTCACCACTCAAGTGGCATACCTACCTCGTTTGTGAGAGATCCTCCTGACGCCTGGACGAAAGGTAGAGAATAGTATTGCCTCCTTCACCATAGAGTGGAAGCTATCGACATTTTCTGGTCCAGCCAAAAGTACGTGAAGAACGCAAAACTCTAACATCCGGGTCATAGTTGTTCATACCTCGCCATGCATTCGGTACTGCGTGTTTCGTATACAGATAGTTGTAAAATGCTTCACCCATGAGGAAGGTCCGAAACGATATCTTACAAGTGCCAGATAATTGATCGTGGTCACGCTGCTGTAGAAAAAAAAGGGCAGCTTCAACCCAACGGTCTTTCCGTTCCAATTTCCTCGAAATCTACGCAAAGCAACTGCCTAGTTGACGGTCACAAGTTGTGTCGTGCATACATACCGCATTCGACTTTGGGAGCTCTCGAGTGAATATGTTCAAGGAGACTGTTCTTGTGCTCATGGTGTTGAGTCTCGCCAGAGTCGCCGCTGGACCTCTTGCGTACGGGATTTGCCAGACTGGGTGCAACGCCGTTGCGGTTGCATGTTACGGTGCCGCCGGTGTAGTATTCGGTACCGTGACAGCGGGTATTAGTACATTACCTGCTGTCATTGGATGCAATGTTGCGCTTGGGACGTGTATGGCGGGCTGTGTTGCGGCTGGCTGTTTGCCAACGCCATAATTGGTGGGCACTGCAAGGTGAGTGTTTGAAGGGACGACCGATGATATCGATCATTTGACTAACGACCACCTTCCTGTGCGTAGCTTCCACGTTACCTTTTTAATGCGCTGCGGCGCTTGGTTTAGTCTGTGCTACTGGACAAAGGAGTGTGCGGTGCATCGTTTTTATGATCAGAAACCTCCAGTAAACACGTGAATGAAGTTTTCTCAAAGTGATAGCATTCCATGTCTCTGTAAATGCACACACGCACTGCCATACAAACCACTCACTGACGTACGACATGGAGGTACAGTCCAGATGGCAGTAGATTGGTCTTTGGCGCGGTTCCTTGTACGGTGAACATTTGTTGTGAATGCAAAAGTTGAGCATCGATCACTTTGATTGATCAGTTAGTTACCTCACAAATGATGTCCGTTTTTGTCCGACCTATGTACTAATATGTCAATGATGACAGTTTTGTAAGTCTTGCAATCCCGAAAGAGGGTCTTGTCGGGCCTGTAATGGTGAGCAAAACGTGACCTTGGCAGCGTGTTTTACCATTCATGAGATCGATATGCCACAGCCTCGATAAAGAAATGGGAAGAGGGGGAAGATAACGTGTTAGTATACGTCCTAACTGATCGCTAGTGGACCGCGTTTAAATGGATATCGTTCCATTCAATATCATACCGATTGAAGTGCTAATTCACTGACAACGACTACTTCATATTTGTGGACCGATCGGTCGTACAGTCACGCCGAGATTGATAGCTGGCAATCATCGCGTCATATAGGGAGAGCTGACAGTCCACCATCCGATGGGATCATTAAATGCGATACTCACTACCAATTGACCGTGCGAGCCCGTAACGCTCATGCTTTCTATCTCGACTTAAAAGCTCATGCTAGAGTGCCCGCCTACGACCAGCATTAATGTGTGTCGGTAATCCGACGACTAGATCGAAGATGAGAGTGGGTAAAATATTCCAGCTAGCACCAACATCCTAAGTCGGCCGGAACTCGATCTGGTATGCACTGCGCGTCAGTTAATGCACTGTGGTATCACACCAAAGCACTGTGATATGATGCCAAAGCTGAACTCCAATCTTTTCGCACGATTTTACTCGTTGCTTGTCACTTGCTGTCTTTACCGGTACAGTACCGAGCTGTAGTGTTCATCTTGTGCACTCCACGCATCATTGTAGCCAGTATTTCACGTAGTAACATTCGTATGGGCGGCTGATCCGCACACTTACTACCGTGTTGCATTGTCGCTACCGTTTGTTCACGTCCATACATTTTTGGCAGAACACCAGACCTGCATCTCCTTTTTCAAGAGAATTTCACCACTCAAGTGGCATACCTACCTCGTTTGTGAGAGATCCTCCTGACGCCTGGACGAAAGGTAGAGAATAGTATTGCCTCCTTCACCATAGAGTGGAAGCTATCGACATTTTCTGGTCCAGCCAAAAGTACGTGAAGAACGCAAAACTCTAACATCCGGGTCATAGTTGTTCATACCTCGCCATGCATTCGGTACTGCGTGTTTCGTATACAGATAGTTGTAAAATGCTTCACCCATGAGGAAGGTCCGAAACGATATCTTACAAGTGTCAGATAATTGATCGTGGTCACGCTGCTGTAGAAAAAAAAGGGCAGCTTCAACCCAACGGTCTTTCCGTTCCAATTTCCTCGAAACCTACGCAAAGCAACTGCCTAGTTGACGGTCACAAGTTGTGTCGAGCATACATACCGCATTCGACTTTGGGAGCTCTCGAGTGAATATGTTCAAGGAGACTGTTCTTGTGCTCATGGTGTTGAGTCTCGCCAGAGTCGCCGCTGGACCTCTTGCGTACGGGATTTGCCAGACTGGGTGCAACGCCGTTGCGGTTGCATGTTACGGTGCCGCCGGTGTAGTATTCGGTACCGTGACAGCGGGTATTAGTACATTACCTGCTGTCATTGGATGCAATGTTGCGCTTGGGACGTGATGGCGAGCTGTGTTGCGGCTGGCTGTTTGCCAACGCCATAATTGGTGAGCACTGCAAGGTGAGTGTTTGAAGGGACGACCGATGATATCAATCGTTTGACTAGCCGCTACATTATGTTCATCATTTTAAGTGCTACGTAATTTAGATATGTGTTTTAAGGTTCTTAGTAATCATGCGTTTCTGTTTTTGTAGTTTGTTGTTGATATTGTCAAAAGTGATACGGTCAGTAGGCGCATGAATGAAGTTTTGTGAGAATAACACTATCAGCTGTTACTGTAGTGTCTCCGCACTATTTTAACGCTCCTATGGTTGCCTAATATGGAACTATGGACCCAGATATACCAGTAACGTGGTCATGATGTGTTTGCTTTCCACAACGAATACTTGACCCAAAAATTTATAAATTAAGACAATTGTCATTTTAGTACATCAAATACTCACAAATGATGTCCTTTTTTTCCGACAATTTTACTGTCTTATCGATGATGACGTCTCTTTAATGGGTACTTTTAAATATACCCCACTTTTTATTAATAACACCTCACACCCACGTCAAAACATCATGCGATTTGTACAACAAATTTGGCGCACGTCGTACAACGATCGGCATTGATCGTGCAAATGGCAAGTGATTTTACCTGTCATTTTTTCTTTGACAGGCAATGGCCTGGCATTACACTAGATTTAGAATAGACTCGATCAAAAAAATCAAATGACTCTATAATACATTTTGCTTAGAGGTTATGTTCACTGCGACGAATGAATCCGATGACGTTCGGTATAACGAGAGCTTTAGTTCCATTCACGTTTTCACATTTCTAGACTGTAACCTGGCCTTTGTCTTTTATGAGAGTCACAGATAGAACCCCAGATGTGTTCGGTATCTGGAGACGAGTGCATCGCAATCGTCGATCAAATTACTTACGAAGGCAAATATCTTCAGTCCTACATTGCGTGCTAAAAGAAGTTTGCTTATCAAATCACTTACTAATTGTACGGATAATGCATATTGTTGTATGATAGTCATCGTACATAGGTTTTGTGGCGCGATGTTTGCCATGAAACCATATTGTGGTGTATATGGGTCAGGTTTATGGGGGGTGTTTAGTTGAAAATATGGTGTTTTTTACAATACCCTGTTGTGAGCATATCGAAGGAAAAAAGTATTTTCGGGCTGTGGTCGAGTGCGAAACGTGACGCGGCAGCAGTTTTTACATGGACACGATCATGTCGGCATGTGTCCAATGATGTTGCTGGGCATACCGTCTTTGGAAATGACACCGTTCTATAGAATTCTGTATAAATTGGTATGTTTCGTCCCTCGAAACTGGCACATCAAAATTGTGACTCTTTCGGCCGTTCATTGTTAATTAAATTACTAACAGACAGGACATCCTTACGGAAAACTAAATATACCATCAGCCCATGGGGTTAAAACATCAAATACGATGCACAATTTCCACTTGACTTGTGCAACCGTGTAAGGATTTGCCGGTCTGCACGCCTAAGGTCGACGCCAACAATTGGGATACGTTGTCTAGATAAAATTAGGGAGTTTAAACTCGCATCGTTAACCAATATCGGCCAGAACTCGATCCGATGTGCCCCATTGTGGGTTGACGGTTCAGGTACTGTTATCAGCTACCATGGGAACCGTAAACCTGTCCAAGTCGATCCCGCCTAATTACGGTGGGTTTTTACCAATGATTAGACGCATAGGATGATTGGATGACCTACATGATTGATGATTCATGATTTATTTGTGGACAACATATAATCAGTGCAGGGACGAATCAGGTAGCTTTAACAAAACCCACAAATAAATTCACTTCCAAATATTCCTTCTCCTACACAAGTCGTCTTCACTTCGCAGTGTAGACTTCTTTCAAGCGTTCTTCAAGCTTCGTTCTCTCGCCCAGTGCTCTTCAGATTTTAACAGGTTATGAGCCCAAGTGCCATGTCCTCATCTCAAGATCCCTCGACCAACGTCTCCATTGATCGTTTCAATGGAGACAACTACGCGAGTTGGAGCCGCTACATGCGTGGCGTGTTCCTGACCAAGTTGGCGTGGCACGTCGTCAACCGCGAGACGACCCCCCACCTTCGCCGATCCTCGCGCCAGTGATGAGTACGTCAAGACCAACAACATTGCGTTCGGCTTGATGTTGCTTCACATGGACGCGGACTATCATCACGTGGTTGATGATTGCGAGGAAGCATGGGTTGCGTGGGCACGTCTTAAGTCTCTGTACGGTGGATCGCAGAAGGCCGAACGAATTTATCTCAAGCATCAGCTGTTCAGGATGAAGATGGCTGAAGGCGGCAATGTGATGCATCATTGCAACGAGGTTCTCAACATCAGCGCCAAGCTTACCAGCATCGGCGCCAAGATGGAGGACGAAGACGTGGCGATCTGTTTGTTGCGCAGTCTCCCCAAGAGCTACGAGAATGTCGTGCTGAATTTGGAGATGAACAGCGCTGAATTACGAACACAAGACGTTGTGAGGGTGCTTACGAATGAGCACATCAAGAGGCAAGGCAAGAAGACGGCATCGGTGAAAGTTGAAGAAGCGGCCAAGGCTTTCAGCACCGAGCGCGAGCCTCGCCAGTGTACGTACTGCGGAAAATTGGGGCACACGGCAGAGCGGTGCTGGACCAAGCAGAAGGATGAGAATCAAGGTGCTCGACGCGGCGGCAATGCACGTGGACGCGGAGCGAATCAAGTTCAGTGGCAAGGCTACAACGGCAACAGCAACTATGACTACGATCGAGTAGCGTTTGCGGTTTCGCTGGAAGCAGGACTATCGACGGGCAAGAGCATGCCTGGAATGTGGGCGATTGACAGTGGAGCAACGCATCACATCTGCTATGACAAGTCCAAGTTCGAATTTCTGGACGAGCGCAATGAAGGTGAAGTGTTGGTTGCAGATGGGAACAAGGCTGCGATCAACGGTGTCGGGACAATCATCGAAAAGGTGACCCTGTCCAACGGTGAAGAGCGCGAAGTCGAGATCAAGAACGCGCTTTACGTCCCAAGCATGAACAAGAACTTGCTGTCGATACCACAAATCAACAAGAGCGGCAAGTTTCAAGTGGTGTTTGATGGTGACGAGATGAAGATTTCGCACAAAGGCTCCAAGCAAGTAATGGCGATGGCCGATCTTGTCGATGGACTCTACTGGCTTCGTACATCCCAACGATCCGTGAATGCGGCTTCAGGACCAAGAGTCGAAAACCTTCATGCGCGTATGGGCCACGCACCGGTTGATGTCTTGTGCAGAATGGTCTCCAAGGGCATGATCAAGGATGCCAAGAAGCCAACAAAATTGAGCGGATCAAGCGTGTGTCAAGGTTGTCTAGAAGGAAAAATGGTTCAAAAACCGTTCCCGAGCAACCGTGACAAGCGCCGCTATGACACGTTTGAGCTTCTACACTTCGACATTTGTGGTCCTATGGAAGTCGACTCGCTAGGTGGAAGCAAGTACTTGCTACTGATCGTCGATGAAGGCAGCGGATGTATGAAGGGTTTCAGTCTGCGCGCCAAGTCCGACAGCGAAGAGTGCATCAAGAAGTACATCATGGCAGTACAGACGCAGTTTGACTACAAGGTCAAGTTTGTTCGTCATGATGGAGCTCGAGAATTTGCGACCAGCTCGCTCAAGATGTTTTACGAAGACCAAGGTATCGAGCAGCAGACAACAGTTCCGTATGCGCATTAGACGAACGGCACTGCAGAGCGCGCCATCCGAACCATCGTGACAATCGGGCGCAGTTTGCTGCATCACGCCAAGTTGGACAAGTGTTTTTGGGCAGAAGCAGCAATGACGGCAATCTACGTGAAGAATCGTCTGCCATCGCCCAAGTGCCAAGATCAAACCCCGTTCGAGATCGTCAACGGATTTCGACCAAGTGTGAAGCACATGCGGGTTTTCGGCTGCCGAACGTTTGTGCTGACCCCTAAGGAAAAGAGATCGAAATGGGATCCGAAGGCTCGTGAAGGACTATTCATGGGGTACGAAGAAGTGTCAAAGGCATATCGCGTTTACGACATTGAAGCGGACCAAGTGGTGATATCTCGCGATGTCACATTCGACGAATCAACGTTTGGTTTCTCGCCGACGCTACCACAAGAAATTGTTGATGACACTGCGCTGGATATCGAATCGATGAACATCAGCGATGAGCCTCACCCCATGCAGTTCAAGCAAACTGGAAAACGCAAAAGCCGTTCAAACAGTCAAGAACAAGTTCTACAACGGACACTTCCTGAGCGTCGTGGAACCGGGTTAGAAGAAGCAAGTGCCCCGGATGACTCTGAATCGCACCAAGCGAAGCGACGATCAAGCGCTCGAGACAATCTGGACGAAGAGCAAAAGGGCAGTGACGAAGATAACGAGGATGCTACACCTCAAGTCTTTTGGCGAGCGAGTGCCAATGCAGTCGAAGGTACTGACTTGTCTGAGCCGACAACGTTTGAAGATGCTGTTGGTGGACCAGATCAAGTGCATTGGCGTAAAGCAATCTGTGCCGAGTTGGACTCGATGAAACTTCGTGGCGTGTTTCGAGCGACCAAACTGCCAGCTGGACAGCATGCCATTGGTACCAAGTGGGTCTTCAAGATCAAACGCAAAGCAGACGGATCCATCGAGAAGTACAAGGCACGTCTCGTGGCAAAAGGATTCAAGCAGAAATACGGCATCGACTACACGGAAACGTTCTCGCCGGTGGTCAAGTATGTGACGCTGCGCATGGTGGTCGCGATTACCAAGTACTTTGGCTGGCCTCTTGACCAACTTGACGTGGTCACAGCTTTCCTGTATGGAGTAATGAAGGAAAAAGTGTTTTGCGTCATTCCAGAAGGCGTCGAAATGGATGAAGACTTTGACTGTTTGGAATTGGTGAAGGCAATCTACGGTCTTAAACAAGCCTCGCGCGTTTGGAACGAGACTTTCGACGAGTTTGTGCGCTCAATTGGATTTCAAGTCTCCGATTTTGACCCGTGTCTTTATCTCAAGATTACAAGTGGCGAGTGCGTGCTTTTGCTGGTCTACGTGGACGATGTGCTGGTGACTGGGAGCTCGACGGAACTCATTGCGTGCACCAAGAGTGACCTCAAGACGCGTTTCGAGATGACCGACAGCGGCAAGTGTACTTTTGTTTTGGGCATCGAACTGGTCGAAAACGCTGACAATAGCGTGACGATGTGCCAGCGACGCTATGTCGATGACATTCTCAAGCGTTTTGGCATGAGCGAGTGCAAGGCCGTCACCAGCCCAACAGACATCAGTTCTCGACTCATACCAAGCACCGCAGCAACCAAAATCGACGCCCCGTTTCGTGAAGCAGTAGGCGCTTTCATGCACCTGACGACCGCAACACGCCCAGACATAGCTTTTGCTGTGAGGTACGTATCGCGTTTCATGGAAAACCCCCAAGTCGAGCACTGGATTGCAGTGAAGCGTATTTTCCGCTATCTGCAAGGGACCACGTCACATGGAATTTGTTTCAAGCCTGGTGAAGAAGTTGATTTTCGTGGATACTCTGATGCGGACTGGGCTGGAGACCATTCCGAACGCAAGTCAACTTCGGGATATGCGTTTCTGTTGATGAGCGCACCAATCAGTTGGGGAAGCAAGAAGCAGTCAAGTGTGTCGCTTTCAACGAGCGAAGCTGAGTACATTGCACTCAGCTTAGCGATCCAAGAAGGCAAGTGGGTTCACCGACTGCTGTGTGAGATTCTGGATGCCGCAGAGGACAAGTCTGGACCCGAGCTCAAGATCATGGAAGACAACCAGTCGTGCATCAAGATGACGAAGAATCCCGTGAACCATGGTCGAGCCAAGCACATCGACATCAAGTACCATCACATCCGTGATGAAGTCAAGCGTGGTGAAGTCAAGTTGGAGTACTGTGAGACTTCAATCATGTTGGCTGACATCATGACCAAGGGACTTCACGGACCGCGTCACAGAGAGATGACAGCGGCACTCGGGATTCGTGAGAGTTCGCATTGAGGGGGCGTATTGAGGGTTGACGGTTGAGGTACTGCTATCAGCTACCATGGGAACCGTAAACCTGTCCAAGTCGATCCCGCGTAATTACGGTGAGTTTTTACCAATGATTAGACGCATAGGATGATTGGATGACCTACATGATTTATGATTCATGATTTATATGTGGACCACATATAAATCAGTGCAGAGATAAATCAGGTAGCTTCAACAAAACCCACAAATAAGTTCACTTCCAAATATTCCTTCTCCTACACAAGTCGTCTTCACTTCGCAGTGTAGTCTTCTTTCAAGCTCTTCAAGCTTCGTTCTCTCGCCCAGTGCTCGACAAATTGTAACATGCCCCTGTGCTACTGACAGCGAGCACCATGTAATGCGATTTTAGAGCTGACCTGCAAAAGTTGAGCTTTATCGTTGCTGGCCTATTGACGTTTTCATCTAATATGTTACAGATCTATAAGATCCATCTTATAAACACTACGCATCATTGAACACGTTTATGTCTTATTCTCTCTTTTGCGATGGCTAAGTGACCTACTTGCCGCATTGTCGCGACCGAGTGCTCGCGTATATATTCTTAGTAGCTAACTATATATACATCTTCTGTTTCAGTATGCTTGGCTGCTTTAGTGCCTATGAGTTGGTCATTGTGGTCGGTCTTTACATATATAAATATCACCCCTCACGTATTGCTCGTGTGCAGTCTCGTTGTTATCAGCAAACATGTAATTTGGTAAAAAACATTCTTTAGCCTATATTACCTATCTCCATAAGAGCATCTAAGAGCATGACTATGATTGTGGTCAACTTATTTACGTAGCAAACTTATATGTTCTTAAGCATGACGTCGATCACTAAAGCTACAGCTTTTGACATCAGCGACGATCTTACAACAGCAACACATGTTTTAGTGTCGTTTAAGTGACTGCTCATACGAGGAATCATGACAGGATGTATCCATCACTCCTTGTACCACGTGCGGGGTATTTGATCGCGGCTTCACTTCGAAAACTGCTCTGACAGTTTTTAACACATACAAAAGGAAGCTTTTAAACCCGTGTTTTACGTGGAAGACCAACACAGCAGTATAATCTTCATAAATTGGAATCAAAAAAATTACACAAAAATTAAGAAGTAAAGTAATAGGTACAGTCTTCCCTCCGATATTTATATGTACCGTGGACGACAATCAGTATAAATTAGCAGAGGTTATAATTTATTGCTTTTTTGTGTATCGTACATAAGGAGATTTAATCAATTGAGTGATAAAAAAGCGTACCTGGGCACCCGAAACAAACCCCACCTTCCTTTAGCACAAGCCAAAATCCAACCTCAAGGCTTTCACTGCTGGAACAAAACAAAAGTCTCAGGCTCCTGCTAGTTTGCGACCTTCCCAACGGTATAAGACGCTCCCATAGCTTCTTTCGTCTGAGCTGACAATTATACATAGGGAAAGCCACATATACACAATTTTCAAGCGTGTCTTGCCTGTTGGTGTGATATCTGAGTAGTACCGAATGTTGCAGACAACTTTTGTAAATATGCAAGCACAAAGATTAAAAAAAAGATTTATCTCAAAGGGACTGGCGAAATGAGCTAAGGTAAATTGCGCCTTATCAAAACGCAGTCACATGCATCAATCAGCAAGACATTTTAGAAACGGTCTAATCTGGAGAACATGGATCCAAGCAGCCTAAATGCAAAGCGACAGCGACTAGTTCAACATCTTATACTAGAAGAAGCTTTGTCTCTTTAGGTCCTGCAATGTCAACAGCGCAAAGTGATAATCACCGGGAATATAATCTGTGCGAAGGCTTATAGGCTTTTTAAAATGGTTAGTACTCCTGATGACGCCATCACTATCCTACAAAAACGGCTTTATAAATTCCAGCCAAGTCACATACTCCGCTCTATCAGCATTTACGTTAAAAGCGGCTCGATGGGGCTACTAATAAATCTCTGCTTGATGTAAAGCAGGACAACGCAGAGTAAGCGCTGTGTGATGCTAACAAAAAGGATAAATCAGTAAATTTTGTTCCTTAACATGTTTAATTGGAACCGTGTCTGAATAAATAATTTGCAGGACTATACTACAGCATGATATCTGGCAGGACTGACGCACAGCAAGAAGTTAAAGGAAACAATATATACGGGATGAGTATATTGCATAATGCTCGTTGACATGAACATTAGCGACGATGACGACGAAGCCGCCAGGTCTTCGAAGAGCAACAGCAAGAGACACACGCGCACTCAATCACTTGAGAAAGCTACCATCATTTTAAGTCCCAAGCGAAGAACGTACAGAGTTCCGTCGCTTAAGCATGTGTCAGCGGCTGCGATGGATTTTGAAGCAGCCTACATCGTTAATTCAGTGGGGAAATGCCGACTACATTCAAGTCGGCGATGGAATCAAGCGATTCCGGAAAGTGGAAAGAAGCGTGTGACTCGAAGTTCGACTCGCTTCAGAGAAACGACACGTGGGAAATCGTGCCTCTTCCGAAAGGTCGCAAGGCCATCGGGTGCCGATGGGTGTTTCGTGTCAAGGAGAATCAAGATGGCGAAGTTGAACGTTTCAAGGCAAGACTTGTGGCCAAAGGATTCTCACAGGAATTTGGAATTGACTATGAAGAAGCTTTCGCACCAGTGGCCAAGTTCACATCGATTCGTGTGGTGCTCAGCGTGGCGGCCATGTACGGCCTAATGCTACATCAGATGGACGTCAAGACAACGTTTCTTAACGGCTCCCTCGACGAAGACATTAACATGGACCAACCGGCAGGATACCTGGATGCAACACAGCCGGACTATGTGTGCAAGCTAAAGAGATCACTCTACGGCTTGAAGCAATCGCCACGCATGTGGAACCAAACGATCGATGGGTTCATGATCAAGATGGGATTCAAGACGTGCGAATCGGACCACTGCATCTACATCAAGCGAGACGACCAAGACATGATTCTCGTGGTGCTCTACGTCGAGGATCTCATCCTGGCCAGCAGCAACAACGAACTATGCAAGTCGACCAAGATGGCGCTGAGCACACGCTTCGAAATGACGGATCTCGGTGAGCTCAATTACTTTCTCGGCATGGAGATCAAGAGCGACCGTAAGACTGTAATAGTGACTGTGCGACAAATCAAGTTTCTCAAGTCCGTGTTGACCGAGTTCGGAACGGATAACAGCAAGCCAGTGAAGACGCCTCAAGATCCCGGTCTGAAGCTCATTAAGAACATGTGTGACCAAAAATGCAACCACGAAGACACCATGTGCAACGTGCCATATCGAAGTGCTGTCGGAGGCATCATGTATCTCATGGTCGCCACACGTCCGGATCTAGCTGCTGCAGTAAGATCAGTATCACAGTTCTCGTCCGACCCATGCCCGACTCACTGGCAAGCTTTAAAGCGTGTGCTGATATACCTGCAAGCAACGCCTAATCACGGTCTTGAGTTCACACGTGAAGAAGGAAGCCGTTTCTGTGGGTACACCGACGCAGACTGGGCCGGTGACATTGAGTCTAGACGAAGTGCAAGCGGCTATGTGTTCATGATGAACGGAGGATGCATCAGCTTGAAAAGCCAGAAACAACGGACGGTCGCGCTATCTTCAACGGAAGCAGAATACATGGCGCTTTCCGAAGCAACCAAAGAAGCAGTATGGCTCAAGGTGTTTTTGGGGGAACTTGGTGAGATGGCAAGCGACGAAGCGATATAGATGTATGAAGACAACCAAGGATCAATCGCTTTCGCCAAGAACCCGGAGTTCCATAAGAGAACAAAGCACGCCGACATACGCTACCATTTTGTGCGTGAGGAGGTGGAATCGGGCGAAGTCGTTTTGGAGTATTGCTCGACTCGAGATATGATGGCAAACATGATGACCAAGCCGATCGCCGCTGTACAATTTAAAAACATTCTCAATCCACTTGGGATCCAAGGTGCCGCAGCAAATGAGTCGAGAGGGAGTGTTGTAAAGACGGCGGCTGTGAAGAAGACACCTCGTCAAGCTGCGTCAAGTGTTGAAGCAAGCCGAAGACCAAGCTTCGATATACCGGTGGGTACCGGTATGTACCAGTAAGGATGAAGTCAGGGGAAAAACGTCATTGCATGACGTCAGTAAGTGACGTCAGTGGATGACGTCACTGCGAATATTAGGCTTAGAGGTAGCATTCAAAGTTGCGAACTAAGTACCTGTTAAAAATATAGATTCACTTTGCGTTTTGCACTCGGACCAAGAAGTCTAAAGCTCTTAATGATCCACTTGACTTAAGAGGTACCTTCACATCCTTGATCATGTTCGTGGCCACCATTTTGCGAAGCACATCAGCTGGAGCGTGTCCCATCCGCGCATGTAAGTCGACACCGTTGCATCCGTTTGTTGTCGCATTGGCCGATCGATGAGCTGTGTGAAGCCAGTAAAGACCATCCACAAGATTTGCTGTTGCCACCACTTGTTGCGATCCTTTGCGAGCGACAAACATCTTGGTCCCGTCGAACACGACTTGAACCTTGCCGTGCTTGTTGATCTGAGGCACCGAGAGTAGATTCTTGCTCATGCTTGGTACGTAAAGCACGTTCTTGATCTCGATCTCGCGCTCTTCACCGTCGGGCAGAACCGCCTTCTTAATGATGGTTCCAACACCCTTGATGGCCACTGTGTTACCATCCGCCACCAAGATTTCACCGTCGTTGCGCTTGTTCAGTCTTGCAAACTTGGTCTTGTCGTGCCATATGTGGTGTGTTGCACCACTGTCGACGGCCCACATTCTGGACACGTCCTTCTACGCTGAGAGTCCACACTCAAGCGAAACTGCAAATGCCACTCGATCGTGGCTGTTGCCTTCATCATATTGTCCCCACTGGACATTATTAGCCCCGCGTCCACGACCATTGCCGCCGCGTCGGGCTCCTCGACCTTCATTCTTCTGCTTCGTCCAACAGCGATCCACTGTGTGCCCTACCTTGCCACAATATGTGCACTGGTAAGGCTCAAGCTCGGTGCTGAATGCCTTGGTTGCATCTTCAGCCTTCACCGTAGTCGCTGTTGTCGTCGCCTCTCCCCTTGACGCTTGGCGTGCTCATTCGTCAGCACCTTCACCACATCTTGGGTACAAAGTTCTGCATACTCATCTCCAAGTTCAGAACCACGTTCTCACAACTCTTCGGGAGACTGAGCAACAGGCAAATTGCGACGTCTTCGTCCTCCATCTTTGCACCGATGCTGCTAAGCTTGGCGGCGATGTTCAGGACCTCGTTGCAGTGATGCATGACGTTGGCGCCTTCAGCCATCTTCATGCTGAACAGCTGACGCTTGAGGTAAATCCGTCCGGCCTTCTGCGATCCACCGTACAACGACTTAAGACGTGACCACGCAACCCACGCATCCTCGCAGCTGTCGAACACATGGTGATAGTCCGCACTCATGTGAAGCAACATCGACCCGAACGCGATGTTGATTGTCTTGACGTACTCGTCGGACGCTCGCTGGTAGGTGAAGGTTGGCGTCACCTCGCGGTTCACGACGTGCCAGACGGACTTCGTCAAGAACACACCGCGCATGTACCGACTCCAAGTCGCATATCTGTCTCCATTGAACATACTAATGGAGACGCTGGATGATGCGTTGGTGGATGTCATGAAGATTGGGCTCATAACCTGTTGCATTGGTAGAGAGCGGAGCGGATGTAGCGGAGAGGATGAAGAGAGTGGAGACGAAGAAACTTTCTCACTAGTTGAAAAAATCGAAAGTGATAGATTATCGGGGTTTACTACTTACTACATGATTTGTGTGTGGTGCACATATAAATCTTGTGAAGCGTCTCATCATCCTACGCGTCCAATCAACTATGGTAATTACCGTAAGAACTACGTCATAAATACTAAGCTGAACAGGCGGTTCGGATTGGACCGGTCACGGTTACCAATACTGGTAGGAAACCGATAACCGTCAATACTCTTTGCTGTCGGATTTGGCGCGCAGGCTGAAACCTTCATACATCCTCTGCCTTCACGGACAATCAGAAGTAATTATCTGCTTCTACTCAGCGAGTCGACTTCCATCGGTCCACAAGTGTCGATGTGCAGGATCTTAAACGGGTCATAGTGGCGCTTGTTTGGGTCTTTTGAAAATGGTCGTTGCACCATCTTTCCTTCATGACAACCGCGACACACGATTGACCCATCAGGTGTCGATGGCATCTCGACGTCCTTGATCATGCACCTGGAGATCATCCTACGCAAGACATCAAGTGGTTCGTGGCCCATTCGCGCATGAAGGTTTTTGACTCTTGGTTCTGAAGCCGCATTCACAGATCGTTGGGATATGTGAAACCCGTAGAGTTCATTCATAAGACCCGCCATCGCCACTACTTGCTTGCAGTCTTTGCGCAAAATCTTTATCTCAACCCCATCAAACACCACTTGAAACTTGCCGCTTTTGTCAATCTGAGGTATCGACAGTAGGTTCTTGTTCATGCTCGGGACATAAAGTGTGTCCTTGATTTCCGCTTCGCGCTCTTCACCGTTTGATGAGACTACCTTTTCGACGAAGTCCCAACTCCATTGATCACAGCCCTGTTTCCGTCTGCATAAAGCACTTCGACTTTGTTGCGCTCGTCCAGAACTCCGAACTTGGACTTTTCATAGCAGATGTGATGTGTTGTACCGCTGTCAATCGCCCACATTCCAGACATGCTTTTGGTCGTTGAAAGTCCGCATTCCAGCAAAACACCAAACGCCACTCGATTATGGTCATAGTTGTTGTTGCCGTTGCAGCTTTTCCACTGAACTTGATTTGCTCCGCGTCCACGAGCATTGCCGCCGCGTCGAGCTCCCCGGTTGTCTTCCTTCTGCTTGGTCCAGCACGTTTCCACTGTGTGCCCCAATTTTCCGCAGAATGTACACTGACGAACCTCACGCTCGGTACTGAAGGCCTTGGTCGCTTCTTCAGTTTTCACCGATGTCTTCTTGTTTCCTTGTTTCCTTGTCTCTTGATGTGCTCATTCGTCAGCTCTATCACGGCGTCTTGCGTCCGCAGTTCCACGCTGCTCATCTCCAAGTTCAGTACGAGATTCTCGTAGCTCTTGGGGAGACTGCACAACAAGCAGATCGCCACGTCCTCATCCTCCATCTTGGCACCGATACTGCTGAGCTTGGCGCTGATGTCGAGAACTTCATTGCTATGATGCATGACATTGCCGCCTTCCGCCATCTCTATGCTGAACAGCTGTCTCTTCAAGAAGATCCGTCCCGTCTTCTGCGATCCGCCGTAGAGAGTCTTCAACCGTGTCCACGCAACCCATGCCTCCTCGCAGTCATCAACCACGTGATGATAGTCCGCGCTCATGTGAAGTAACATCAAGCCGAACTCAATGTTGTTGGTCTTGACGTACTCATCACTGGCTTGAGGATCGGCGAAGGTGGGGGTGGTCTCCCGGTTGACTATGTGCCACGTCGACTTGGTCAGGAACACGCCACGCATGTAGCGGCTCCACGTCGCGTTGTTGTCTTCATCGAATCTATCAATAGAGATCTTGGTGGCGGAATCTTGAGCAGAGGACATCGTGCTTGGGATCGTAATCTGTTAGGATGTAACTGGCACTGGACAAGAGAACGAAGCTTGAAGAGCTTGAAAGAAGAATACACTGCGAAGTGAAGACGACTTGTGTAGGAGAAGGAATATTTGGAAGTGAATTCATTTGTGGGTTTTTGTTGAAGCTACCTGATTCGTCCCTGCACTGATTATATGCTGTCCACAAATAAATCATGAATCATCAATCATGTAGGTCATCCAATCATCCTATGCGTCTAATCATTGGTAAGAACTCACCGTAATTAGGCGGGATCGACTTGGACATGTTTACGGATTCCATGGTAGCTGATAACAGTACCTCAACCGTCAACCCACAGTACCCCCCCTCAATGCGAACACGCGTGTATACCGAGCGCTGCCGTCAATTCCTTGTGACGCGGTCCTGGCAGTCCCTTCGTCATGATGTCCGCCAACATAGTCGTAGTCTCACAGTACTCCAACTTGACATCACCACGCTTGACTTCATCGCGAATGTGGTGGTACTTGATGTCGATGTGCTTGGCCCGACCATGGTTCACAGGATTTCTCGTCATCTTGATGCAAGATTGACTGTCTTCCATGATCTTGAGCTCGGGTCCGGACTTTTCCTCTGCGGCATTCAGAATCTCGCATAATAGGCGATGTACCCACTTGCCTTCTTGAATCGCCAGGCTTAGTGCAATGTACTCTGCTTCGATTGTCTATAGCGATACACTTGATTGCTTTTTGCTTCCCCAGCTCACTGGGGCACCCATCAGGATGAACGCATATCCCGAAGTCGACTTTCGGTCTGCATGGTCGCCGGCCCAGTCTGCATCCGAGTAGCCGCAGAAGTCTATCTTGTCATCAGACTTGAAACAGATACCGTGCGACTTAGTCCCTTGTAAGTATCGCAAAATGCGCTTGACCGCCATCCAATGCTCAACTTGGGGGTTTTCCACGAAGCGCGAAACGTAACTCACAGCAAAGGCAATGTCCGGTCGTGTCGCGGTCATCAAGTGCATCAAAGCGCCTACTGCTTCACGAAACGGGGCGTCGATTGTGGTTGCTGCGGTGCTTGGTATGAGTCGAGAACTGATGTCTGTTGGGCTGGTGATGTATTTGCAGTCGGTCATGCCAAAGTGCTTGAGAGCATATTCCACGTAGCGTCGCTGGCACATCGTCACGCTACCGTTGTCGTTGTCCACCAGCTCGATGCCCAACACGAATGCGCACTTGCCGCTGTCAGTCATTTTGAAGCGCGCCTTTAAGTCACTCTTGGTGCGCATGATCAGTTCAGTCGAGCTGCCAGTCACCAACACATCATCGACGTATACCAGCAAAAGCACGCACTCGCCACTTGTAATCTTGAGATAAAGACACGGGTCAAAATCGGATACTTGAAATCCAATGGAGCAGACAAACTCATGGAAAGTCTCGTTCCATACGCGCGATGCTTGTTTTTGTCCGTAGATCGCCTTGACCAGTTCAAAGCAGTCCAAGTCTTCATCAATTTCGACTCCTTCTGGGATCGCGCAGAAAATCTGTTCCTTCATTTCTCCGTATAGGAAAGCTGTCACCACGTCCAGTCGGTCCACAGTCCAGTCATGTGTTAAAGGTATGGCACGGGAATGACGAGAAGACCGGAAGTGACCGGAGGGAGCGAAGAGGCTTACGGAGCGGAGCAGAGAAGACTTGATCGGCAGAAGGAGAATTCGGAAGTGATTAATTATCGGGGCTTACTACTTACTACATGATTTATAAATGGTGCGCATCTAAATCATGTGAAGCGTCTCATCATCCTACGCGTCCAATCAACTATGGTGATTACCGTAAGAACTACGTCATAAATACTAAGCTGAACAGGCGGTTCGGATTGGACCGGTCACATTTACCAATACTGGTAGGAAACCGATGACCGTCAACACGCCCCCTCAATGCGAACACGCACAAATCCCGAGAGTCGCCGTCATCTCCTTGTGGCGTGGCCCGTGAAGTCCCTTCGTCACGATGTCCGCTAACATCACCGCTGCTTCACAGTACTTGAGCTTCACTTCACCGCGCTTGACCTCATCACGGATGTGATGGTACTTTATATCAATGTGCTTGGCACGGCCGTGGTTGACTGGGTTCTTCTTCATCTTGATACACGACTGTTTATCTTCATGGATCGTGAGCTCCAGTCCTTCTTCATTGGCAGCCATCATGATCTCACAAAGCAGACGATAAATCCACTTGCCCTCTTGAATCTCCAAGCTGAGTGCGATGTATTCAGCTTCACTCGTGGACAACGAAACACTTGGCTGTTTCTTGCTGCCCCAAGTCACTGGCGCACCCAACAGCATGAATACGTAACCAGACGTCGACTTGCGATCAGCGAGGTCACCGGCCCAGTCTGCATCCGAGTAGCCACGAAAGTCGATCTTCGCATTTGGCTTGTAGCAGATTCCGTGCATCTTGGTGCCTTGTAGGTAGCGGAAGATGCGCTTGACCGCAACCCAGTGTTCTTTTTGGGGGTTCTCCATGAATCGCGACACATAGCCAACGGCGAACGCAATATCCGGGCGCGTTGCAGTGGTCAGGTGCATCAACACACCAACAGCTTCGCGAAAAGGAGCATCGACCTTGGTGGCTGCATCACTTGAAACAAGTCGAGAGCTCATGTCGACTGGACTTGCGACGGCCTTGCAATCATCCATGCCAAAGCGCTTGAGTATGTCATCTACATACCGACGCTGGCATAGTGTCACACTTCCATCTGAGCCGTCCAAAAGCTCGATTCCAAGCACAAATGCACACTTGCCGCTGTCAGTCATCTCGAATCGTGTCTTTAGGTCGGTCTTGGTGCGTGCAATTATCTCGCATGAGCTACCGGTGATCAACACGTCATCCACATACACCAGCAGCAGCACGCATTGCCCTTCCACAATCCTTATGTAGAGACACGGATCGAGGCTTGACGCTTGAAATCCAATAGGACACACGAACTCGTCAAACGTTTCGTTCCATACGCGCGACGCTTGCTTTAGTCCGTAGATTGCCTTCACCAACTCCAGACAATCGAAGGAGCCCTCCAATTCCACGCCTTCAGGGATGACGCAGAACACTTTTTCCATCATGACACCATACAGGAATGCCGTCACCACGTCGAGTTGGTCGATGGTCCATCCGAAATACTTGGCGACTGCGATCACCATGCGCAGCGTCACGTACTTACCGACAGGCGAGAATGTTTCCGTGTAGTCCATCCCATATTGTTGCTTGAAACCCTTTGCCACAAGACGCGCCTTGTACTTGTCAATTGATCCGTCCGCTTTGCGCTTGATCTTGAAAACCCACTTCGTGCCAATGGCGCAATATCCTTTAGGTAGCTTGGCTGCGAGGAATACTTCACGAAGTCGCATCGACTCAAGTTCCGCACGGATAGCTTCGCGCCAATGCACTTGATCAGGACCGCTCACCGCAGCTTCAAAATTCGATGGCTCGGATAAGTCCACTGCTGTTTCGATGGCGTTCGCACTCGCACGCCAAAACACAGGCGGAGTTGATGCATCAGCATTCTTTGTTTCTTCATCTTCTTCTTGGTGGGTCGCGTGATTGTCTGGCGCACTTGATTCTTCTAGTCCAGGCCGTTGACGCACTGTGCGCGTGGGTGGAGCTGGTACTCCTTCATCATAGGGATGACTCTTGCGCTTGCCTGTTTGCTTGTACTGCGCTTGACCTGGCGCTTCATCATCCAGATCGAGGGAGTCGAAGTCAACGTCATCGGCGTCTCCAGCGGTGGTTGGCGGCGAAAGTCCAAAGGCGGACTCGTCAAAGTTGACATCGCGACTGATGACCACCTGCCCCGCCTCGATGTCATAAACGCGATACTCTTTGGATGCTTCTTCGTAGCCCAAGAATATCCCAGTGCGAGCCTTGGGGTCCCACTTGAGCCGCTTCTCCTTCGGTGTCAGTATGTAAACCTGACAACCGAACACCCGCATGTGCTTGACACTTAGCTTGTAGTTGTGGAAGATCTCGAATGGAGTCTTGTGCATAACTTTAGGCTACGGCAGACGGTTCTTGACGTAGATTGCCGTCATTGCTGCTTCGGCCCAGAAGCACTTTTCCATCTTAGCATGTTGGAGCATGCTGCGACCAATTGTGACGATAGTCCGAATGGCGCGCTCTGCCGTGCCGTTGGTCTGGTGTGTATATGGCACCGTCGTCTGCTGCTCAATGCCTTCATCTTCGTAGAATTTTTGAAGCGAGTTGGTTGCGAACTCGCGGGCTCCGTCGTGTCGGACGAGCTTGACCTTCTTGCCATACTGCGCTTGCACCATCTTGATGTATCGTGTGATGTAGTTTTCACTCTCCGACTTCACGCGTAGACAGAAGCCCTTCATGCATTCACTGGCTTCGTCAACGATCAGCAGTAGATACTTGCTGCCACTTAGAGAATTCATCTCCATGGGTCCGCAGATGTCGACGTGAAGTAGCTCGAAGGTGTCGTATCTGCGCTTGTCCTGGTTGCATGGGAATGGGTTTTGGACCATTTTCCCTTTCTGACATTCTCGACATGTACCTGATCCACTTGACTTGAGAGGTACATTTACGTCCTTGAATATGTTCGTGGCCACCATTCTGCGAAGCACATCAGCTGGAGCGTGTCCCATCCGCGCATGTAAGTCGACACCGTTGCATCCGTTTGTTGTCGCATTGGCCGATCGATGAGCTGTGTGAAGCCAGTAAAGACCATCCACAAGATTTGCTGTTGCCACCACTTGTTGCGATCCTTTGCGAGCGACAAACATCTTGGTCCCGTCGAACACGACTTGAACCTTGCCATGCTTGTTGATCTGCCGTACCGAAAGTAGATTCTTGCTCATGCTTGGTACGTAAAGCACGTTCGTGATCTCGATCTCGCGCTCTTCACCGTCGGGCAGAACCACCTTTTCAAAGATGGTTCCAACACCCTTGATGGCCACTGTGTTTCCATCCGCCACCAAGATTTCACCGTCATTGCGCTTGTTCAGTCTTGCAAACTTGGTCTTGTCGTGCCATATGTGGTGTGTTGCACCACTGTCGACGGCCCACATTCTGGACACGTCCTTCTACGCTGATAGTCCACACTCTAGCGAAACTGCAAACGCTACTTAATCGTAGTCGCTGCCTTCATCACGATATTGTCCTACTGGACATTGTTTGCCCCGCGTCCACGACCATTGCCGCCGCGTCGGGCTCCTCGACTTTCATTCTTCTGCTTGGACCAACAGCGATCGACGGTGTGTCCCACCTTCCCACAGTAGGTGCACTTGCATGGCTCGCGCTCAGTGTTGAAGGCCTTGGCTGCATCTTCAGTCTTGACCATCGTCGCTGTTGTTGTCGTCTTCTCCCCTTGGCGCTTGGTGTGCTCATTCGTGAGCACCTTCACCACATCTTGGGTACAAAGCTCTGTGCTGTTCATCTCCAAGTTGAGAATCACGTTCTCGAAACTCTTAGGGAGACTGAGCAGCAGGCAAATTGCGACGTCCTCGTCCTCCATCTTTTCACCGATGCTGCTAAGCTTGGCGGCGATGTTCGGGACCTTGTTGCAGCGATGCATGAAGTTGGCGGCTTCGTCCATCTTCATGCTGAAGAGTTGACGCTTGAGGTAGATCCTTCCCGCTTTCTGGGATCCACCGTACAGCACCTTCAGGCTCTGCCACGCAACCCACGCTTCCACGCAGTTGTCGACCACATGGTGGTAGTCCGCTCCCATGTGCAGCAACATCGTTCCAAACGCGATGTTGTTGGCCTTGACGTAGTCGTCCTGCACTCGAGGGTCCACGAACGTCGGGGAGCTCTCCCGGTTGACAGCATGCCACACTGACTTTGTCAGGAACACGCCACGCATGTATCGACTCCAGGTCGAATAGTTATCCCCATCGAACTTATCGATGAGGACGTTGGAGGATGCGTGGCCTGCAGCATACATTGTGCTTGGGCTCACAACCTGCTGACGGTATGGCACGGGAATGACGAGAAGACCGGAAGTGACCGGAGGGAGCGAAGAGGCTTGAGGAGCGGAGCAGAGAAGACTTGATCGGCAGAAGGAGAATTCGGAAGTGATTAATTATCGGGGCTTACTACTTACTACATGATTTATATGTGGTGCGCATCTAAATCTTGTGAAGCGTCTCATCATCCTACGCGTCCAATCAACTATGGTAATTACCGTAAGAACTACGTCATAAATACTAAGCTGAACAGGCGGTTCGGATTGGACCGGTCACGGTTACCAATACTGGTAGGAAACCGATGACCGTCAACACGCCCCCTGAATGCGAACACGCACAAATCCCGAGAGCCGTCGTCATCTCCTTGTGGCGTGGCCCGTGAAGTCCCTTCGTCACGATGTCCGCAAACATCACCGCTGTTTCACAGTACTTGAGCTTCACTTCACCGCGCTTGACCTCATCACGGATGTGATGGTACTTGATATCAATGTGCTTGGCACGGCCGTGGTTGACCGGGTTCTTCTTCATCTTGATACACGACTGTTTATCTTCATGGATCGTGAGCTCCAGTCCTTCTTCATTGGCAGCCATCATGATCTCACAAAGCAGACGATAAATCCACTTGCCCTCTTTAATCGCCAAGCTGAGTGCGATGTATTCAGCTTCACTCGTGGACAACGAAACACTTGGCTGTTTCTTGCTGCCCCAAGTCACTGGCGCACCCAACAGCATGAATACGTAACCAGACGTCGACTTGCGATCAGCGAGGTCACCGGCCCAGTCTGCATCCGAGTAGCCACGAAAGTCGATCTTCGCATTTGGCTTGTAGCAGATTCCGTGCATCTTGGTGCCTTGTAGGTAGCGGAAGATGCGCTTGACCGCAACCCAGTGTTCTTTTTGGGGGTTCTCCATGAATCGCGACACATAGCCAACGGCGAACGCAATATCCGGGCGCGTTGCAGTGGTCAGGTGCATCAACACACCAATAGCTTCGCGAAAAGGAGCATCGACCTTGGTGGCTGCATCACTTGAAACAAGTCGAGAGCTCATGTCGACTGGACTTGCGACGGGGCCAAGATGCACGGAATCTGCTACAAGCCAAATGCGAAGATCGACTTTCGTGGCTACTCGGATGCAGACTGGGCCGGTGACCTCGCTGATCGCAAGTCGACGTCTGGTTACGTATTAAACGTTTCGTTCCATACGCGCGACGCTTGCTTTAGTCCGTAGATTGCCTTCACCAACTCCAGACAATCGAAGGAGCCCTCCAATTCCACGCCTTCAGGGATGACGCAGAACACTTTTTCCATCATGACACCATACAGGAATGCCGTCACCACGTCGAGTTGGTCGATGGTCCATCCGAAATACTTGGCGACTGCGATCACCATGCGCAGCGTCACGTACTTACCGACAGGCGAGAATGTTTCCGTGTAGTCCATCCCATATTGTTGCTTGAAACCCTTTGCCACAAGACGCGCCTTGTACTTGTCAATTGATCCGTCCGCTTTGCGCTTGATCTTGAAAACCCACTTCGTGCCAATGGCGCAATATCCTTTAGGTAGCTTGGCTGCGAGGAATACTTCACGAAGTCGCATCGACTCAAGTTCCGCACGGATAGCTTCGCGCCAATGCACTTGATCAGGACCGCTCACCGCAGCTTCAAAATTCGATGGCTCGGATAAGTCCACTGCTGTTTCGATGGCGTTCGCACTCGCACGCCAAAACACAGGCGGAGTTGATGCATCAGCATTCTTTGTTTCTTCATCTTCTTCTTGGTGGGTCGCGTGATTGTCTGGCGCACTTGATTCTTCTAGTCCAGGCCGTTGACGCACTGTGCGCGTGGGTGGAGCTGGTACTCCTTCATCATAGGGATGACTCTTGCGCTTGCCTGTTTGCTTGTACTGCGCTTGACCTGGCGCTTCATCATCCAGATCGAGGGAGTCGAAGTCAACGTCATCGGCGTCTCCAGCGGTGGTTGGCGGCGAAAGTCCAAAGGCGGACTCGTCAAAGTTGACATCGCGACTGATGACCACCTGCCCCGCCTCGATGTCATAAACGCGATACTCTTTGGATGCTTCTTCGTAGCCCAAGAATATCCCAGTGCGAGCCTTGGGGTCCCACTTGAGCCGCTTCTCCTTCGGTGTCAGTATGTAAACCTGACAACCGAACACCCGCATGTGCTTGACACTTAGCTTGTAGTTGTGGAAGATCTCGAATGGAGTCTTGTGCATAACTTTAGGCTACGGCAGACGGTTCTTGACGTAGATTGCCGTCATTGCTGCTTCGGCCCAGAAGCACTTTTCCATCTTAGCATGTTGGAGCATGCTGCGACCAATTGTGACGATAGTCCGAATGGCGCGCTCTGCCGTGCCGTTGGTCTGGTGTGTATATGGCACCGTCGTCTGCTGCTCAATGCCTTCATCTTCGTAGAATTTTTGAAGCGAGTTGGTTGCGAACTCGCGGGCTCCGTCGTGTCGGACGAGCTTGACCTTCTTGCCATACTGCGCTTGCACCATCTTGATGTATCGTGTGATGTAGTTTTCACTCTCCGACTTCACGCGTAGACAGAAGCCCTTCATGCATTCACTGGCTTCGTCAACGATCAGCAGTAGATACTTGCTGCCACTTAGAGAATTCATCTCCATGGGTCCGCAGATGTCGACGTGAAGTAGCTCGAAGGTGTCGTATCTGCGCTTGTCCTGGTTGCATGGGAATGGTTTTTGGACCATTTTCCCTTTTTGACATCCTCGACATGCGCTTGAGCCACTTGACTTGAGAGGTACATTTACGTCCTTGAATATGTTCGTGGCCACCATTCTGCGAAGCACATCAGCTGGAGCGTGTCCCATCCGCGCATGTAAGTCGACACCGTTGCATCCGTTTGTTGTCGCATTGGCCGATCGATGAGCTGTGTGAAGCCAGTAAAGACCATCCACAAGATTTGCTGTTGCCACCACTTGTTGCGATCCTTTGCGAGCGACAAACATCTTGGTCCCGTCGAACACGACTTGAACCTTGCCATGCTTGTTGATCTGCCGTACCGAAAGTAGATTCTTGCTCATGCTTGGTACGTAAAGCACGTTCGTGATCTCGATCTCGCGCTCTTCACCGTCGGGCAGAACCACCTTTTCAAAGATGGTTCCAACACCCTTGATGGCCACTGTGTTTCCATCCGCCACCAAGATTTCACCGTCATTGCGCTTGTTCAGTCTTGCAAACTTGGTCTTGTCGTGCCATATGTGGTGTGTTGCACCACTGTCGACGGCCCACATTCTGGACACGTCCTTCTACGCTGAGAGTCCACACTCTAGCGAAACTGCAAACGCTACTTAATCGTAGTCGCTGCCTTCATCACGATATTGTCCTACTGGACATTGTTTGCCCCGCGTCCACGACCATTGCCGCCGCGTCGGGCTCCTCGACTTTCATTCTTCTGCTTGGACCAACAGCGATCGACGGTGTGTCCCACCTTCCCACAGTAGGTGCACTTGCATGGCTCGCGCTCAGTGTTGAAGGCCTTGGCTGCATCTTCAGTCTTGACCATCGTCGCTGTTGTTGTCGTCTTCTCCCCTTGGCGCTTGGTGTGCTCATTCGTGAGCACCTTCACCACATCTTGGGTACAAAGCTCTGCGCTGCTCATCTCCAAGTTTAGAACAACGTTCTCAAAACTCTTAGGGAGACTGAGCAGCAGGCAAATTGCGACGTCCTCGTCCTCCATCTTTTCACCGATGCTGCTAAGCTTGGCGGCGATGTTCGGGACCTTGTTGCAGCGATGCATGAAGTTGGCGGCTTCGTCCATCTTCATGCTGAAGAGTTGACGCTTGAGGTAGATCCTTCCCGCTTTCTGGGATCCACCGTACAGCACCTCCAGGCTCTGCCACGCAACCCACGCTTCCACGCAGTTGTCGAACACATGGTGGTAGTCCGCTCCCATGTGCAGCAACATCGTTCCAAACGCGATGTTGTTGGCCTTGACGTAGTCGTCCTGCACTCGAGGGTCCACGAACGTCGGGGAGCTCTCCCGGTTGACAGCATGCCACACTGACTTTGTCAGGAACACGCCACGCATGTATCGACTCCAGGTCGAATAGTTATCCCCATCGAACTTATCGATGAGGACGTTGGAGGATGCGTGGCCGGCAGCATACATTGTGCTTGGGCTCACAACCTGCTGAAGGTATGGCACGGGAATGACGAGAAGACCGGAAGTGACCGGAGGGAGCGAAGAGGCTTGAGGAGCGGAGCAGAGAAGACTTGCTCGGCAGAAGGAGAATTCGGAAGTGATTGATTATCAGGGGTTACTACTTACTACATGATTTATATGTGGTGCGCATATAAATCCTGTGAAGCGTCTCATCATCCTACGCGTCCAATCAACTATGGTAATTACCGTAAGAACTACGTCATAAATACTAAGCTGAACAGGCGGTTCGGATTGGACCGGTCACGGTTACCAATACTGGTAGAAAACCGATGACCGTCAACAACGTCCGCTGCCTTCATCGACGATTAGTAGCAAGCACTTGCTTCCACCTAGCGAGTCGACTTCCATTGGACAAAAAAGTGGCGCTTGTTTGGATTGCTTGGGAACGGTCGTTGAACCATTTTTCCTTCTAGACAACCCTGACACTTCCGCTTAATTTTGTTGGCTTCTTGGCATCCTTGATCATGCCCTTGGAGACCATCCTGCACAAGGCATCAACCGTTGCGTGGCCCGTACGCGCATGAAGGTTTTCGACTCTTGGTCCTGAAGTCGCATTCACGGATCGTTGGGATTTACGAAGCCAGTAGAGGCCATCCACAAGATCGGCCATCACCATTACTTGCTTGGAGCCTATGTGCGAAATCTTCATTTCTTCAACATCAAACACCACTTGAAACTTGCCGCTTTTGTTAATTTGTGGTATCGACAGCAAGTTCTTGTTCATGCTTGGAATGTAAAGCGCGTTCTTGATCTCGACTTCGCGCTCTTCACCATTGGACAGGACCACCTTTTCGACGATTGTCCCGACACCGTTGATCGCAGCCTTGATCCCTCTGCAACCAACACTTCACCTTCATTGCGCTCGCCCATAACTTTGAACTTGGACTTGTCATAGCAGATGTGATGTGTTGCACCGCTGTCAATCGCCCACATTCCAGACATGCTCTTGGTCGTTGAAAGTCCGCATTACAGCAAAACAGAAAACGCCACTCAATCATGTTCATAGTTGTTGTTGCCGTTGCAGCTTTTCCACTGAACTTGATTTGCTCCGCGTCCACGAGCATTGCCGCCGCGTCGAGCTCCCCGGTTGTCTTCCTTCTGCTTGGTCCAGCACGTTTCCACTGTGTGCCAATATTTTCCGCAGAATGTACACTGACGAACCTCACGCTCGGTACTGAAGGCCTTGGTCGCTTCTTCAGTTTTCACCGATGTCTTCTTGTTTCCTTGTTTCCTTGTCTCTTGATGTGCTCATTCGTCAGCTCTATCACGACGTCTTGCGTCCGCAGTTCCACGCTGATCATCTCCAAGTTCAGCACGACATTATCGTCGCTCTTGGGGAGGCTGCACAACAAGCAGATCGCCACGTCCTCATCCTCCTTCTTGGCACCGATACTGCTGAGCTTGGCGCTGATGTGGAGAACTTCATTGCTGTGGTGCTTGGTATGAGTCGATAACTGATGTCTGTTGGGCTGGTGACGGCTTTGCAGTCGCTCATGCCAAAACGCTTGAGAGCATCGTCCATGTATCGTCGCTGGCACATCGTCACGCTACCGTTGTCGTTGTCCACCAGCTCGATGCCCAACACGAATGCACTTGCCGCTGTCAGTCATTTCGAAACGCGCCTTTAAGTCACTCTTGGTGCGCATGATCAGTTCAGTCGAGCTGCCAGTCACCAACACATCATCGACGTATACCAGCAAAAGCACGCACTCACCACTTGTAATCTTGAGATAAAGACACGTGTCAAAATCGGATACTTGAAATCCAATGGAGCAGACGAACACATGGAAAGTCTCGTTCCATACGCGCGATGCTTGTTTTAGTCCGCCTTGACCAGTTCAAAGCAGTCAAAGTCTTCATCAATTTCGACTCCTTCTGGGATCGCGCAGAAAATCTGTTCCTTCATTTCTCCGTATAGGAAAGCTGTCACCACGTCCAGTTGGTCCAGTGCCTAGTCAAAGTACTTCGTGATTGCAACTACCATGCGCAGCTTCACGTAGTTGACTACCGGCGAAAACGTCTCCGTGTAGTCGATGCCATATTTCTGCTTGCACCCTTTTGCCGCAAGACGCGCCTTGTATTTCTCGATGGATCCATCAGCTTTCCGTTTGATCTTGAATACCCAGGGTTGGTGTCAATGGTATGCTGTCCATCTGGCAGTTTGGTCGCTCAAAACACGCCACGAAGTTTCATCGAGTCCAACTCGGCACAGATTGCTTTACACCAATGCACTTGATCTGGTCCACCAACGAATCTTCAAACGTTGTCGGCTCAGACAAGTCAGTACCTTCGACTGCATTGGCACTCGCTCTCCAAAAGACTTGAGGTGTAGCATCTTCGTTATCTTCGTCACTGCCCTTTCTCTCTTCGTCCAGATTGGCTCGAGCGCTTGATCGTCGCTTCGCTTGGTGCGATTCAAAGTCATCCGAGGCACTTGCTTCTTCTAACCCGGTTCCACGACGCTCAGGAAGTGTCCGTTGTAGAACTTGTTCTTGGCTGTTTGAACGGCTTTTGCGTTTTCATGTTTGGTTGAACTGCATAGGGTGAGGCTCCTCGCTGATGTCCATCGATTCGATATCCATCGCAGTGTCATCAACAATTTCTTGTGGTAGTGTCAGCGAGAAACCAAACGTTGGTTCGTCGAATGTGACATCGCGAGATATTACCACTTGGTCCGCTTCAATGTCGTAAACGCGATATACCTTTGACACTTCTTCGTACCCCATGAATAGTACTTCACTCGCCTTCGGATCCCATTTCGATATCTTTTCCTTAGGGGTCAGCACAAACGTTCGGCAGCCGAAAACCCGCATGCGCTTCTTTCTCACTTGGTCGAAATCCGTTGACGATCTCGAACGGGGTTTGATCTTGGCACTTGGGCGATGGTAAGCGATTCTTGATGTAGATCGCCGTCATTGCTGCTTCAGCCCAAAAACACTTGTCCAGCTTGGCGTAGTGAAGCATGCTGCGCCCGATCGTCACAATGGTCCGAATTGCCCGTTCCGCCGCGCCGTTGGTCTGATGCGCATGTGGAACGGCAACTTGCTGCTCGATTCCTTGATCATCGTAAAATGCCCTGAGCGAATTCGCCGCAAATTCGCGTGCACCATCGTGTCGAATGAACTTGACCTTGTAGTTAAACCGCGTCTGTACTGCCATGATGTACTTCTTGATGCACTCTACGCTGTCGGACTTGGCGCGAAGACTGAAACCCTTCATACATCCGCTGCCTTCATCGACGATCAGTAGCAAGCACTTGCTTCCACCTAGCGAGTCGACTTCCATTGGACCAAAAGTGTCGATGTGTAGAAGCTCAAACGGATCGTAGTGGCACTTGTTTGGATTGCTTGGGAACGGTCGTTGAACCATTTTTCCTTCTAGACAACCTTGACACTTCCGCTCAATTTTGTTGGCATCTTGGCATCCTGATCATGCCCTTGGAGACCATCCTGCACAAGACATCGACTGGTGCGTGGCCCATACGCGCATGAAGGTTTTCGACTCTTGGTCCTGAAGCCGCATTCACGGATCGTTGGGATGTACGAAGCCAGTAGAGGCCATCCACAAGATCGGCCATCGCCATTACTTGCTTGGAGCCTTTGTGCGAAATCTTCATTTCTTCAACATCAAACACCACTTGAAACTTGCCGCTTTTGTTAATTTGTGGTATCGACAGCAAGTTCTTGTTCATGCTTGGAACGTAAAGCGCGTTCTTGATCTCGACTTCGCGCTCTTCACCATTGGACAGGACCACCTTTTCGACGATTGTCCCAACACCGTTGATCGCAGCCTTGTTCCCCTCTGCAACCAACACTTCACCTTCATTGCGCTCTTCCATAACTTCGAACTTGGACTTTTCATAGCAGATGTGATGTGTTGTACCGCTGTCAATCGCCCACATTCCAGACACGCTCTTGGTCGTTGAAAGTCCGCATTACAGCAAAACAGAAAACGCCACTCAATCATGTTCATAGTTGTTGTTGCCGTTGCAGCTTTTCCACTGAACTTGATTTGCTCCGCGTCCACGAGCATTGCCGCCGCGTCGAGCTCCCCGGTTGTCTTCCTTCTGCTTGGTCCAGCACGTTTCCACTGTGTGCCATAATTTTCCGCAGAATGTACACTGACGAACCTCACGCTCGGTACTGAAGGCCTTGGTCGCTTCTTCAGTTTTCACCGATGTCTTCTTGTTTCCTTGTTTCCTTGTCTCTTGATGTGCTCATTCGTCAGCTCTATCACGACGTCTTGCGTCCGCAGTTCCACGCTGATCATCTCCAAGTTCAGTACGAGATTCTCGTAGCTCTTGGGGAGACTGCACAACAAGCAGATCACCACGTCCTCATCCTCCATCTTGGCGCCGATACTACTGAGCTTGGCGCTGATGTTGAGAACTTTATTGCAATGATGCATTACGTTGCCGCCTTCCGCCATCTCCATGCTGAACAGCTGTCTCTTCAAGAAGATCCGTCCCGCCTTCTGCGATCCGCCGTAGAGAGTCTTCAACCGTGTCCACGCAACCCATGCCTCCTCGCAGTCATCAACCACGTGATGATAGTCCGCGCTCATGTGAAGTAACATCAAGCCGAACGCAATGTTGCTGATCTTGACGTACTCATCACTGGCGCGAGGATCGGCGAAGGTGGGGGTGGTCTCCCGGTTGACTATGTGCCACGTCGACTTGGTCAGGAACACGCCACGCATGTAGCGGCTCCACGTCGAGTTGTTGTCTCCATCGAATCTATCAATAGAGATCTTGGTGGCGGAATCTTGAGCAGAGGACATCGTGCTTGGGATCGTAATCTGTTAGGATGTAACTGGCACTGGACAAGAGAACGAAGCTTGAAGAGCTTGAAAGAAGACTACACTGCGAAGTGAAGACGACTTGTGTAGGAGAAGGAATATTTGGAAGTGAATTCATTTGTGGGTTTTTGTTGAAGCTACCTGATTCGTCCCTGCACTGATTATATGCTGTCCACAAATAAATCATGAATCATCAATCATGTAGGTCATCCAATCATCCTATGCGTCTAATCATTGGTAAGAACTCACCGTAATTAGGCGGGATCGACTTGGACATGTTTACGGATTCCATGGTAGCTGATAACAGTACCTCAACCGTCAACCCACAGTACCCCCCCTCAATGCGAACACGCGTGTATACCGAGCGCTGCCGTCAATTCCTTGTGACGCGGTCCTGGCAGTCCCTTCGTCATGATGTCCGCCAACATAGTCGTAGTCTCACAGTACTCCAACTTGACATCACCACGCTTGACTTCATCGCGAATGTGGTGGTACTTGATGTCGATGTGCTTGGCCCGACCATGGTTCACAGGATTTCTCGTCATCTTGATGCAAGATTGACTGTCTTCCATGATCTTGAGCTCGGGTCCGGACTTTTCCTCTGCGGCATTCAGAATCTCGCATAATAGGCGATGTACCCACTTGCCTTCTTGAATCGCCAGGCTTAGTGCAATGTACTCTGCTTCGATTGTCTATAGCGATACACTTGATTGCTTTTTGCTTCCCCAGCTCACTGGAGCACCCATCAGGATGAACGCATATCCCGAAGTCGACTTTCGGTCTGCATGGTCGCCGGCCCAGTCTGCATCCGAGTAGCCGCAGAAGTCTATCTTGTCATCAGACTTGAAACAGATACCGTGCGACTTAGTCCCTTGTAAGTATCGCAAAATGCGCTTGACCGCCATCCAGTTCCCGACTTGGGGGTTTTCCATGAAGCGCGAAACGTAACTCACAGCAAAGGCAATGTCCGGTCGTGTCGCGGTCATCAAGTGTATCAAAGCGCCTACTGCTTCACGAAACGGGGCGTCGATTGTGGTTGCTGCGGTGCTTGGTTTGAGTCGAGAACTGATGTCCGTTGGGCTGGTGATGTCTTTGCAGTCGCTCATGCCAAAGTGCTTGAGAGCATATTCCACGTAGCGTCGCTGGCACATCGTCACGCTACCGTTGTCGTTGTCCACCAGCTCGATGCCCAACACGAATGCGCACTTGCCGCTGTCAGTCATTTTGAAGCGCGCCTTTAAGTCACTCTTGGTGCGCATGATCAGTTCAGTCGAGCTGCCAGTCACCAACACATCATCGACGTATACCAGCAAAAGCACGCACTCGCCACTTGTAATCTTGAGATAAAGACACGGGTCAAAATCGGATACTTGAAATCCAATGGAGCAGACAAACTAATAAAAAGTCTCGTTCCATACGCGCGATGCTTGTTTTAGTCCGCCTTGACCAGTTCAAAGCAGTCAAAGTCTTCATCAACTTCGGCCCCTTCTGGGATCGCGCAGAAAATCTGTTCCTTCATTTCTCCGTATAGGAAAGCTGTCATCACGTCCAGTTGGTCCAGTGCCTAGTCAAAGTACTTCGTGATTGCAACTACCATGCGCAGCTTCACGTAGTTGACTACCGGCGAAAACGTCTCCGTGTAGTCGATGCCATATTTCTGCTTGAACCCTTTTGCCGCAAGACGCGCCTTGTATTTCTCGATGTATCCATCAGCTTTCCGTTTGATCTTGAATACCCACTTGGTGCCAATGGTATGCTGTCCATCTGGCAGTTTGGTCGCTTAAAACACGCCACGAAGTTTCATCGAGTCCAACTCGGCACAGATTGCCTTACGCCAATGCACTTGATCTGTTCCACCAACAGCATCTTCAAACGTTGTCGGCTCAGACAAGTCAGTACCTTCGACTGCATTGGCACTCGCTCTCCAAAAGACTTGAGGTGTAGCATCTTCGTTATCTTCGTCACTGCCCTTTCTCTCTTCGTCCAGATTGGCTCGAGCGCTTGATCGTCGCTTCGCTTGGTGCGATTCAAAGTCATCCGAGGCACTTGCTTCTTCTAACCCGGTTCCACGACGCTCAGGAAGTGTCCGTTGTAGAACTTGTTCTTGGCTGTTTGAACGGTTTTTGCGTTTTCATGTTTGGTTGAACTGCATAGGGTGAGGCTCCTCGCTGATGTCCATCGATTCGATATCCATCGCAGTGTCATCAACAACTTTTTGTGGTAGCGTCGGAGAGAAACCAAACGTTGATTCGTCGAATGTGACATCGCGAGATATCACCACTTGGTCCGCTTCAATGTCGTAAACGCGATACACCTTTGACACTTCTTCGTACCCCATGAATATTCCTTCACTCGCCTTCAGATCCCATTTCGATCTCATATCCTTAGGTGTCAGCACAAACGTGTTGCATTGTAGATCGGAGCGAGGAAATCGGAGCGAACGGAGCGGAGAGACCGAAAAAAGTAGAGCAGAAAACACTTGCCCAATAGTTGGAAGATTCGAAAGTGATTGATTATCGGGGCTTACTACTTACTACATGATTTATATGTGGTGTACATATAAATCATGTGAAGCGTCTCATCATCCTACGCGTCTAATCAACTATGGTAATTACCGTAAGAACTACGTCGTAAATACTAAGCTGAACAGGCGGTTCGGATTGGATCGGTCACGGTTACCAATACTGGTAGAAACCGATGACCGTCAACACGCCCCCTCAATCCGAACTCGCACGAATGCCGAGAGCCGTCGTCAAGTCCTTGTGCGAGGTCCCGAAAGTCCCTTGGTCATGATGTCCGCCATCATCACGGAAGTCTCGCAATACTCGAGCTGCACTTCACCGCGCTTGACCTCATCACGGATGTGATGGTACTTGATGTCGATGTGCTTGGCGCGGCCATGATTCACCGGATTCTTCGTCATCTTGATGCACGACTGGTTGTCTTCACGGATGACGAGGTCCGGTCCTGGTTCGTTTGCGGCCGCCAAAATCTCGCATAGCAGGCGATGCACCCACTTGCCTTCCTGGATGGCCATCTCAGTGCGATGTATTCCGCTTCACTCGTCGACAGCGACACACTTGACTGCTTCTTGCTTCCCCAACTCACAGGAGTACCCATCAGCATGAAAGTGTAACCCGAAGTCGACTTGCGATCAGCGTGGTCGCCGGCCCAGTCCGCGTCCGAGTAGCCACGAAAGTCGATCTTGTCGCTTGGCTGGAAGCGGAGTCCGTGCGACTTGGTCCCTTGCAAGTAACGAAAGATGCGCTTCACCGCCGTCCAATGTTCTTGCTGCGGATTCTCCATGAAGCGCGAGACGTACCCCACAGCATACGCAATGTCCGGGCGCGTCGCAGTCGTCAAGTGCATCAAAGCTCCCACAGCTTCACGAAACGGAACGTCGATCTTGGCCGCTTCGCTGCTTGCGACAAGCCGAGTGCTCAAGTCGACCGGACTTGCTGTGGCCTTGCACTCATCCATGCCGAAGCGCTTGAGGATGTCGTTGACATACCGTCGCTGGCACATCGTCACGCTGCCATCCGATTCGTCCACCAGTTCGATGGCCAGTACAAAAGTACACTTGCCACTGTCGGTCATCTCGAAACGCGTCTTGAGGTCGGCCTTCGTCTGCGCAATCAACTCGAGTGAGCTGCCGGTGACCAACACGTCATCCACGTAGACCAGCACGAGCACACAGTGACCGTCGACAACCTTGATGTAGAGACATGGGTCAAACGCCGACACTTCGAAACCGATAAAGCATACGAACTCGTCGAAAGTCTCGTTCCACACACGTGAATCTTGCTTGAGACCTTAGATCGCCTTCACCAACTCGAGACAGTCGAAGTCGCCATCCATCTCGACGCCTTCTGGTATCACGCAGTACACCTTCTCCTTCATCACTCCGTAGAGAAAGGCTGTCACCACATCGAGTTGGTCCAGTGGCCAGTCGAAATACTTGGTGATCGCGATCGCCATACGCAGTGTCACGTACTTGACCACGGGCGAGAACGTCTCTTTGTAGTCGATGCCGTACTTCTGCTTGAAACCCTTGGCAACGAGACGCGCCTTGTATTTCTCGACCGATCCATCCGCTTTGCGCTTGATCTTGAACACCCACTTGGTGCCTATCGCGCCTTGGCCTCTTGGCAGTTTTGCCGCATGAAAAACTCCACGAAGATGCATCGACTTGAGTTCCGCCTTCACAGCATTTCTCCAGTGAGCTTGATCAGGACAATTGATCGCGTCTTGAAAAGTCACAGGTTCTGCTAGGTCCGTTGCTTCCACTGCGTTTGCACTTGCACGCCAAAATGATGAAGGCGTCGAGTCGTCATCTTGATCGTGGACGCTCGCATCTTCTTCGTCAACAGACATCGTTTCTGGAGCACTTGATCGTCGTTTCTGGTGACGGTTGGAGACGTGTTCCGGCGCACTTGCTTGTTCCAATCCAGTTCGAGGGCGAGCTGAACGTGACATGCCGGGTCTTGCTTCACTCTTGCGCTTGCCAGTCTGCTTGTAGACGGTTTGACGCACGTCGTCCTCGTTGATCGCCAGGAGGTCGAGGTCCAACTCCGCATCTTCATCATCGTCACTTGGTCGGTCCATCGAAAAGTCAAAAGTCGATTCGTCGAAGGTGATGTCACGACTGATCACCACTTGGCCCGCCTCAATGTCGTACACTCGATAAGCTTTTGACGCTTCTTCGTAGCCCATGAACATCCCTCCACGAGCCGTCGAGTCCCACTTCAATCGCTTCTCCCTTGGTGTCAGGATAAACGCCCGACATCCAAACACGCGCATGTGCTTGACACTTGGTTTCGACTTGTACACGATCTCGAACGGAGTCTTGTGGTCGATCTTGGGTGAAGGCAGGCGGTTCTTGATGTAGATCGCCGTTATTGCCGCTTCAGCCCAGAAACACTTCTCCAGCTTTGCATGATGCAACAAGCTGCGTCCGATCGTGACGATGGTCCTTATCGCGCGTTCTGCGGTGCCGTTGGTCTGGTGTGCATACGGTACCGTGATCTGTTGTTCGATACCATGATTTTTGTAGAAGGTCTTGATCGAGTTGGTCGCAAACTCATACGCTCCATCGTGCCGAACAAACTTGATCTTCGTGCCGAACTGAGTCTGAATCTTGATAATGTGGTTCTTGATACAGTCTTCACTCTCAGACTTGGACCGCAGACAGAAGCCCTTCATGCAACCGCTGGCTTCGTCAACCACAAGCAGCAAGTATCTTCTGCCGCCGATCGAGACTTGTTCCATTGGCCCGCAGATGTCGAAGTGCAGCAACTCGAACACACCATATTGGCGTTTGTCACGGTTGGTTGGGAATGGTTTTTGGACCATCTTTCCTTGCTGGCAACCGCGACACACACTTGGACCAGTCGAGTTGAGAGGTGCCTTGGCGTCCTTGATCATGCCGGTGGCCACCATCTTGCGCAGAACTTCGAGGGGTGCATGACCCATGCGCGCATGCAAGTCGATAGTCCCATTGCGTGTTGCTGCATTTGCCGATCGTTGAGGAGTCCGCAGCCAGTAAAGTCCATCGACGAGATCCGCTGTTGCCACGACTTGTGTGGAATTCTTGCGTATCACTTGCATCTTGGACCCATCGAACACGACTTGGAACGTGCCACCCTTGTTGATCTGTGGCACCGGAAGCAGATTCTTGCTCATACTTGGTACAAACAGTGCATCCTTGATCTCGATGTCGCGTTCGTCACCATTGGGCAGAACCACCCGTTCCATGATGGTTCCCACACCCTTGATCGCAGCCTTGCTGCCATCAGCCACTGATAGTTCGCCTTCCTCTCGCTCATTCAGGCTTGCAAACTTTGCCTTGTCGTTGCAGATGTGATGCGTCGCACCGCTGTCCACTGCCCACATCCCTGGCATATTCTTGCCCGTCGAAAGTCCAGCCTGCAGCGAAACCGCGAATGCAACTCGATCGTAGTTGTCGTCGTAGGTGCTGTTGATTCGCCACTGAACGTTGTTGGCTCCGCGTCCACGAGCATTGTTGCCGCCGCGTCGAGCTCCATCTTGATTTTCGTCCTTCTGCTTGGTCCAGCACCGCTCCGCCGTGTGCCCCAATTTTCCGCAGTATGTACACTGTCGAGGTTCACGCTCGGCACTGAACGCCTTCGCCGCGTCTTCAGTCTTCACCGATGTCGTCTTGTCACCTTGCCTCTTGATGTGCTCATTCGTGAGCACTCTCACGACGTCTCGCGATCGCAGTTCCGCGCTGCTCATCTCCAAGTTGAGAACGACGTTCTCGTAGCTCTTGGGGAGGCTGCACAACAAGCAGATCGCCACGTCCTCATCCTCCATCTTGGCACCGATAATGCTGAGCTTCGCGCTGATGTGGAGAACTTCATTGCTGCGGTGCTTGGTATGAGTCGAGAACTGGTGTCGGTTGGGCTGGTGACGGCTTTGCAGTCGCTCATGCCAAAACGTTTGAGGACATCTTCCATGTAGCGTCGCCGGCACATCGTCACGCTACCGTTGTCGTTGTCCACCAGCTCGATGCCCAACACGAATGCGCACTTGCCGCTGTCAGTCATTTCGAAACGCGCCTTTAAGTCACTCTTGGTGCGCATAATCAGTTCGGTTCAGCTGCCAGTCACCAACACATCATCGACGTATACCAGCAAAAGCACGCACTCGCTGTTGATTGGGTGAAAAGCTTGACGACCGAAACTGGGAGTGATGCTGGGAGTCCACTCGGAAGACCGGAGAAGACACTTGGGGGTAGATGGAATATTCGAAAGTGATTGATTATCGGGGCTTACTACTTACTACATGATTTATATGTGGTGCACATATAAATCATGTGAAGCGTCTCATCATCCTATGCGTCTAATCAACTATGGTAATTATCGTAAGAACTACGTCGTAAATACTAAGCTGAACAGGCGGTTCGGATTGGACCGGTCACGGTTACCAATACTGGTAGAAACCGATGACCGTCAACACGCCCCCTCAATCCGAACTCGCACGAATGCCGAGAGCCGTCGTCAAGTCCTTGTGGCGAGGTCCCGAAAGTCCCTTGGTCATGATGTCCGCCATCATCACGGAAGTCTCGCAATACTCGAGCTGCACTTCACCGCGCTTGACCTCATCACGGATGTGATGGTACTTGATGTCGATGTGCTTGGCGCGGCCATGATTCATCGGATTCTTCGTCATCTTGATACACGACTGGTTGTCTTCACGGATGACGAGGTCCGGTCCTGGTTCCGTTTGCGGCCGCCAAAATCTCGCATAGCAGGCGATGCACCCACTTGACTTCCTGGATGGCCAGACTCAGTGCGATGTATTCCGCTTCACTCGTCGACAGCGACACACTTGACTGCTTCTTGCTTCCCAACTCACAGAAGCACCAATCAGCATGAAAGTGTAACCCGAAGTTCGACTTGCGATCAGCGTGGTCGCCGGCCCAGTCCGCGTCCGAGTAGCCACATGATTTATATGTACACCACATATAAATCATGTAGTAAGTAGTAAGCCCCGATAATCAATCACTTTCGAATCTTCCAACTATTGGGCAAGTGTTTTCTGCTCTACTCTCTTCGGTCTCTTCGCTCCGTTCGCTCCGATTTCCTCGCTCCGATCTACAATGCAACAGGTTATGAGCCCGAGCGCCATGTCGTACACCAGCAACGCCTCCATTGACAAGTTCAACGGAGACAATTACGCAACGTGGAGCCGGTACATGCGCGGTGTGTTTTTGACGAAGTCCGTCTGGCACGTCGTCAACCGTGAAGTGACTCCGACTTTCACCGACCCGCGAGCGTCCGATGACTACGCCAAGGCAAGGAACGTCGCGTTTGGTATGATGCTGCTGCACATGAACGCGGACTACCATCATGTGCTGGACAACTGCGAGGAAGCCTGGGTTGCGTGGACAAGTCTGAAGACGCTGTACGGTGGGTCGCAGAAGGCAGGACGCATCTACCTCGAGCGACAGCTTTTCAGTATCAAGATGGCTGAAGGCGCGAACGTCATGCATCACTGCAACGAGGTCCTCAACATCTCCGCCAAGCTTAGCGGCATCGGTGCGAAGATGGAAGACGAAGACGTTGCAATTTTTCTGCTACTCAGTCTTCCGAAGAGCTACGAAAATGTGGTGCTCAACATGGAAATGAGCAGCACCGAGCTTCGCACTCAAGATGTGGTGAGAGTCCTGACGAATGAGCATGCCAAGCGTCAAGGAGAAAAAGGGACAACGACAGCGACTACGGTGAAGGCTGAAGATGCAAGCAAGGCATTCAGCGCCGAGCGTGAGCCCTACCAATGCAAGTATTGTGGCAAGGTGGGACACACGGTGGATCGTTGCTGGACAAAGCAGAAGAACGAAGGTCGGGGAGCCCGACGCGGCGGCAATGGTCGTGGACGCGGGGCTAACAATGTCCAGCGGGGACATCATGATGAAGGCAATGGCTACGATCGAGTGGCGTTTGCAGTCTCGTTCGAATGTGGAGTTTCGACGAGCAAGGACGTGTCTGGAATGTGGACCGTCGACAGTGGTGCAACGCACCACATTTGCCACGACAAGACCAAGTTCGCAAGTTTGGCAGAGCGCAATGAGGGCGAACTCTTGGTGGCTGATGGCAACAAGGTGGCCATCAAGGGTGTGGGAACCATCATGGAAAAGGTGGTTCTGCCCAATGGTGAAGAGCGTGAGATCGAAATCAAGAACTCGCTATATGTTCCAAGTATGAGCAAGAACCTGCTCTCGGTGCCACAGATTAACAGCCATGGCAAGTTTCAAGTCGTGTTTGACGGGTCCAAGATGTATGTAACTCTCATAAACTCACAGCAAGTGGTGGCGACAGCGGATCTCGTGGATGGACTCTACTGGCTTCGAACGACTCAGCGATCAGCGAATGTGACAACAAGTGGAACCAGTTTTTTTTTGTGCCGATCTACATGAGAGAATGGGTCATGCTCCAGTCGATGTACTTCGCAAGATGATCGCGACCAACATGATCAAGGATGTGCGAGTCCCTCTCAAGTCGGGTGGAGCAACTACATGTCGAGGATGTCAACAAGGGGAAATGGTCCAAAAACCATTTCCAAGCAACCGAGACAAGCGCAGCTACGATACGTTTGAGCTACTTCATCTGGACATCTGCGGGCCCATGGAAAAGGATTCGCTCGGTGGCAGCAAATATTTGCTGCTGATCATCGACGAAGCCAGTGGATGCATGAAGGGCTTTTGTCTACGAGTGAAGTCCGAGAGTGAAGACTACATCCGGAAATACATCACCATGGTACAGACGCAATTCTGTAAGAAGGTCAAGTTCGTGCAACACGACGGAGCTCGCGAGTTTGCAACCAACTCGTTTCAACTGTTCTACGAAGACGAAGGCATTGAACAGCAGACAACGGTGCCGTATGCACATCAAACAAACGGAACAGCAGAGCATGCCATTAGGACTATTGTCACGATCGGCCGCAGCATGCTCCATCGTGCCAAACTGGACAAGTGTTTCTGGGCCGAAGCAGCGATGACGGCCATCTACGTCAAGAATCGACTGCCGTCACCTAAAGTCGTGCACAAGACCCCGTTTGAGATCGTCTACAACTTGAAACCAAGCGTCAAGCACATGCGAACATTCGGGTGTCAGACATACATACTGAAGCCTAAAGAGAATCGACTCAAGTGGGATCCAAAGGCTCGCGCTGGCATATTCGTGGGCTACGATGGAGTTTCGAAGGCATATCGTTTTTATGACATCGAGGCGGGGCAGGTGGTTATCAGCCGCGATGTCAACTTCGACGAGTCCACCTTTGGACTTCAACTGCCGATCACTGATGAAGATGTCGATGACCTGGACTTCGAATTGCTGGATCTTGATGACGAAGAGCTGCGTCAAATGGAGTACAAGCAAACAGGCAAGCGCAAGAACCGACTCAATGATGAAGATACAGCAGCTCCACGACCGCGTGCAGTGCGTCAGCGACCAGGACTAGAAGAGTCAAGCGCGCCGGAAAACAACTCGTCACGCCAAGAAGAAGACGAAGAAACGAAGGATTCTGGTGATTCAACACCGCCTGTGTTTTGGCGTGCGAGTGCAAATGCCGTTGAAGCAGCAGTGGACTTATCAGAGCCCTCAACATTTGAAGCAGCAGTAAGCGGCCCTGACCAAGTGCACTGGAGAAAAGCAATTCATGCAGAGCTCGAGTCAATGCGACTTCGCGGTGTGTTTTGTGCAGCCAAGCTGCCCAACGGACAACGCGCCATTGGCACAAAATGGGTGTTCAAGATCAAGCGCAAGGCGGATGGGTCAATCGAGAAGTACAAGGCACGACTTGTGGCCAAGGGTTTCCGCCAAAAGTATGGCATCGACTACACGGAGACGTTTTCGCCTGTGGTCAAGTATGTGACGCTGCGAATGGTGATCGCAATTTCCAAGCATTTTGGATGGCCCGTCGACCAGCTTGATGTGGTGACAGCTTTCCTGTATGGCGTCATGAAGGAACAAGTGTTCTGCGTGATTCCTGAAGGCGTAGAACTTGACAATACGTTCGACTGCCTGGAATTGGTGAAGTCAATTTACGGCCTCAAGCAAGCGTCGCGAGTGTGGAACGAGACGTTCGACGAGTATGTGTGCTCCATCGGATTTCAAGTATCGGACTTCGACCCATGTCTCTACATCAAGACTTCGGACGGCCATTGCGTGTTTATACTGGTCTACGTGGACGACGTGTTGGTGACTGGAAGCTCGCTCGAGCTGATTGCACAAACCAAGAACGACCTGAAGACGCGGTTCGAGATGACGGACAGCGGAAAGTGTGCGCTTGTTCTTGGGATCGAGCTTTTGGACGGTGAAGATGGCAGTGTGACACTATGTCAGCGTCGGTATGTCGATGATATCCTCAAACGCTTTGGCATGGATGATTGCAAGGCAGTCGCAAGTTCAGTCGACATGAGCTCTCGACTTGTTTCAAGTGATGCAGCCACCAAGGTCAATGCTCCTTTTCGCGAAGCTGTTGGTGCGTTGATGCACCTGACCACTGCAACGCGTCCGGACATTGCGTTTGCTGTGGGCTATGTGTCGCGGTTCATGGAAAATCCCCAAGAAGAACACTGGGTTGCAGTTAAGCGTATCTTTCGCTACCTACAAGGCACCAAGACGCATGGAATTTGCTACAAGCCAAGTGCAAGGATCGACTTCCGTGGATATTCGGATGCGGATTGGGCTGGTGATCTTACCGACCGCAAGTCAACATCGGGGTACACGTTCATGCTACTCGGTGCGCCAGTGAGTTGGGGCAGCAAGAAACAGCCAAGTGTTTCGTTGTCCACGACTGAAGCTGAATACATCGCACTTAGCTTGGCGATTCAAGAGGGCAAGTGGATTTATCGTCTGCTTTGTGAGATCATGATGGCTGCCAATGAAGAAGGACTGGAGCTCACGATCCATGAAGATAAACAGTCGTGTATCAAGATGACAAAGAACCCGGTCAACCACGGCCGTGCCAAGCACATTACCATCACATCCGTGATGAGGTCAAGCGCGGTGAAGTGAAGCTCAAGTACTGTGAAACTGCGGTGATGTTAGCGGACATCATGACGAAGGGACTTCATGGACCACGCCACAAGGAGATGACGACGGCTCTCGGCATTCGTGCGAGTTCGGATTGAGGGGGCGTGTTGACGGTCATCGTTTTCTACCAGTATTGGTGACCGTGACCGATCCAATCCGAACCGCCTGTTCAGCTTAGTATTTACGACGTAGTTCTTACGGTAATTACCATAGTTGATTAGACGCGTAGGATGATGAGACGCTTCACATGATTTATATGTACACCACATATAAATCATGTAGTAAGTAGTAAGCCCCGATAATCAATCACTTTCAAATCTTCCAACTATTGGGCAAGTATTTTCTGCTCTACTCTCTTCGGTCTCTCCGCTCCGTTCGCTCCGATTTCCTCGCTCCGATCTACAATGCAAAAGAATGAACTTGACCTTGTAGTAAAACTGCGTCTGTACTGCCATGATGTACTTCTTGATGCACTCTACGCTGTCGGACTTGGCGCGAAGACTGAAACCCTTCATACATCCGCTGCCTTCATCGACGATCAGTAGCAAGTACTTGCTTCCACCTAGCGAGTCGACTTCCATTGGACCAAAAGTGTCGATGTGTAGAAGCTCAAACGGATCGTAGTGGCACTTGTTTGGATTGCTTGGGAACGGTCGTTGAACCATTTTTCCTTCTAGACAACCTTGACACTTCCACTCAATTTTGTTCGCATGTTGGAATCCTGATCATGCCCTTGGAGATCATCCTGCACAAGACATCAACCGTTGCGTGGCCCATACGCGCATGAAGGTTTTCGACTCTTGGTCCTGAAGCCGCATTCACGGATCGTTGGGATGTACGAAGCCAGTAGAGGCCATCCACAAGATCGGCTATCGCCATTACTTGCTTGGAGCCTTTGTGCGAAATCTTCATTTCTTCAACATCAAACACCACTTGAAACTTGCCGCTTTTGTTAATTTGTGGTATCGACAGCAAGTTCTTGTTCATGCTTGGAACGTAAAGCGCGTTCTTGATCTCGACTTCGCGCTCTTCACCATTGGACAGGACCACCTTTTCGACGATTGTCCCAACACCATTGATCGCAGCCTTGTTCCCCTCTGCAACCAACACTTCACCTTCATTGCGCTCGTCCATAACTTCAGACTTGGACTTGTCATAGCAGATGTGATGTGTTGTACCGCTGTCGATCGCCCACATTCCAGACATGCTCCTGGTCGTTGAAAGTCCGCATTCCATCAAAACAGAAAACGCCACTCAATCATGGTCATAGTTGTTGTTGCCGTTGTAGACTTGCCACTGAACTTGATTCGCTCCGCGTCCACCAGCATTGCCGCCGCGTCGAGCTCCCCGGTTGTCTTCCTTCTGCTTGGCCCAGCACGTTTCCACTGTGTGCCATAATTTTCCGCAGAACGTACACTGACGAACCTCACGCTCGGTACTGAAGGCCTTGGTCGCTTCTTCAGTTTTCACCGACGTCGTCTTGTTTCCTTGTTTCCTTGTTTCTTGATGTGCTCACTCGTCAGCTCTTTCACGGCGTCTTGCGTCCGCAGTTCCACGCTGCTCATCTTCAAGTTGAGAACGACGTTCTCGTAGCTCTTGGGGAGGCTGCACAACAAGCAGATCGCCACGTCCTCATCCTCCATCTTGGCACCGATACTGCTGAGCTTGGCGCTGATGTGGAGAACTTCATTGCTGTGGTGCTTGGTATGAGTCGAGAAATGGTGTCTGTTGGGCTGGTGACGGCTTTGCAGTCGCTCATGCCAAAACGTTTGAGGACATCTTCCACGTAGCGTCGCCGGCACATCGTCACGCTACCGTTGTCGTTGTCCACCAGCTCGATGCCCAACACGAATGCGCACTTGCCGCTGTCAGTCATTTCGAAACGCGCCTTTAAGTCACTCTTGGTGCGCATGATCAGTTCAGTCGAGCTGCCAGTCACCAGCACATCATTGACGTAGACCAGCAAAGCACGCACTCGCCACTTGTAATCTTGAGATAAAGACACGGATCAAAATCGGATACTGGAAATGCAGTGGAGCCGACGAACTCATGGAAAGTCTCGTTCCATACGCAAGATGCTTGTTTTAGTCCGTAGATGTCTTGACCAGTTCAAAGCAGTCAAAGTTGTTGACGGTCATCGGTTTCTACCAGTATTGGTAACCGTGACCGGTCCAATCCGAACCGCCTGTTCAGCTTAGTATTGACGACGTAGTTCTTACGGTAATTACCATAGTTGATTAGACGCGTAGGATGATGAGACGCTTCACATGATTTATATGTACACCACATATAAATCATGTAGTAAGTAGTAAGCCCCGATAATTAATCACTTTCGAATCTTCCATCTACCCCCAAGTGTCTTCTCCGGTCTTCCGAGTGGACTCCCAGCATTACTCCCAGTTTCGGTCGTCAAGCTTTTCACCATTCAACAGGTTATGAGCCCTAGCACGATGTCCTCTGCTCATGATGCCACCACCAAGATCTCCATCGACAAGTTCGACGGCGACAACTTCGCGACGTGGAGCCGCTACATGCGTGGCGTGTTCCTGACCAAGTCGGCGTGGCACGTGGTGAACCGGGAGACGTCGCCGACCTACGCGGACGATCGCGCCATGGACGACTACGTCAATGCCAACAACATTGCGTTCGGCTTGATGCTGCTGCACATGGACGCAGACTACCATCACATCGTCGATGACTGTGAAGAGGCGTGGGTCGCGTGGGCGCGTTTGAAGACGCTGTACGGCGGGTCGCAGAAGGCTGGACGCATCTACTTGAAGCGTCAGCTGTTCAGCGTGGAGATGGCGGAAGGCGGCAATGTCATGCATCATTGCAATAAAGTTCTCAACATCAGCGCCAAGCTCAGTAGTATCGGCGCCAAGATGGAGGATGAGGACGTGGTGATCTGCTTGTTATGCAGCCTCCCCAAGAGCTACGAGAATCTCGTACTGAACTTGGAGATGAGCAGCGCGGAACTGCGGACGCAAGACGTCGTGAAGGTGCTGACGAATGAGCACATCAAGAGACAAGGAACAAGGAAACAAGAAGACATCGGTGAAAACTGAAGAAGCGACCAAGGCCTTCAGTACCGAGCGTGAGGTTCGTCAGTGTACGTTCTGCGGAAAATTATGGCACACAGTGGAAACGTGCTGGACCAAGCAGAAGGAAGACAACCGGGGAGCTCGACGCGGCGGCAATGCTCGTGGACGCGGAGCAAATCAAGTTCAGTGGAAAAGCTGCAACGGCAACAACAACTATGACCATAATCGAGTGGCGTTTGGTGTTTTGCTGGAATGCGGACTTTCAACGACCAAGAGCATGTCTGGAATGTGGGCGATTGACAGCGGTACAACACATCACATCTGCTATGACAAGTCCAAGTTCGAAGTTATGGAAGAGCGCAATGAATGTGAAGTGTTGGTTGCAGAGGGGAACAAGGCTGCGATCAACGGTGTTGGGACAATCGTCGAAAAGGTGGTCCTGTCCAATGGTGAAGAGCGCGAAGTCGAGATCAAGAACGCGCTTTACGTTCCAAGCATGAACAAGAACTTGCTGTCGATACCACAAATTAACAAAAGCGGCAAGTTTCAAGTGGTGTTTGATGTTGAAGAAATGAAGATTTCGCACAAAGGCTCCAAGCAAGTAATGGCGATGGCCGATCTTGTGGATGGCCTCTACTGGCTTCGTACATCCCAACGATCCGTGAATGCGGCTTCAGGACCAAGAGTCGAAAACCTTCATGCGCGTATGGGCCACGCACCAGTCGATGTCTTGTGCAGGATGGTCTCCAAGGGCATGATCAGGATGCCAAGATGCCAACAAAATTGAGCGGAAGTGTCAAGGTTGTCTAGAAGGAAAAATGGTTCAACGACCGTTCCCAAGCAATCCAAACAAGTGCCACTACGATCCGTTTGAGCTTCTACACATCGACACTTTTGGTCCAATGGAAGTCGACTCGCTAGGTGGAAGCAAGTACTTGCTACTGATCGTCGATGAAGGCAGCGGATGTATGAAGGGTTTCAGTCTTCGCGCCAAGTCCGACAGCGTAGAGTGCATCAAGAAGTACATCATGGCAGTACAGACGCGGTTTAACTACAAGGTCAAGTTCATTCGACACGATGGTGCACGCGAATTTGCGGCGAATTCGCTCAGGGCATTTTAAGATGATTAAGGAATCGAGCAGCAAGTTGCCGTTCCACATGCGCATCAGACCAACGGCGCGGCGGAACGGGCAATTCGGACCATTGTGACGATCGGGCGCAGCATGCTTCACTACGCCAAGCTGGACAAGTGTTTTTGGGCTGAAGCAGCAATGACGGCGATCTACATCAAGAATCGCTTACCATCGCCCAAGTGCCAAGATCAAACCCCGTTCGAGATCGTCAACGGATTTCGACCAAGTGAGAAAGAAGCGCATGCGGGTTTTCGGCTGCCGAACGTTTGTGCTGACCCCTAAGGAAAAGATATCGAAATGGGATCCGAAGGCGAGTGAAGTACTATTCATGGGGTACGAAGAAGTGTCAAAGGTATATTGCGGATCAAGTGGTGATATCTCGCAATGTCACATTCACATTCGACGAATCAACGTTTGGTTTCTCGCTGACACTACCACAAGAAATTGTTGATGACACTGCGATGGATATCGAATCGATGGACATCAGTGAGGAGCCTCACCCTATGCAGTTCAACCAAACATGAAAACGCAAAAACCGTTCAAACAGCCAAGAACAAGTTCTACAACGGACACTTCCTGAGCGTCGTGGAACCGGGTTAGAAGAAGCAAGTGCCTCGGATGACTTTGAATTGCACCAAGCGAAGCGACGATCAAGCGCTCGAGCCAATCTGGACGAAGAGAGAAAGGGCAGTGACGAAGATAACGAAGATGCTACACCTCAAGTCTTTTGGAGAGCGAGTGCCAATGCAGTCGAAGGTACTGGATTGTCTGAGCCGACAACGTTTGAAGATGCGTTGGTGGACCAGATCAAGTGCATTGGTGTAAAGCAATCTGTGCCGAGTTGGACGGGATGAAACTTCTTGGCGTGTTTTGAGCGACCAAACTGCCAGATGGACAGCATACCATTGACACCAAGTGGGTATTCAAGATCAAACGGAAAGCTGATGGATCCATCGAGAAATACAAGGCGCGTCTCGTGGCAAAAGGGTGCAAGCAGAAATATGGCATCGACTACACGGAGACGTTTTTGCCGGTAGTCAACTACGTGAAGCTGCGCATGGTAGTTGCAATCACGAAGTACTTTGACTGGACACTGGACCAACTGGACGTGGTGACAGCTTTCCTATACGGAGAAATGAAGGAACAGATTTTCTGCGCGATCCCAGAAGGAGTCGAAATTGATGAAGACTTTGACTGCTTTGAACTGGTCAAGACATCTACGGACTAAAACAAGCATCGCGCGTATGGAACGAGACTTTCCATGTGTTCGTCTGCTCCATTGGATTTCCAGTATCCGATTTTGACCCGTGTCTTTATCTCAAGATTACAAGTGGTGAGTGCGTGCTTTTGCTGGTATACGTCGATGATGTGTTGGTGACTGGCAGCTCGACTGAACTGATCATGCGCACCAAGAGTGACTTAAAGGCGCGTTTCGAAATGACTGACAGCGGCAAGTGCATTCGTGTTGGGCATCGAGCTGGTGGACAACGACAACGGTAGCGTGACGATGTGCCAGCGACGATACATGGACGATGCTCTCAAGCGTTTTGGCATGAGCGACTGCAAAGCCGTCACCAGCCCAACAGACATCAGTTCTCGACTCATACCAAGCACCACAGCAATGAAGTTCTCCACATCAGCGCCAAGCTCAGCAGTATCGGTGCCAAGAAGGAGGATGAGGACGTGGCGATCTGCTTGTTGTGCAGCCTCCCCAAGAGCGACGATAATGTCGTGCTGAACTTGGAGATGATCAGCGTGGAACTGCGGACGCAAGACGCCGTGAGAGTGCTCACGGATGAGCACATCAAGAGGCAAGGTGACAAGACGACATCGGTGAAGACTGAAGACGCGGCGAAGGCGTTCAGTGCCGAGCGTGAACCTTGACAGTGTACATACTGCGGGAAATTGGGGCACACGGCGGAGCGGTGCTGGACCAAGCAGAAGGACGAAAATCAAGGTGGAGCTCGACGCGGCGGCAACAATGCTCGTGGACGCGGAGCCAACAACGTTCAGTGGCGAATCAACAGCACCTACGACGACAACTACGATCGAGTTGCGTTCGCGGTTTCGCTACAGGCTGGACTTTCGACGGGCAAGAATATGTCAGGGATGTGGGCAGTGGACAGCGGTGCGACGCATCACATCTGCAACGACAAGGCCAAGTTTGCAAGCCTGAATGAGCGAGAGGAAGGCGAACTATCAGTGGCTGATGGCAGCAAGGCTGCGATCAAGGGTGTGGGAACCATCATGGAACGGGTGGTTCTGCCCAATGGTGACGAACGCGACATCGAGATCAAGGACGCACTGTTTGTACCAAGTATGAGCAAGAATCTGCTTTCGGTGCCACAGATCAACAAGGGTGGCAGGTTCCAAGTCGTGTTCGATGGGTCCAAGATGCAAGTGAAGCGCAAGAATTCCACACAAGTCGTGGCAACAGCGTATCTCGTCGATGGACTTTACTGGCTGCGGACTCCTCAACGATCGGCAAATGCAGCAACACGCAATGGGACTATCGACTTGCATGCGCGCATGGGTCATGCACCCCTCGAAGTTCTGCGCAAGATGGTGGCCACCGGCATGATCAAGGACGCCAAGGCACCTCTCAACTCGACTGGTCCAAGTGTGTGTCGCGGTTGCCAGCAAGAAAAGATGGTCCAAAAACCATTCCAAACCAACCGTGACAAACGCCAATATGGTGTGTTTGAGTTGCTGCACTTCGACATCTGCGGGCCAATGGAACAATTCTCGATCGGCGGCAGCAGATACTTACTGCTTGTGGTTGACGAAGCCAGCGGTTGCATGAAGGGCTTCTGTCTGCGGTCCAAGTCTGAGAGTGGAGACTGTATCAAGAACCACATTATCAAGATTCAGACTCAGTTCGGCACGAAGATCAAGTTTGTTCGGCACGATGGAGCGTATGAGTTTGCGACCAACTCGATCAAGACCTGCTACAAAAATCATGGTATCGAACAACAGATCACGGTACCGTATGCACACCAGACCAACGGCACCGCAGAACGCGCGATAAGGACCATCGTCACGATCGGACGCAGCTTGTTGCATCATGCAAAGCTGGAGAAGTGTTTCTGGGCTGAAGCGGCAATAACGGCGATCTACATCAAGAACCGCCTGCCTTCACCCAAGATCGACCACAAGACTCCGTTCGAGATCGTGTACAAGTCGAAACCAAGTGTCAAGCACATGCGTGTGTTTGGATGTCGGGAGTTTATCCTGACACCAAGGGAGAAGCGATTGAAGTGGGACTCGACGGCTCGTGAAGGGATGTTCATGGGCTACGAAGAAGCGTCAAAAAGCTTATCGAGTGTACGACATTGAGGCGGGCCAAGTGGTGATCAGTCGTGACATCACCTTCGACGAATCGACTTTTGACTTTTCGATGGACCGACCAAGTGACGATGATGAAGATGCGGAGTTGGACCTCGACCTCCTGGCGATCAACGAGGACGACGTGCGTCAAACCGTCTACAAGCAGACTGGCAAGCGCAAGAGTGAAGCAAGACCCGGCATGTCACGTTCAGCTCACCCTCGAACTGGATTGGAACAAGCAAGTGCGCCGGAACACGTCTCCAACCGTCACCAGAAACGACGATCAAGTGCTCCAGAAACGATGTCTGTTGACGAAGAAGATGCGAGCGTCCACGATCAAGATGACGACTCGACGCCTTCATCATTTTGGCGTGCAAGTGCAAACGCAGTGGAAGCAACGGACCTAGCAGAACCTGTGACTTTTCAAGACACGATCAATTGTCCTGATCAAGCTCACTGGAGAAATGCTGTGAAGGCGGAACTCAAGTCGATGCATCTTCGTGGAGGTTTCCATGCGGCAAAACTGCCAAGAGGCCAAGGCGCGATCGGCACCAAGTGGGTGTTCAAGATCAAGCGCAAAGCGGATGGATCGGTCGAGAAATACAAGGCGCGTCTCGTTGCCAAGGGCTTCAAGCAGAAGTACGGCATCGACTACACAGAGACGTTCTCGCCCGTGGTCAAGTACGTGACACTGCGTATGGTGATCGCGATCACCAAGTATTTCGACTGGCCACTGGACCAACTCGATGTGGTGACAGCCTTTCTCTACGGAGTGATGAAGTAGAAGGTGTACTGCGTGATACCAGAAGGCGTCGAGATGGATGGCGACTTCGACTGTCTCGAGTTGGTGAAGGCGATCTACGGTCTCAAGCAAGCTTCACGTGTGTGAAACGAGACTTTCGACGAGTTCGTATGCTTTATCGGTTTCAAAGTGTCAGCGTTCGACCCATGTCTCTACATCAAGGTTGTCGACGGTCACTGTGTGCTCGTGCTGGTCTACGTGGATGACGTGTTGGTCACCGGCAGCTCGCTCGAGTTGATTGCGCAGACGAAGGCCGACCTCAAGACGCGTTTCGAGATGACCGACAGTGGCAAGTGTACTTTTGTACTGGCCATCGAACTGGTGGACGAATCGGATGGCAGCGTGACGATGTGCCAGCGACGGTATGTCAACGACATCCTCAAGCGCTTCGGCATGGATGAGTGCAAGGCCACAGCAAGTCCGGTCGACTTGAGCACTCGGCTTGTCGCAAGCAGCGAAGCGGCCAAGATCGACGTTCCGTTTCGTGAAGCTGTGGGAGCTTTGATGCACTTGACGACTGCGACGCGCCCGGACATTGCGTATGCTGTGGGGTACGTCTCGCGCTTCATGGAGAATCCGCAGCAAGAACATTGGACGGCGGTGAAGCGCATCTTTCGTTACTTGCAAGGGACCAAGTCGCACGGACTCCGCTTCCAGCCAAGCGACAAGATCGACTTTCGTGGCTACTCGGACGCGGACTGGGCCGGCGACCACGCTGATCGCAAGTCGACTTCGGGTTACACTTTCATGCTGATTGGTGCTTCTGTGAGTTGGGGAAGCAAGAAGCAGTCAAGTGTGTCGCTGTCGACGAGTGAAGCGGAATACATCGCACTGAGTCTGGCCATCCAGGAAGTCAAGTGGGTGCATCGCCTGCTATGCGAGATTTTGGCGGCCGCAAACGAACCAGGACCGGACCTCGTCATCCGTGAAGACAACCAGTCGTGCATCAAGATGACGAAGAGTCCGGTGAATCATGGCCGCGCCAAGCACATCGACATCAAGTACCATCACATCCGTGATGAGGTCAAGCGCGGTGAAGTGCAGCTCGAGTATTGCGAGACTTCCGTGATGATGGCGGACATCATGACCAAGGGACTTTCGGGACCTCGCCACAAGGACTTGACGACGGCTCTCGGCATTCGTGCGAGTTCGGATTGAGGGGGCGTGTTGACGGTCATCGGTTTCTACCAGTATTGGTAACCGTGACCGGTCCAATCCGAACCGCCTGTTCAGCTTAGTATTTACGACGTAGTTCTTACGGTAATTACCATAGTTGATTAGACGCGTAGGATGATGAGACGCTTCACATGATTTATATGTACACCACATATAAATCATGTAGTAAGTAGTAAGCCCCGATAATTAATCACTTTCGAATCTTCCATCTACCCCCAAGTGTCTTCTCCGGTCTTCCGAGTGGACTCCCAGCATCACTACCAGTTTTGGTCATCAAGCTTTACACCTATCAACAAAAGTCTTCATCAACTTCGACCCCTTCTGGGATCGTGCAGAATACCTGCTCTTCATTTCTCCGTATAGGAAAGCTGTCACCACGTCCAGTTGGTCCAGTGTCCAGTCAAAGTACTTCGTGATTGCAACTTCCATGCGCAGCGTCACGTACTTGACTACCGGCAAAAACGTCTCCGTGTAGTCGATGCCATATTTCTGCTTGAACCGTTTTTGCCTCGAGACGCGCCTTGTATTTCTCGATGGATCCATCAGCTTTCCGTTTGATCTTGAATACCCACTTGGTGTCAATGGTATGCTGTCCATCTGGCAGTTTGGTCGCTCAAAACACGCCACGAAGTTTCATCGAGTCCAACTCGGCACAGATTGCTTTACGCCAATGCACTTGATCTGGTCCACCAACGCATCTTCAAACGTTGTCGGCTCAGACAATCCAGTACCTTCGACTGCATTGGCACTCGCTCTCCAAAAGACTTGAGGTGTAGCATCTTCGTTATCTTCGTCACTGCCCTTTCTCTCTTCGTCCAGATTGGCTCGAGCGCTTGATCGTCGCTTCGCTTGGTGCAATTCAAAGTCATCCGAGGCACTTTCTTCTTCTAACCCGGTTCCACGACGCTCAGGAAGTGTCCGTTGTAGAACTTGTTCTTGGCTGTTTGAACGGTTTTTTCGTTTTCATGTTTGGTTGAACTGCATAGGGTGAGGATCCTCGCTGATATTCATCGATTCGATATCCATCGCAGTGTCATCAACAATTTCTTGTGGTAGTGTCAGCGAGAAACCAAACGTTGATTCGTCGAATGTGAATGTGACATTGCGAGATATCACCACTTGATCCGCAATATACCTTTGACACTTCTTCGTACCCCATGAATAGTACTTCACTCGCCTTCGGATCCCATTTCGATATCTTTTCCTTAGGGGTCAGCACAAACGTTCGGCAGCCGAAAACCCGCATGCGCTTCTTTCTCACTTGGTCGAAATCCGTTGACGATCTCGAACGGGGTTTGATCTTGGCACTTGGGCGATGGTAAGCGATTCTTGATGTAGATCGCCGTCATTGCTGCTTCAGCCCAAAAACACTTGTCCAGCTTGGCGTAGTGAAGCATGCTGCGCCCGATCGTCACAATGGTCCGTATTGCCCGTTCCGCCGCGCCGTTGGTCTGATGCGCATGTGGAACGGCAACTTGCTGCTCGATTCCTTGATCGTCGTAGAATGCCTTGAGCAATGCTGTCGAAAATTTCCGTGCACCATCGTGTCGAATGAACTTGACCTTGTAGTTAAACTGCGTCTGTACTGCCATGATGTACTTTTTGATGCACTCTTCGCTGTCGTACTTGGCGCGAAGACTGAAACCCTTCATACATCCGCTGCCTTCATCGACGATCAGTAGCAAGTACTTGCTTCCACCTAGCGAGTCGACTTCCATTGGACCAAAAGTGTCGATGTGTAGAAGCTCAAACGGATCGTAGTGGCACTTGTTTGGATTGCTTGGGAACGGTCGTTGAACCATTTTTCCTTCTAGACAACCTTGACACTTCCGCTCAATTTTGTTGGCATCTTGGCATCCTGATCATGCCCTTGGAGACCATCCTGCACAAGACATCGACTGGTGCGTGGCCCATACGCGCATGAAGGTTTTCGACTCTTGGTCCTGAAGCCGCATTCACGGATCGTTGGGATGTACGAAGCCAGTAGAGGCCATCCACAAGATCGGCTATCGCCATTACTTGCTTGGAGCCTTTGTGCGAAATCTTCATTTCTTCAACATCAAACACCACTTGAAACTTGCCGCTTTTGTTAATTTGTGGTATCGACAGCAAGTTCTTGTTCATGCTTGGAACGTAAAGCGCGTTCTTGATCTAGACTTCGCGCTCTTCACCATTGGACAGGACCACCTTTTCGACGATTTTCCCGACACCGTTGATCGCAGCCTTGCTCCCCTCTGCAACCAACACTTCACCTTCATCGCGCTCGTCCATAACTTCAGACTTGGACTTGTCATAGCAGATGTGATGTGTTGTACCGCTGTCAATCGCCCACATTCCAGACATGCTCCTGGTCGTTGAAAGTCCGCATTCCATCAAAACAGAAAACGCCACTCAATCATGGTCATAGTTGTTGTTGCCGTTGTAGCCTTGCCACTGAACTTGATTCGCTCCGCGTCCACCAGCATTGCCGCCGCGTCAAGCTCTCCGATTGTCTTCCTTCTGCTTGGTCCAGCACTTTTCCACCGTGTGCCCCAATTTTCCGCAGAACGTACACTGACAGACCTCACGCTCGGTACTATAGGCCTTGGTCGCTTCTTCAGTTTTCACCGACGTCGTCTTGTTTCCTTGTTTTCTTGTCTCTTTACGTGCTCACTGTTGATGGTATGGCACGGGAGTGACGAGAAGACCGGAAGAGACCGGAGATAGCGAAGAGGCTTGAGGAGCGGAGCAGAGAAGACTTGCTCGGCAGAAGGAGAATTCGAAAGTGATTATTTATCGGGGCTTACTACTTACTACATGATTTATATGTGGTGCACACATAAATCATGTGAAGCGTCTCATCATCCTATGCGTCTAATCAACTATGGATAATTACCGTAAGAACTACGTCATAAATACTAAGCTGAACAGGCGGTTCGGATTGGACCGGTCACGGTTACCAATACTGGTAGGAAACCGATGACCGTCAACACGCCCCCTCAATGCGAACACGCACAAATCCCGAGAGTCGCTGTCATCTCCTTGTGGCGTGGCCCGTGAAGTCCCTTCGTCACGATGTCCGCAAACATCACCGCTGTTTCACAGTACTTGAGCTTCACTTCACCGCGCTTGACCTCATCACGGATGTGATGGTACTTGATATCAATGTGCTTGGCACGTCCATGGTTGACTGGGTTCTTCGTCATCTTGATACACGACTGATTGTCTTCATGGATCAAGAGTTCCGGTCCTTCTTCAGTGGCAGCCATCACGATCTCACAAAGCAGACGATGAATCCACTTGCCCTCTTTAATCGCCAAGCTGAGTGCGATGTATTCGGCTTCACTCGTGGACAATGAAACACTTGGCTGTTTCTTGCTGCCCCAAGTCACTGGCGCACCCAACATCATGAATACGTAACCAGACGTCGACTTGCGATCAGCGAGGTCGCCGGCCCAGTCTGCATTCGAGTAGCCACGAAAGTCGATCTTCGCATTTGGCTTGTAGCAGATTCCGTGCATCTTGGTGCCTTGTAGGTAGCGGAAGATGCGCTTGACCGCAACCCAGTGTTCTTCTTGGGGGTTCTCCATGAATCGCGACACATAGCCCACGGCGAACGCAATATCCGGGCGCGTTGCAGTGGTCAGGTGCATCAACGCACCAACAGCTTCGTGAAAAGGAGCATCGACCTTGGTGGCTGCATCACTTGAAACAAGTCGAGAGCTCATGTTGACTGGACTTGCGACGGCCTTGCAATCATCCATGCCTAAGCGCTTGAGTATGTCATCTACATACCGACGATGGCATAGTGTCACGCTTCCATCTGAGCCGTCCAAAAGCTCGATTCCAAGCACAAATGCACACTTGCCGCTGTCAGTCATCTCGAATCGTGTCTTTAGGTCGGTCTTGGTGCGTGCAATTAGCTCGCATGAGCTACCGGTGATCAACACGTCATCCACATACACCAGCAGCAGCACGCATTGCCCTTCCACAATCCTTATGTAGAGACACGGATCGAGGCTTGACGCTTGAAATCCAATAGCACACACGAACTCGTCAAACGTTTCGTTCCATACGCGCGACGCTTGCTTTAGTCCGTAGATTGCCTTCACCAACTCCAGACAATCGAAGGAGCCCTCCAATTCCACGCCTTCAGGGATGACGCAGAACACTTTTTCCATCATGACACTATACAGGAATGCCGTCACCCCGTCGAGTTGGTCGATGGTCCATCCGAAATACTTGGCGACTGCGATCACCATGCGCAGCGTCACGTACTTGACGACGGGCGAGAATGTTTCCGTGTATTCCATCCCATATTGTTGCTTGAAACCCTTTGCCACAAGACGCGCCTTGTACTTGTCAATCAATCCGTCCGCTTTGCGCTTGATCTTGAAGACCCACTTTGTGCCAATGGCGCAATATCCTTTAGGTAGCTTGGCTGCGCGGAACACTTCACGAAGTCGCATCGACTCAAGTTCCGCACGGATAGCTTCGCGCCAATGCACTTGATCAGGACCGCTTACCGCAGCTTTTAAAGTCGATGGCTCGGATAAGTCCACTGCTGTTTCGATGACGTTCGCACTCGCACGCCAAAACACAGGCGGAGTTGATGCATCAGCATTCTTTGTTTCTTCATCTTCTTCTTGGTGGGTCGTGTGATTGTCTGGCGCACTTGATTCTTCTAGCCCAGGCCGTTGACGCACTGTGCGCGTGGGTGGAGTTGGTACTCCTTCATCATGGGGACGACTCTTGCGCTTGCCTGTTTGCTTGTACTGCGCTTGACCTGGTGCTTCATCATCCAGATCGAGGGAGTCGAAGTCAACGTCATCGGCGTCTTCAGCGGTGGTTGGCGGCGAAAGTCCAAAGACGGACTCGTCAAAGTTGACATCGCGACTGATGACCACTTGCCCCGCCTCGATGTCATAAACGCGATACTCTTTGGATGCTTCTTCGTAGCCCAAGAATATCCCAGTGCGAGCCTTGGGGTCCCACTTGAGCCGCTTCTCCTTCGGTGTCAGTATGTAAACCTGACAACCGAACACCCGCATGTGCTTGACACTTAGCTTGTAGTTGTGGAAGATCTCGAATGGAGTCTTGTGCATAACTTTAGGCTACGGCAGACGGTTCTTGACGTAGATTGCCGTCATTGCTGCTTCGGCCCAGAAGCACTTTTCCATCTTAGCATGTTGGAGCATGCTGCGACCAATTGTGACGATAGTCCGAATGGCGCGCTCTGCCGTGCCGTTGGTCTGGTGTGTATATGGCACCGTCGTCTGCTGCTCAATGCCTTCATCTTCGTAGAATTTTTGAAGCGAGTTGGTTGCGAACTCGCGGGCTCCGTCGTGTCGGACGAGCTTGACCTTCTAGCCATACTGCGCTTGCACCATCTTGATGTATCGTGTGATGTAGTTTTCACTCTCCGACTTCACGCGTAGACAGAAGCCCTTCATGCATTCACTGGCTTCGTCAACGATCAGCCGTAGATACTTGCTGCCACCCAGAGAATTCATCTCCATGGGTCCGCAAATGTCGACGTGAAGTAGCTCGAAGGTGTCGTATCTTCGCTTGTCCTTGTTGCATGGGAATGATTTTTGGACCATTTTCCCTTGTTGACATCCTCGGCATGCGCTTGATCCATTTGACATGAGAGGTACCTTCACATCCTTGATCATGTTCGTGGCCACCATTTTGCGAAGCACATCAGCTGGAGCGTGTCCCATCCGCGCATGTAAGTCGACACCGTTGCATCCGTTTGTTGTCGCATTGGCCGATCGATGAGCTGTGTGAAGCCAGTAAAGACCATCCACAAGATCTTCTGTTTCCACCACTTGTTGCGATCCTTTGCGAGCGACAAACATCTTGGTCCCGTCGAACACGACTTGAAACTTGCCGTGCTTGTTGATCTGCGGTACCGAAAGTAGATTCTTGCTCATGCTTGGTATGTAAAGCACGTTCTTGATCTCGATCTCGCGCTCTTCACCGTTGGGCAGAACCACCTTTTCAAAGATGGTTCCAACACCCTTGATGGCCACTGTGTTTCCATCCGCCACCAAGATTTCACCGTCGTTGCGCTTGTTCAGTCTTGCAAACTTGGTCTTGTCGTGGCATATGTGGTGTGTTGCACCACTGTCGACGGCCCACATTCCGGACACGTCCTTCTTCACTGAGAATCCACACTCTAGCGAAACTGCAAACGCTACTTGATCGTAGTCGCTGCCTTCATCACGATATTGTCCCCACTGGACATTGTGTGCCCCGCGTCCACGACCATTGCCGCCGCGTCGGGCTCCTCGACTTTCATTCTTCTGCTTGGACCAACAGCGATCGACGGTGTGTCCCACCTTCCCACAGTAGGTGCACTTGCATGGCTCGCGCTCAGTGTTGAAGGCCTTGGCTGCATCTTCAGTCTTGACCATCGTCGCTGTTGCTGTCAACTTATCCCCTTTGCGCTTTTATGCTCATTCGTGAGCACCTTCACCACATCTCGGGTACAAAGCTCTGCGCTTCTCATCTCCAAGTTTAGAACAACGTTCTCAAAACTCTTAGGGAGACTGAGCAGCAGGCAAATTGCGACGTCCTCGTCCTCCATCTTCGCACCTATGCTACTAAGCTTGGCGGCGATGTTCAGGACCTCGTTTCAGTGATGCATGACGTTGGCGGCTTCGTCCATCTTCATGCTGAAGAGTTGACGCTTGAGGTAGATCCTTCCCGCTTTCTGGGATCCACCGTACAGCACCTTCAGGCTCTGCCACGCAACCCACGCTTCCACGCAGTTGTCGAACACATGGTGGTAGTCCGCTCCCATGTGCAGCAACATCGTTCCAAACGCGATGTTGTTGGCCTTGACGTAGTCGTCCTGCGCTCGAGGGTCCACGAACGTCGGGGAGCTCTCCCGGTTGACAGCATGCCACACTGACTTTGTCAGGAACACGCCACGCATGTATCGACTCCAGGTCGAATAGTTATCCCCATCGAACTTATCGATGAGGACGTTGAAGGATGCGTGGCCGGCAGCATACATTGTGCTTGGGCTCACAACCTGCTGAAGGTATGGCACGGGAATGACGTGAAGACCGGAAGTGACCGGAGGGAGCGAAGAGGCTTACGGAGCGGAGCAGAGAAGACTTGATCGGCATAAGGAGAATTCGGAAGTGATTAATTATCGGGGCTTACTAATTACTACATGATTTATATGTGGTGCGCATATAAATCATGTGAAGCGTCTCATCATCCTACGCGTCCAATCAACTATGGTAATTACCGTAAGAACTACGTCATAAATACTAAGCTGAACAGGCGGTTCGGATTGGACCGGTCACGGTTACCAATACTGGTAGGAAACCGATGACCGTCAACAGGCTGTTTGAGCGGCTTTTGCATTTTCATGTTTGCTTGAACTGCATAGGGTGAGGATCCTCGCTGATATTCATCGATTCGATATCCATCGCAGTGTCATCAACAATTTCTTGTGGTAGTGTCAGCGAGAAACCAAACGTTGGTTCGTCGAATGTGACATCGCGAGATATTACCACTTGGTCCGCTTCAATGTCGTAAACGCGATATACCTTTGACACTTCTTCGTACCCCATGAATATTCCTTCACTCGCCTTCAGATCCCATTTCGATCTCTTATCCTTAGGTGTCAGCACAAACGTTCTGCAGTCGAAAACCCGCATGCGCTTCTTTCACACTTGGTAGAAATCCGTTGACGATCTCGAACGGGGTTTGATCTTGGCACTTGGGCGCTGGTAAGCGATTCTTGATGTAGATCGCCGTCATTGCTGCTTCAGCCCAAAAACACTTGTCCAGCTTGGCGTAGTTAAGCATCCTGCGCCCGATCGTCACAATGGTCCGTATTGCCCGTTCCGCCGCGCCGTTGGTCTGATGTGCATATGGAACGGTTAAGTGCTGCTCGATTCCTTGATCGTCGTAGAATGCCTTGAGCGATGCTGTCGAAAATTTCCGCGCACCATCGTGTCGAATGAACTTGACCTTGTAGTTAAACTGAGTCTGTACTGCCATGATGTACTTTTTGATGCACTCTTCGCTGTCGGACTTGGCGCGAAGACTGAAACCCTTCATACATCCGCTGCCTTCATCGACGATCAGTAGCAAGCACTTGCCTCCACCTAGCGAGTCGACTTCCATTGGACCAAAAGTGTCGATGTGTAGAAGCTCAAACGGATCGTAGTGGCACTTGTTTGGATTGCTTGGGAACGGTCGTTGAACCATTTTTCCTTCTAGACAACCTTGACACTTCCACTCAATTTTGTTGGCATCTTGGCATCCTGATCATGCCCTTGGAGACCATTCCGCACAAGACATCGACTGGTGCGTGGCCCGTACGCGCATGAAGGTTTTCGACTCTTGGTCCTGAAGCCGCATTCACGGATCGTTGGGATGTGCGAAGCCAGTAGAGGCCATCCACAAGATCGGCTATCGCCATTACTTGCTTGGAGCCTTTGTGCGAAATCTTCATCTCGTCAACATCAAACACCACTTGAAACTTGCCGCTTTTGTTGATTTGTGGTATCGACAGCAAGTTCTTGTTCATGCTTGGAACGTAAAGCGCGTTCTTGATCTAGACTTCGCGCTCTTCACCATTGGACAGGACCACCTTTTCGACGATTTTCCCGACACCGTTGATCGCAGCCTTGTTTCCCTCTGCAACCAACACTTCACCTTCATCGCGCTCGTCCATAACTTCACCGAACTTAAACTTGTTGATGTGCAGAATGTCATTGTTGTGCCGCTGTACGATCGCCCACATCAACAGACATGCTCCTGGTCTGTTGAAACTTTGCATTCCGCTCAACCCAAAACGCCCTCAGATCATCGTCCACTAGTATCTTTGCTGCCACATTGTCATGCTACCGTTGATTCGTTCCGGTCCACCAGCATTGCTGCCGCAAGCCCCGATTGCGCACTTGCCGCTGTGTCCAGTCATTTTCGAAACGCGCCAATTTCAAGTCACTCTTGGTCCCGCATGATCAGTTCCGTTGAGCTGCCAGTCACCAACACTTCATCGACGTATACCAGAGCTCGACTCTACCTTGTTTTCTTGTCTCTTGATGTGCTCACTCGTCAGATATTTCTCGGCATCTTACGTCCGCAGTTCCGCGCTGCTCATCTCCAAGTTGAGAACGACGTTCTCGTAGCTCTTGGGGAGGCTGCACAACAAGCAGATCGCCACGTCCTCATCCTCCATCTTTGCACCGATAATGCTGAGCTTCGCGCTGATGTGGAGAACTTCATTGCTGCGGTGCTTGGTATGAGTCGAGAACTGGTGTCGGTTGGGCTGGTGACGGCTTTGCAGTCGCACATGCCAAAACGTTTGAGGACATCTTCCACGTAGCGTCGCCGGCACATCGTCACGCTACCGTTGTCGTTGTCCACCAGCTCGATGCCCAACACGAATGCGCACTTGCCGCTGTCAGTCATTTCGAAACGCGCCTTTAAGTCACTCTTGGTGCGCATAATCAGTTCGGTTGAGCTGCCAGTCACCAACACATCATCGACGTATACCAGCAAAAGCACGCACTCGCTGTTGATTGGGTGAAAAGCTTGACGACCGAAACTGGGAGTGATGCTGGGAGTCCACTCGGAAGACCGGAGAAGACACTTGGGGGTAGATGGAATATTCGAAAGTGATTGATTATCGAGGCTTACTACTTACTACATGATTTATATGTGGTGCACATATAAATCATGTGAAGCGTCTCATCATCCTATGCGTCTAATCAACTATGGTAATTACCGTAAGAACTACGTCGTAAATACTAAGCTGAACAGGCGGTTCGGATTGGACCGGTCACGGTTACCAATACTGGTAGAAACCGATGACCGTCAACACGCCCCCTCAATCCGAACTCGCACGAATGCCGAGAGCCGTCGTCAAGTCCTTGTGGCGAGGTCCCGAAAGTCCCTTGGTCATGATGTCCGCCATCATCACGGAAGTCTCGCAATACTCGAGCTGCACTTCACCGCGCTTGACCTCATCACGGATGTGATGGTACTTGATGTCGATGTGCTTGGCGCGGCCATGATTCACCGGATTCTTCGTCATCTTGATGCACGACTGGTTGTCTTCACGGATGACGAGGTCCGGTCCTGGTTCGTTTGCGGCCGCCAAAATCTCGCATAGCAGGCGATGCACCCACTTGCCTTCCTGGATGGCCAGACTCAGTGCGATGTATTCCGCTTCACTCGTCGACAGCGACACACTTGACTGCTTCTTGCTTCCCCAACTCACAGGAGCACCCATCAGCATGAAAGTGTAACCCCAAGTCGACTTGCGATCAGCGTGGTCGCCGGCCCAGTCCGCGTCCGAGTAGCCACGAAAGTCGATCTTGTCGCTTGGCTGGAAGCGGAGTCCGTGCGACTTGGTCCCTTGCAAGTAACGAAAGATGCGCTTCACCGCCGTCCAATGTTGTTGCTGCGGATTCTCCATGAAGCGCGAGACGTACCCCACAGCATACGCAATGTCCGGGCGCGTCGCAGTCGTCAAGTGCATCAAAGCTCCCACAGCTTCACGAAACGGAACGTCGATCTTGGCCGCTTCGCTGCTTGCGACAAGCCGAGTGCTCAAGTCGACCGGACTTGCTGTGGCCTTGCACTCATCCATGCCGAAGCGCTTGAGGATGTCGTTGACATACCGTCGCTGGCACATCTTCACGCTGCCATCCGATTCGTCCACCAGTTCGATGGCCAGTACAAAAGTACACTTGCCACTGTCGGTCATCTCGAAACGCGTCTTGAGTTCGGCCTTCGTCTGCGCAATCAACTCGAGCGAGCTGCCTGTGACTAACACGTCATCCACGTAGACCAGCACGAGCACACAGTGACCGTCAACAACCTTGATGTAGAGACATGGGTCAAACGCCGACACTTTGAAACCGATAAAGCATACGAACTCGTCGAAAGTCTCGTTCCACACACGTGAATCTTGCTTGAGACCTTAGATCGCCTTCACCAACTCGAGACAGTCGAAGTCGCCATCCATCTCGACGCCTTCTGGTATCACGCAGTACACCTTCTCCTTCATCACTCCGTAGAGAAAGGCTGTCACCACATCGAGTTGGTCCAGTGGCCAGTCGAAATACTTGGTGATCGCGATCACCATACGCAGTGTCACGTACTTGACCACGGGCGAGAACGTCTCTGTGTAGTCGATGCCGTACTTCTGCTTGAAGCCCTTGGCAACGAGACGCGCCTTGTATTTCTCGACCGATCCATCCGCTTTGCGCTTGATCTTGAACACCCACTTGGTGCCTATCGCGCCTTGGCCTCTTGGCAGTTTTGCCGCATGAAAAACTCCACGAAGATGCATCGACTTGAGTTCCGCCTTCACAGCATTTCTCCAGTGAGCTTGATCAGGACAATTGATCGTGTCTTGAAAAGTCACAGGTTCTGCTAGGTCCGTTGCTTCCACTACGTTTGCACTTGCACGCCAAAATGTTGGAGGCGTCGAGTCGTCATCTTGATCGTGGACGCTCGCATCTTCTTCGTCATCAGACATCGTTTCTGGAGCACTTGATCGTCGTTTCTGGTGACGGTTGGAGACGTGTTCCGGCGCACTTGCTTGTTCCAATCCAGTTCGAGGGCGAGCTGAACGTGACATGCCGGGTCTTGCTTCACTCTTGCGCTTGCCAGTCTGCTTGTAGACGGTTTGACGCACGTCGTCCTCGTTGATCGCCAGGAGGTCGAGGTCCAACTCCGCATCTTCATCATCGTCACTTGGTCGGTCCATCGAAAAGTCAAAAGTCGATTCGTCGAAGGTGATGTCACGACTGATCACCACTTGGCCCGCCTCAATGTCGTACACTCGATAAGCTTTTGACGCTTCTTCGTAGCCCATGAACATCCCTTCACGAGCCTTCGGGTCCCACTTCAATCGCTTCTCCCTTGGTGTCAGGATAAACGCCCGACATCCAAACACGCGCATGTGCTTGACACTTGGTTTCGACTTGTACACGATCTCGAACGGAGTCTTGTGGTCGATCTTGGGTGAAGGCAGGCGGTTCTTGATGTAGATCGCCGTTATTGCCGCTTCAGCCCAGAAACACTTCTCCAGCTTTGCATGATGCAACAAGCTGCGTCCGATCGTGACGATGGTCCTTATCGCGCGTTCTGCGGTGCCGTTGGTCTGGTGTGCATACGGTACCGTGATCTGTTGTTCGATACCATGATTTTTGTAGAAGGTCTTGATCGAGTTGGTCGCAAACTCATACGCTCCATCGTGCCGAACAAACTTGATCTTCGTGCCGAACTGAGTCTGAATCTTGATAATGTGGTTCTTGATACAGTCTTCACTCTCAGACTTGGACCGCAGACAGAAGCCTTTCATGCAACCGCTGGCTTTGTCAACCACAAGCAGTAAGTATCTGCTGCCGCCGATCGAGACTTGTTCCATTGGCCCGCAGATGTCGAAGTGCAGCAACTCGAACACACCATATTGGCGTTTGTCACGGTTGGTTGGGAATGGTTTTTAGACCATCTTTCCTTGCTGGCAACCGCGACACACACTTGGACCAGTCGAGTTGAGAGGTGCCTTGGCGTCCTTGATCATGCCGGTGGCCACCATCTTGCGCAGAACTTCGAGGGGTGCATGACCCATGCGCGCATGCAAGTCGATAGTCCCATTGCGTGTTGCTGCATTTGCCGATCGTTGAGGAGTCCGCAGCCAGTAAAGTCCATCGACGAGATACGCTGTTGCCACGACTTGTGTGGAATTCTTGCGCTTCACTTGCATCTTGGACCCATCGAACACGACTTGGAACCTGCCACCCTTGTTGATCTGTGGCACCGAAAGCAGATTCTTGCTCATACTTGGTACAAACAGTGCATCCTTGATCTCGATGTCGCGTTCGTCACCATTGGGCAGAACCACCCGTTCCATGATGGTTCCCACACCCTTGATCGCAGCCTTGCTGCCATCAGCCACTGATAGTTCGCCTTTCTCTCGCTCATTCAGGCTTGCAAACTTTGCCTTGTCGTTGCAGATGTGATGCGTCGCACCGCTGTCCACTGCCCACATCCCTGGCATATTCTTGCCCGTCGAAAGTCCAGCCTGCAGCGAAACCGCGAATGCAACTCGATCGTAGTTGTCGTCGTAGGTGCTGTTGATTCGCCACTGAACGTTGTTGGCTCCGCGTCCACGAGCATTGTTGCCGCCGCGTCGAGCTCCACCTTGATTTTCGTCCTTCTGCTTGGTCCAGCACCGCTCCGCCGTGTGCCCCAATTTTCCGCAGTATGTACACTGTCGAGGTTCACGCTCGGCACTGAACGCCTTCGCCGCGTCTTCAGTCTTCACCGATGTCGTCTTGTCACCTTGCCTCTTGATGTGCTCATTCGTGAGCACTCTCACGACGTCTCGCGATCGCAGTTCCGCGCTGCTCATCTCCAAGTTGAGAACGACGTTCTCGTAGCTCTTGGGGAGGCTGCACAACAAGCAGATCGCCACGTCCTCATCCTCCATCTTGGCACCGATAATGCTGAGCTTCGCGCTGATGTGGAGAACTTCATTGCTGCGGTGCTTGGTATGAGTCAAGAACTGGTGTCTGTTGGGATGGTGACGGCTTTGCAGTCGCTCATGCCAAAACGTTTGAGGACATCTTCCACGTAGCGTCGCCGGCACATCGTCACGCTACCGTTGTCGTTGTCCACCAGCTCGATGCCCAACACGAATGCGCACTTGCCGCTGTCAGTCATTTCGAAACGCGCCTTTAAGTCACTCTTGGTGCGCATAATCAGTTCGGTTGAGCTGCCAGTCACCAACACATCATCGACGTATACCAGCAAAAGCACGCACTCGCTGTTGATTGGGTGAAAAGCTTGACGACCGAAACTGGGAGTGATGCTGGGAGTCCACTCGGAAGACCGGAGAAGACACTTGGGGGTAGATGGAATATTCGAAAGTGATTGATTATCGAGGCTTACTACTTACTACATGATTTATATGTGGTGCACATATAAATCATGTGAAGCGTCTCATCATCCTATGCGTCTAATCAACTATGGATAATTATCGTAAGAACTACGTCGTAAATACTAAGCTGAACAGGCGGTTCGGATTGGACCGGTCACGGTTACCAATACTGGTAGAAACCGATGACCGTCAACACGCCCCCTCAATCCGAACTCGCACGAATGCCGAGAGCCGTCGTCAAGTCCTTGTGGCGAGGTCCCGAAAGTCCCTTGGTCATGATGTCCGCCATCATCACGGAAGTCTCGCAATACTCGAGCTGCACTTCACCGCGCTTGACCTCATCACGGATGTGATGGTACTTGATGTCGATGTGCTTGGCGCGGCCATGATTCACCGGATTCTTCGTCATCTTGATGCACGACTGGTTGTCTTCACGGATGACGAGGTCCGGTCCTGGTTCGTTTGCGGCCGCCAAAATCTCGCATAGCAGGCGATGCACCCACTTGCCTTCCTGGATGGCCAGACTCAGTGCGATGTATTCCGCTTCACTCGTCGACAGCGACACACTTGACTGCTTCTTGCTTCCCCAACTCACAGGAGCACCCATCAGCATGAAAGTGTAACCCGAAGTCGACTTGCGATCAGCGTGGTCGCCGGCCCAGTCCGCGTCCGAGTAGCCACGAAAGTCGATCTTGTCGCTTGGCTGGAAGCGGAGTCCGTGCGACTTGGTCCCTTGCAAGTAACGAAAGATGCGCTTCACCGCCGTCCAATGTTGTTGCTGCGGATTCTCCATGAAGCGCGAGACGTACCCCACAGCATACGCAATGTCCGGGCGCGTCGCAGTCGTCAAGTGCATCAAAGCTCCCACAGCTTCACGAAACGGAACGTCGATCTTGGCCGCTTCGCTGCTTGCGACAAGCCGAGTGCTCAAGTCGACCGGACTTGCTGTGGCCTTGCACTCATCCATGCCGAAGCGCTTGAGGATGTCGTTGACATACCGTCGCTGGCACATCGTCACGCTGCCATCCGATTCGTCCACCAGTTCGATGGCCAGTACAAAAGTACACTTGCCACTGTCGGTCATCTCGAAACGCGTCTTGAGGTCGGCCTTCGTCTGCGCAATCAACTCGAGCGAGCTGCCGGTGACCAACACGTCATCCACGTAGACCAGCACGAGCACACAGTGACCGTCGACAACCTTGATGTAGAGACATGGGTCAAACGCCGACACTTCGAAACCGATAAAGCATACGAACTCGTCGAAAGTCTCGTTCCACACACGTGAAGCTTGCTTGAGACCGTAGATCGCCTTCACCAACTCGAGACAGTCGAAGTCGCCATCCATCTCGACGCCTTCTGGTATCACGCAGTACACCTTCTACTTCATCACTCCGTAGAGAAAGGCTGTCACCACATCGAGTTGGTCCAGTGGCCAGTCGAAATACTTGGTGATCGCGATCACCATACGCAGTGTCACGTACTTGACCACGGGCGAGAACGTCTCTGTGTAGTCGATGCCGTACTTCTGCTTGAAGCCCTTGGCAACGAGACGCGCCTTGTATTTCTCGACCGATCCATCCGCTTTGCGCTTGATCTTGAACACCCACTTGGTGCCTATCGCGCCTTGGCCTCTTGGCAGTTTTGCCGCATGAAAAACTCCACGAAGATGCATCGACTTGAGTTCCGCCTTCACAGCATTTCTCCAGTGAACTTGATCAGGACCATTGATCGCGTCTTGAAAAGTCACAGGTTCTGCTAGGTCCGTTGCTTCCACTACGTTTGCACTTGCACGCCAAAATGTTGGAGGCGTCGAGTCGTCATCTTGATCGTGGACGCTCGCATCTTCTTCGTCATCAGACATCGTTTCTGGAGCACTTGATCGTCGTTTCTGGTGACGGTTGGAGACGTGTTCCGGCGCACTTGCTTGTTCCAATCCAGTTCGAGGGCGAGCTGAACGTGACATGCCGGGTCTTGCTTCACTCTTGCGCTTGCCAGTCTGCTTGTAGACGGTTTGACGCACGTCGTCCTCGTTGATCGCCAGGAGGTCGAGGTCCAACTCCGCATCTTCATCATCGTCACTTGGTCGGTCCATCGAAAAGTCAAAAGTCGATTCGTCGAAGGTGATGTCACGACTGATCACCACTTGGCCCGCCTCAATGTCGTACACTCGATAAGCTTTTGACGCTTCTTCGTAGCCCATGAACATCCCTTCACGAGCCTTCGGGTCCCACTTCAATCGCTTCTCCCTTGGTGTCAGGATAAACGCCCGACATCCAAACACGCGCATGTGCTTGACACTTGGTTTCGACTTGTACACGATCTCGAACGGAGTCTTGTGGTCGATCTTGGGTGAAGGCAGGCGGTTCTTGATGTAGATCGCCGTTATTGCCGCTTCAGCCCAGAAACACTTCTCCAGCTTTGCATGATGCAACAAGCTGCGTCCGATCGTGACGATGGTCCTTATCGCGCGTTCTGCGGTGCCGTTGGTCTGGTGTGCATACGGTACCGTGATCTGTTGTTCGATACCATGATTTTTGTAGAAGGTCTTGATCGAGTTGGTCGCAAACTCATACGCTCCATCGTGCCGAACAAACTTGATCTTCGTGCCGAACTGAGTCTGAATCTTGATAATGTGGTTCTTGATACAGTCTTCACTCTCAGACTTGGACCGCAGACAGAAGCCCTTCATGCAACCGCTGGCTTTGTCAACCACAAGCAGTAAGTATCTGCTGCCGCCGATCGAGACTTGTTCCATTGGCCCGCAGATGTCGAAGTGCAGCAACTCGAACACACCATATTGGCGTTTGTCACGGTTGGTTGGGAATGGTTTTTAGACCATCTTTCCTTGCTGGCAACCGCGACACACACTTGGACCAGTCGAGTTGAGAGGTGCCTTGGCGTCCTTGATCATGCCGGTGGCCACCATCTTGCGCAGAACTTCGAGGGGTGCATGACCCATGCGCGCATGCAAGTCGATAGTCCCATTGCGTGTTGCTGCATTTGCCGATCGTTGAGGAGTCCGCAGCCAGTAAAGTCCATCGACGAGATCCGCTGTTGCCACGACTTGTGTGGAATTCTTGCGTATCACTTGCATCTTGGACCCATCGAACACGACTTGGAACGTGCCACCCTTGTTGATCTGTGGCACCGAAAGCAGATTCTTGCTCATACTTGGTACAAACAGTGCATCCTTGATCTCGATGTCGCGTTCGTCACCATTGGGCAGAACCACCCGTTCCATGATGGTTCCCACACCCTTGATCGCAGCCTTGCTGCCATCAGCCACTGATAGTTCGCCTTCCTCTCGCTCATTCAGGCTTGCAAACTTTGCCTTGTCGTTGCAGATGTGATGCGTCGCACCGCTGTCCACTGCCCACATCCCTGGCATATTCTTGCCCGTCGAAAGTCCAGCCTGCAGCGAAACCGCGAATGCAACTCGATCGTAGTTGTCGTCGTAGGTGCTGTTGATTCGCCACTGAACGTTGTTGGCTCCGCGTCCACGAGCATTGTTGCCGCCGCGTCGAGCTCCACCTTGATTTTCGTCCTTCTGCTTGGTCCAGCACCGCTCCGCCGTGTGCCCCAATTTTCCGCAGTATGTACACTGTCGAGGTTCACGCTCGGCACTGAACGCCTTCGCCGCGTCTTCAGTCTTCACCGATGTCGTCTTGTCACCTTGCCTCTTGATGTGCTCATTCGTGAGCACTCTCACGACGTCTCGCGATCGCAGTTCCGCGCTGCTCATCTCCAAGTTGAGAACGACGTTCTCGTAGCTCTTGGGGAGGCTGCACAACAAGCAGATCGCCACGTCCTCATCCTCCATCTTGGCACCGATAATGCTGAGCTTCGCGCTGATGTGGAGAACTTCATTGCTGCGGTGCTTGGTATGAGTCGAGAACTGGTGTCTGTTGGGATGGTGACGGCTTTGCAGTCGCTCATGCCAAAACGTTTGAGGACATCTTCCACGTAGCGTCACCGGCACATTGTCACGCTACCGTTGTCGTTGTCCACCAGCTCGATGCCCAACACGAATGCGCACTTGCCGCTGTCAGTCATTTCGAAACGCGCCTTTAAGTCACTCTTGGTGCGCATAATCAGTTCGGTTGAGCTGCCAGTCACCAACACATCATCGACGTATACCAGCAAAAGCACGCACTCGCTGTTGATTGGGTGAAAAGCTTGACGACCGAAACTGGGAGTGATGCTGGGAGTCCACTCGGAAGACCGGAGAAGACACTTGGGGGTAGATGGAAGATTCGAAAGTGATTGATTTAGTCGGAGGTTATTCTGACTACATGATTTATATGTGGTCCACATATAAATCATGTGAAGCGTCTCATCATCCTATGCGTCTAATCAACTATGGATAATTACCGTAAGAACTACGTCGTAAATACTAAGCTGAACAGGCGGTTCGGATTGGACCGGTCACGGTTACCAATACTGGTAGAAACCGATGACCGTCAACACGCCCCCTCAATCCGAACTCGCACGAATGCCGAGAGCCGTCGTCAAGTCCTTGTGGCGAGGTCCCGAAAGTCCCTTGGTCATGATGTCCGCCATCATCACGGAAGTCTCGCAATACTCGAGCTGCACTTCACCGCGCTTGACCTCATCACGGATGTGATGGTACTTGATGTCGATGTGCTTGGCGCGGCCATGATTCACCGGATTCTTCGTCATCTTGATGCACGACTGGTTGTCTTCACGGATGACGAGGTCCGGTCCTGGTTCGTTTGCGGCCGCCAAAATCTCGCATAGCAGGCGATGCACCCACTTGCCTTCCTGGATGGCCAGACTCAGTGCGATGTATTCCGCTTCACTCGTCGACAGCGACACACTTGACTGCTTCTTGCTTCCCCAACTCACAGGAGCACCCATCAGCATGAAAGTGTAACCCGAAGTCGACTTGCGATCAGCGTGGTCGCCGGCCCAGTCCGCGTCCGAGTAGCCACGAAAGTCGATCTTGTCGCTTGGCTGGAAGCGGAGTCCGTGCGACTTGGTCCCTTGCAAGTAACGAAAGATGCGCTTCACCGCCGTCCAATGTTGTTGCTGCGGATTCTCCATGAAGCGCGAGACGTACCCCACAGCATACGCAATGTCCGGGCGCGTCGCAGTCGTCAAGTGCATCAAAGCTCCCACAGCTTCACGAAACGGAACGTCGATCTTGGCCGCTTCGCTGCTTGCGACAAGCCGAGTGCTCAAGTCGACCGGACTTGCTGTGGCCTTGCACTCATCCATGCCGAAGCGCTTGAGGATGTCGTTGACATACCGTCGCTGGCACATCGTCACGCTGCCATCCGATTCGTCCACCAGTTCGATGGCCAGTACAAAAGTACACTTGCCACTGTCGGTCATCTCGAAACGCGTCTTGAGGTCGGCCTTCGTCTGCGCAATCAACTCGAGCGAGCTGCCGGTGACCAACACGTCATCCACGTAGACCAGCACGAGCACACAGTGACCGTCGACAACCTTGATGTAGAGACATGGGTCGAACGCCGACACTTTGAAACCGATAAAGCATACGAACTCGTCGAAAGTCTCGTTTCACACACGTGAAGCTTGCTTGAGACCGTAGATCGCCTTCACCAACTCGAGACAGTCGAAGTCGCCATCCATCTCGACGCCTTCTGGTATCACGCAGTACACCTTCTACTTCATCACTCCGTAGAGAAAGGCTGTCACCACATCGAGTTGGTCCAGTGGCCAGTCGAAATACTTGGTGATCGCGATCACCATACGCAGTGTCACGTACTTGACCACGGGCGAGAACGTCTCTGTGTAGTCGATGCCGTACTTCTGCTTGAAGCCCTTGGCAACGAGACGCGCCTTGTATTTCTCGACCGATCCATCCGCTTTGCGCTTGATCTTGAACACCCACTTGGTGCCTATCGCGCCTTGGCCTCTTGGCAGTTTTGCCGCATGGAAAACTCCACGAAGATGCATCGACTTGAGTTCCGCCTTCACAGCATTTCTCCAGTGAGCTTGATCAGGACCATTGATCGCGTCTTGAAAAGTCACAGGTTCTGCTAGGTCCGTTGCTTCCACTACGTTTGCACTTGCACGCCAAAATGTTGGAGGCGTCGAGTCGTCATCTTGATCGTGGACGCTCGCATCTTCTTCGTCATCAGACATCGTTTCTGGAGCACTTGATCGTCGTTTCTGGTGACGGTTGGAGACGTGTTCCGGCGCACTTGCTTGTTCCAATCCAGTTCGAGGGCGAGCTGAACGTGACATGCCGGGTCTTGCTTCACTCTTGCGCTTGCCAGTCTGCTTGTAGACGGTTTGACGCACGTCGTCCTCGTTGATCGCCAGGAGGTCGAGGTCCAACTCCGCATCTTCATCATCGTCACTTGGTCGGTCCATCGAAAAGTCAAAAGTCGATTCGTCGAAGGTGATGTCACGACTGATCACCACTTGGCCCGCCTCAATGTCGTACACTCGATAAGCTTTTGACGCTTCTTCGTAGCCCATGAACATCCCTTCACGAGCCTTCGGGTCCCACTTCAATCGCTTCTCCCTTGGTGTCAGGATAAACGCCCGACATCCAAACACGCGCATGTGCTTGACACTTGGTTTCGACTTGTACACGATCTCGAACGGAGTCTTGTGGTCGATCTTGGGTGAAGGCAGGCGGTTCTTGATGTAGATCGCCGTTATTGCCGCTTCAGCCCAGAAACACTTCTCCAGCTTTGCATGATGCAACAAGCTGCGTCCGATCGTGACGATGGTCCTTATCGCGCGTTCTGCGGTGCCGTTGGTCTGGTGTGCATACGGTACCGTGATCTGTTGTTCGATACCATGATTTTTGTAGAAGGTCTTGATCGAGTTGGTCGCAAACTCATACGCTCCATCGTGCCGAACAAACTTGATCTTCGTGCCGAACTGAGTCTGAATCTTGATAATGTGGTTCTTGATACAGTCTTCACTCTCAGACTTGGACCGCAGACAGAAGCCCTTCATGCAACCGCTGGCTTCGTCAATCACAAGCAGTAAGTATCTGCTGCCGCCGATCGAGACTTGTTCCATTGGCCCGCAGATGTCGAAGTGCAGCAACTCGAACACACCATATTGGCGTTTGTCACGGTTGGTTGGGAATGGTTTTTGGACCATCTTTCCTTGCTGGCAACCGCGACACACACTTGGACCAGTCGAGTTGAGAGGTGCCTTGGCGTCCTTGATCATGCCGGTGGCCACCATCTTGCGCAGAACTTCGAGGGGTGCATGACCCATGCGCGCATGCAAGTCGATAGTCCCATTGCGTGTTGCTGCATTTGCCGATCGTTGAGGAGTCCGCAGCCAGTAAAGTCCATCGACGAGATACGCTGTTGCCACGACTTGTGTGGAATTCTTGCGTATCACTTGCATCTTGGACCCATCGAACACGACTTGGAACGTGCCACCCTTGTTGATCTGTGGCACCGAAAGCAGATTCTTGCTCATACTTGGTACAAACAGTGCGTCCTTGATCTCGATGTCGCGTTCGTCACCATTGGGCAGAACCACCCGTTCCATGATGGTTCCCACACCCTTGATCGCAGCCTTGCTGCCATCAGCCACTGATAGTTCGCCTTCCTCTCGCTCATTCAGGCTTGCAAACTTTGCCTTGTCGTTGCAGATGTGATGCGTCGCACCGCTGTCGACTGCCCACATCCCTGGCATATTCTTGCCCGTCGAAAGTCCAGCCTGCAGCGAAACCGCGAATGCAACTCGATCGTAGTTGTCGTCGTAGTTTCTGTTGATTCGCCACTGAACGTT